TCATGGCGGACGGGCGAGTTCCGATCTTAGGGCTGGGACTACTCGTCTAATTTCTCTTCTTTTTTTCTTTTTTTATTCGAATACTCGAACTCCTCGGTGATCCAAATACACATACGACGGGAACTGTAAGTTCATCATTCATTTTTAAACATTCCTTTAGTTTAAGATGTGTTTTGTACTCGAACGACGATATTCAAATACTCAAACGATCGATTATACATATACGCGAGTAACAAACGAATATCATCCGAATATTTTGTGCGTTGATCAAGTATCTGGGTATTAAGAGTGTTTGAATACCGTGGCGTGGACTATATCGAGTTCTCATTTACGTTTATAGTCGTTTGAAATCTCGGTAAATACAATGACGATTCGATTGCTCAAATATTTATGAATATTTATAGTCGAATACTCAAATACTCGAATAATGATATGCTTTTAATATCGCAGAGAAATAAATTGTGTTCACACATTACGTATTACGTGTACTGTATTTTGTACGAGCATATTGATACAAATAATAGTTAGTCACGCGTCACATTATAGATTTCGTTTTTATATTTCTTTGGTTATTCGGAGTTTGAAAGAAAACAGGCATACTCGACTTGTCGCTGATGTATAATGTCTCTCTTGGTGCTCGTTAGAACAGGACTTGGAATATATTTTACAAATTAATCGAGTATCTGAATATTCATAGTAACGGAACAGTGCAATTCGCACTGGAATTCAAGGTTTCTTTTCGAGTACTCGGATGTACGAATAGCGATATTCGAAAACTCAAATACTCGAATAATGGTATGCCTTTAAAAATTGCAGACAAATAAATTGTGTTCAATATTACGTGTATTGTATTTTGTATAAGCATATTAATATAAATAATGTTTAGTTATGCATTCACATTATTCTTCTCTTTTTCTTCAGTTGTTGGCAATTGAAATGCGAATCATATTCGACTCGTCTCCGATACAGTAAGTAACGGTCACATCGAGAAAGTGTTCACGGTACTCGTGATAACCAAATTCCATTATGTGTATATCGCAACGATGGTGTTTGACTACCGTCGAGTTGCAATTCAAGTTCGTTACGTGCATCGTAGCTTAGGCTCGAAGATGGTAACTAAACTGTTTGAGTACTCGAATGCTCGTTTGTTCGTGGCAGTCTGGAGGCGGCGTAGAATGTTGAACAATTCGAATAGTCCCAGCCACGTTGCGATCGTGTTTTGTTGTAGAGCACGTCCGTCGGATCTCCATACGTGATTCTATTTTCGTTGACGTCCGTGCGACCGACGCGCAAGAACTTTTCGGCTCCTTTGCTCTCTCTGGTCGTTCTCGCTTGTAATCGGCCAAACGTCACCCACGCGCGCGATTACCACCACCCACTCTCCGTCCCTTTTGGTTCCACGCTCTGCGTCTCGCTGGTTTCTCATCGCCTCCATCCATCGTGTCGCATTTTGTCCTCCGGTTGTCTCTCTATCTCTATCTATCTCTCTCACTTTGGCTGTCTTCCTCTCCACTTTTACCTAGTTACCCCAGCGCCGTCGTCTCGCCATCTTTCGTTTCCCATCCAACGGCGATTCCTGGAACAAACGATGGACAGGCCCCCGACCGCGGCTCGTTTATTTATAAAGAAAATGTAGAACGCTCGCTAGCCGACCGTAGCGATCTACTCATTCAAGTCCGAGATCACGGATGACGATTCGCCGAATTGAACGAAGCTGCTCCGAGGACGATTTAACGAGGAGAAAAGTGGCACGACAGGAAGAAAGAACAAACGAAAAAAAAAAAAAAGAGTAAAAAGTAAAGGAAAAAGAGAAAAAAAAAAAAAAGAAAGAAAACGAAAAAAGTTCGACTGTGTTCGTGTGTATATACAATACGTTATGTAAAACCTTAGTCTTTATAACAAAAAAAAAGAAAAGTAAGATATGAGACGGAAAGATAAGAGGGATGACCGACGCGAGAGCAGAGTAAATAGCAGTATTCTCGGATGGAACGTTCGCTGAAACGTCGTTGTTAAGAGATTCACGTGCGCGGCACAGTGTATTATGACAAAAAAACCACTGTAAATTCTCTATGTTTTATAAAGTCACGATACTCGAGCGCGATACTGTATAATATGCTGTGCGTGACCCAACATCGCGGATTAGACCACAAGAGAAAATTCTATATTTACTGTTTACAATTGTACAGGCGAAATTAAACGAGGCGACGCTAATGTCGGATTGCCGCACGGATCGTCATTCCGCGCGATAGTTTTGTCGGTTTCCGGTTACCGATCGTACCCCGTTCGCTCGTTGCGATTTTATAGATTCACGTTGCACGGTTAATATGAGAAAAGAAAACCATGATGTTAGTAACGAATTGTAACAACACCTATTAACGAATTCGGCTAGATCGTTAACGCTCCAATCGTTAAAGTTCCATCGACGTCGGAGAGCACGAAGAAGAAGAAGTTTCCGAAGACGATCGCGTTTCGTTCGTTACTTTTCTCGTTGGTTCCGTTTGTTTTGGTCTGTCGGACAATTCTGTCGAGTATATCGTCCAACGACGAAATCAATTAATTTCGAATCGTCTCGCTGAAAGTTCGACGGTAGTCGTATTTCCTGTTAAATGCCGCTCGAGTCGTGTTTTCTACTCGGGGGATTACATACGCCTAAGAAGACTAAAACTAGGGGCTCGTTCGCGAATATTTCACGTCTACATCTTTGATTTTATCGAACGACTACTTTAAAGTACGCTTTTAACAACAATTCCGGGGAATTGTATCGATATTTATTTGTGTCCAGATGTATGTAATCCCTTAAGAGGTCTGGCTGGTTTGGAACCCCAAAAATTGGGTGATATTTGAGATTTATTTTTGAGACAACTATTGGACAAATCAATTTCAAACGCTGTACATATATTTATCTATATTTTGCTATAGGAAATTCTTGGAATATAAATAATTGATTTTAATGAATATATGATTGCACACTGCCAGATCGAATAAAAAGTTATTTTTCTCAGCCAAAATGAAATAGGAAATCTCGAAGATTAAATCTATCACAGTGTATACCGTGAGTACTCTGACATTGTCAATTTTTCCAATATCGTTATAAGAATTTTAAAGATTAAAAACTTTAAGAGAACGTAATAAAGGAAATTGATTTGTTTGCCTCCAAACTGGTCGGACCACTTAAAGTCTGTCGTACGGTGTTGAAGTATATAGAATTCGGTTCAAAGTCCTATAGCTAATTTTTCCAATTTCACCATAATGTTTTCAACGCGTGAAACTTTTAGTAAAATCGTGAAGAGAAACGAGTTTCTTTTTTATCTTGAAACTTAAACGAGACCCCTTAAACTTTCGTTTCGAAGAATATGTTCGTGCATTCGGTATTCGAATGGTGGTATAGATCGAACCTGAGAACGAGAATTCAAGGTCAGTCGCGAGAGTCTACGTACACCTATAAATCTGCAATATTTTAACAAATACAAGAGTTTTGATAATCCTACTAGGTGTAAAATTGTTTGTCGATTGAAATTAGAAATATTTTACTGTATTAACTCGTTCGCGAGAAAACGTCAATGATTACCAAACACCATGTCACGAAAATGTACATACAAATATCACAGGTATATTAAAGTTTACAAAACTTGTTCCTGTCGTTGTATTGATTTATTATTACTTCGTAAACATTCGCGATCCCGCAACAGCCTACATTCTCATTTCACGAAAAAACTAACGTGCAATCTTAATGACAACGCGTTTATTAAATTTCTCAACGCGTCGTTGTGAAATAACTGGAAAATCGAGCCAGTTTAATTGTGACAATAAGTTATTACATTTATTTTCTTAATATCGTTTAGTTTAGACTTGTAATTTAGTATCGTTCCTGGAACCAAAATGGAGTACAACTTGTCGTCTCCACGATTGTTGTTAAGACTACGCGTCGTGCTTGTTATTTCTTAACATGCAAGTTCGTTCGATGATCGCTTCTTATTTTACGCTGATTTTTCATTCGATTCGATGGACGTACGTAGACTTGTGCGACCGACTGTAGGCGGTTCGTCTCGCGTTGCGTTTACATTTTGCGTATCGCGGCTAAGCAGCCATGAACGTCATCGGCAGAAATTGCGAAAATGTTCCAAGTATCGCGTTCAACCATTTGGAACGCATCCACCGCCTTGGTTTCGTTCTGAAGCGTACTGGTTAAGCGCGAAGAATTCGACTGGAGGAAATCGACGGAGCATTTTAGGTTACAATTAGGTCAACGGGAAGCGCAAGGTTCGAGCATATGGTAAACGAGGAAACGAAAAATTTATGCCTAATCTCTAAACGGTCGGGACGAACAATCGAGTTTCTGCATTTACGTGTCGCATCTTCTGCCACCCATTTTCAAAATCCTAAAAGAACGATACTATCGAAAGATATTTCAATCTATTGAATAAATTAAAAATAAATGCCAACGGTCGTGCCATGGTGCAAACGCGTTAAGCAATATTGGGCGCGGTCGGTACTAAGACGGGTGATCTCTTGGAAACATTGCATATTATTATTATTTGTATACCGTTTACATTACACCCCTCTATCGGTTTTGCAATTGGGTATTATTTAAAAAAAAAAAAACTACTTCATATATAGAAGTAACACGTTTGGTAAACATAAATGGAGAAGAAGATTCGTAAGGAAACAAATTCCTTTCCATTTATAGCAAATCACCGTTACAGTGTGGGAATTAGAGTGGGAGTAAGTGTGCAGGTCCGTGCAAAAGTCTCTGGTCCAAACTCTGGCCGGACGCCGCGCGTCGGAAAAATCGAATTCCCGCGTCGACGGGCGGCGTCCCTCCCCCCCGGGCGTCGCGTTTCATCGAACGGTCCGCCAGGTGGTCCACAGTGTCGGCACGCGCGCAGGTGAGACGGAATTCTCGTCGTCGAACGCGTTCTCGATATCCGACGGCGACGACGAAAACGGTCTTTCTATAAATAAATTCGCGATGTCCGGTCCGCGTCGCTCGACGGCCAGAGGGTACGACGGAGTCGCCTAGAAGCCGCTGCAGCGGGCTGCTCCGGGATCGCGATAACTCTCTCCCTCTCTCTCTCTCTCTCTCTCTTTCCTCTTTCCATTTCGTCAGAGGTCGTCTGGCGACCTCGCGACGAGTTCACGCGGGTCGAGCCGTTCCGCGAGAACAACCACGACGACGACGACGACGACGACGACGACGAGCACGGTGAAGAAGAACGCGCGTCGACGACTGGAGGAGGAAAGGGACTCCGTTGTTGACTAGCCACCGTCAGGTAGGCAGTGCAAAAGGAGACTGGAGGTGGACAAGTGGAATCCAAGGGGGTGGGGATGGAGCCGGAGCAACGAGGACGCGCCTCGCGAGCGTCGTCGACGTCGAGCCTCGGTCGCGAGGTACGTTGCGGGTGTCAGTACTACCAGAGTGACTCGCTTCTGCCGGAACGAAGCGCTCTGCTCGGTAGACCGCCGTCCAGGACGATGCAGCAGCCACCTGCGGTCCGCTGCAGGTCAGTAAACACATCGGTCAGCCGATTTACGAGGCTACGCGGACGCCCCGATCGAAAATCCCTCTCGAACCCCGGTGTCCCGGTTAGTTCTAGTGGTCCAGGATGAAACGTCAGCGATTCCGGGCGAATCCGTGGTCTTCTTTCCAGCCGCGTCCCTCGGGATTCCCGATCGGCATTGCATCGCTGGAAACGGTATAGGTTACGCGTCTCGAGTATGCTCGCGAACCGCCGCAGCTATTTAAGGTTCGCCCGGCTGGCTATAGATAGAATCCTCGACTCGGCTCGATTCCGCGTCCAGAACCGCGTTACGGAGAGAACCCGTCGCGTGTGGTTGCCTGTTTAGCCGTTGCTCGTGTTGCTTCGAATAATTCTGTCCGCGGTATCAGGGATGCATGGATGCCGGGATGCTTCCGATTGGCGGGATCTAGGGTGGCGACGCCGCACTCTTACAATCCGGAGCCGCGCGCATTCCGTCCCTGGTGGTGATGTTCCAACAGAATGTGGAAGGCATTCTTTTCGAATAGTCAACTTAACACCGATTAAACGTTTTTCCTATCTAAAGATTCCCTCGATCCTCGATGTTCGTTGAAATCACGATCTGCAACAATAAACGTGTAGACTATGGCAGGCCAATTCCTGGAACCCAATCCAATCGTTCGATACCACTGTATAGAAAAATAGAAATACTCCATAGTTCGATGGTGGACCGCCATGACAGTCTTATTTTCGAATTAATTAACAGAGCGTGTTGAGAGACAGTGTTGAACATTCGATCACGAAGAAAATCAATAAACTCGAAATTAGTACACGTGTCGTTAGAATATTTTTTCAAGCACGTTACGTCCATCTCCGGTCCATGACCCGGCGCGTTCTCAAGACGACGGAAGGGGATGAATAGACGCGACGCGATTAAGTGGGTATCGGGTTATTGTATCGCGATAATGGGAACACCCGGTATCGACGATCGAGCTAGAATAGTCGCGATAACGTTCGACCATCCGGGACCGAAGATAAGAGGAGGAAGGGGGCCGAAGCTCGAAGATTCTTGAAGACTAGTTTGAGGGTAACCGCTGGTTAGACGATGGTCTTGTCGGTTTATCGAATACGTCACGTTTCGCGGCCATCGAGAACTGGTTTCTTTTTCGTAACCGGTCGAGTCACAATTCGACCCACAAAAGCGTGTCGACCCCCTTTTGTAAATAGAAATTTATTTGCGAAAAGTTTTACACGAATCGAGTTGTACGTCCAAAACACCGAAACGCGCTTAATTTAACAACGAGTCCATTCTCTTCCGTTGGCAATTACAGCTTGACACCTTCTTGGCACGCGTTCCGCCAATTTTTCAGCGTACGATACAGCGATCTCCATATTTGTCGAATACGACCTATTAAGGTTCTTAATTGTTATTGTACGATTTCTCCTAAGTTTACGCTTCATTATGGACCACACATTTTCTATTCGCTAGATCCATTTGCCCATGTGTTTACGATAAAAGAAACTTGAGCAATGATCTACGTATTATTAGACTGTGGATTTTATGCGATTATAGCGTGCACGAGGAGCTTGAGGAACATACGCTAAACGTATGCAGAATATATACACACACCTATGCAAAATAAAACATTAATGTTTGTTTGCTTTCTTATTGTTGACATTTAAATTTACTAAAACGAAGCTCATTAACATGCATCATTTGTTAAAGTCTGTTTCTGTGTTAAATTCCAAACCACGCTGTTCATTCATAATAACGTTTCTGGTTAGCGACGATGGTTCACCAGCTATGATGTCATGGAATATTTCTGGCATGAATTTCAAGATAGAAATCGGTCCGTAGTTAATAATAAGCGTCTTGTCACCATTTCTAAATGGGCAATACGATACGAGTGACGTATCCTAAATGATCCATAAGTTTAAAGATATTCTAAATTTACATGGTTATTACAGTTAGACCATCGTCACCAGGCATTTTATTTACATCTAATACCTGTTGTTTACGAAACGCTTTGACGATACTAACGATCATACCAGAAATGTCGATGTTAAAAGTAGATATCGCGAGCGTAAACAAATTGAAAGTATGTGATGTAACAGCCTCGTGTGCATCGAACGCATTGCGACCATTATCGTCGCATTGTATATTAGAATATATTCTGGCTGCATTCTGCATACGTCTTTCGTATTAATGCATATCATTAATTAATGCGTAAAGTCTGCAGTCTACGCAAAACAGAGTTGATTCGAGTACGCAGCGTTTCACGCTACAAGGTTAAGTAATATTCTTTTGTCGCACGAAGAAATATTACTGCGTTTCGTCCTACTTTTCCAGTAACAAACACCATTTGTGAGACTTCTATTTGTGATTCAGAAGCTAGAATGTAGGACAGAGTTATCAGGTCCCGGGGACGACACGCGGTAATATTATTTTTATTAAACATTTGGTTGCAGTGTTTATCGGTCGGTGCACGTAGAAATAACCACTAAATAATCGTTGCTCGTTATTTTTGTACGATAAAATAAAATTCGTCCGAACAGAGGATCGGAGATTAATCGGGTTTTACGACTGTGACAGTGTCCCTGCGAGATCTCAAGAAAGACGTCCTTCGACGATGAATTAGAAGACAGAAAAAGCTCGACTAGTGTCTTCCTTGAACACTGCCTTCCTAGAACACGGTCTTGGAATTAACCCCGCGTCCAAAATAGCAACGACTAACCAGCTTGCATCGCCGACAGAGGACCGCTGGGACTCCCGTCCGACCAATGCCTTCCTTTTTCCACTGGAACCGAGGATTCCAGTGAAACGAGCACGAATTTATCGGCCCCCCGCTCGTTCGACATTCCGCCCGTTCACGTATCGACCATATGCGAGTGATCGATGTAAATAACAAGACTGACCCTGGAACTAACAGTATTCCAAGACCGAATCGCACAAAATTCCGATCCGGGCATCGTATCAATCCCCGAGAGACAATCGTTTAACCCTCCTACTAACGTTCGCGTCGAGTAAATCGGAACGATCGGGATCAACACAAATTTTTAATCCTGGTGGATCACTGTACAGACAATTATACTAATATTTAGTAGTTTTTTATTTAAATCTATAGGAATACCGTCTCTGGGCTAATCCCATCACTTTATCGAACAGGGAACAAATATTTTACCCTGATGCATTTATCGACATCGAATTTTTCAATAAGATCAACGTGCACGAGAAGACTGACCTTAGAAATAAGATTCGAATCCAACATTCTATCAAGTTTCAAAGAACAAATGACATCGACTCGTTGACATCGAGTGCTTCAGATCGCTGGTACACCTTGCAAAAAATCAAGACGAATAGCTAGGAATACCGATCCTGAAATTAACCAACCGATCCAGTAACTAACCGTAACGCGTTTAATTGATCGATCGCTACTAAAAGGACTAACAGACCGGCCGTAAAAATGCCAGTGAGAACCAGAAAGAAAAGGGTGACGTTTTATAACAGCGAGCACGAGTACGAGCCGATCGCGGCGCCGACGCCGTCGCCGTCGCCGAAGCCGGTGTTCCCGCCGGTGGTGCGAATCACCGAAACGGACGTGGTGGCCGTCGCTGACAGCGACGACAGCATCGACGACCGGGCACGGCTGCCGCCAGAGCTGACGAGGATCGGCGATGTCGTCCTGCCGTTGGACGGCAAGATCGAGGACACCGCGATGGAGGGTCGGGAACTCGGCGAGAATGGCGACACCTCCGAGGAACAGGAAACGCCGCAGCAGCTCCAGGAGAGGCTCGAGGAGCGGTTCTTGAGCGCCCCGAGCCCTGGCGCCGAGTCCAGGACCGATGCCGAGGTCAACACTAGCCAGGTGAGTTCTCATTTATCGTCTATATTCATACGCCCATTTACCAAAATAATTATTATATTATCGATACTTTTTCGACTAGCTTGAAAACGTTTTCTGACTCGAATCGTATTTACATTCGTGTATCTCTTATTCCTTCGTTCTTTTATTTTCCAGTACTATTAGGGCTATTTAGAGCGCCTGAACCAGGAAAAACAAAGTCGCAGTTACGCGACGAAACAAGAGGAAATAAAATAATTCTGAACGTAGTAGTCGTACTCGAGGGAGAGCATGGTAGAAAATGGACGCTTAAATAGGGCTCGGTGAATGTCGCGGTAGCGTTCATCGTTTGTTGCCCACCGGGTTCTATATTTAGCGAAACACGCTTATAAAAAGCATTGGAGGAGCCAACGTGTCACTGTCCGAGGCATTGTGCAATCGCGTCGCGGCGTTCCAGAAAGCTCGGGGCTTTCCCATCGATTGCACAATCCTCTCCCTCCTCCCTCCTCCCTCTCCCATGCCGCTGTCCGCAAAAGTATCTAATTTCTGTCGAAACGACGATCGGCCTGATCGACTGTGAATTCATCATCGACAATTCCGTTCGATCTGACGGCTGTTCCGAGTTACGTAACAGATTAAAAGCTCCTCCTCCCTCTCCCCTCCGCTCACCTGGTGTGGCACTCTTAGAAAAATAATACTGGCATAGCCGATGGACAGCGATGCCCGTCTATTTCTGGCCGCGACGCTTTCGGCGTGATCGACGAGACGCAAAAGCGTTTCTCTGGCCCATTAAAGTTACGATTCTCGCTGCACGTTCGAAGAAATTTCCGCGAAACGTACCAGAAACGCTGTTAACGATTCTCGACGGCCTATCGATGTATCGACAAGGCAAATAGACGTAACCGATTCGTTTGTTCGGCAATAAGGAAGTGTTGGATCGTATATTTGACCAACCCTCGTAAAAACCTAGATATTTATCGCCTGATCCAGCACCGATACAGCATCCGTGACCTTTCAGAGTACCTCGAGAGCCTCCAAGATCTGCTCTCTTTACCAGTAAAAAAGAGAAAAGTTGCATCGTTGCGCCGTCGAGATCTCCGAAAGTAATTCTTTATGCTATTCCTGGGCCAGACATTTGTCCCCGCGCGTGTTTTTCTTTGTGGAAAAAGGAGAACGCCACGGACGATTGCGTTCGTTATGGTTGGAATCGATGACGTCGAGAGTCGGTAATAGCCCGAGTGGTGATCTCGGTGATGCAGGATCGAAAAATTAGATCGTCCGCCCGACGATTCCCAATAATTCTCCTATCGTTGCGTCAGACACAATGACGACACTCGCGAATATCTCATCGACGTTTGTTAGAAGCTAGCCCGCTGCGAGATCGGAGCCGAAAATAACTTTGTTGACCAAACAGAGTGTAGCGTAGAGAAACGATCAACGAGATCCTTAAGACCCCAGTCGACTTGATTTCTCGAAGGCATATTTAAATCGAATAGATATTAGAAAGGTAGAAGGTTAGGTAGATTTCTAGATTAGTAGATTTTCTAGAATCGAAAAAACGATATACGGATCGATATATGTAATATTCTATTGGTTGGATGGTGATGCAACCTGTTCGCGGTGATATGCCAGTAATAATTATCAACACTCGACGCAACTATGCGGCACGGTCCATTCTCGTTCGTCTCGGTTGCGCTGAAAGTCACGTTTCTTTCGTATACATGTCGATCGATCGTGATCAAACGATGCCAATTCTGTGTAATTTCAGGTAGACTCGTTGGCATTGGAGGAGCTGCCGCTGCGTCGCGGTGCCCGCGGTTTGCCCCAGCGGCTGAAAACGCAGGCGGGCAAGCTGCGTTCACGCTTGAGGAACATCCAGCGGCCGACGTTGGGGTTCGCGGATCGTCAGAAGCCCGAGAAGACACGATCGGGCAGCAGCGGCAGGTCGGACAGGTCCAGGACCGAGAAGAGACCCAGTCGAATGGATCGTATACGGTCGTCGTTCTCGGAGAGGACGCGATTCAATCTGCCGAATCGTCCCAGGTTCTCGCTGCCGGATCGGTCCAAGTTTCACCTGCCGGAGAGACCAAAGTTTAACCTGAAGAAGCCGAACATACGTCTACCGAACGCATTGACGCGCAGCAAGAAGCCGTCGTCGCCGGTGCACGAGCAACAACGGTCCACCGACTCCACGGTCGGCTCGCGCAGAAACATCTTCGACCTGTCCACGTATCCGCGTATATTCGACAGAAAGTCCAAGAACCGGGACGAGTACACGACCTCCACGCCGAAGGACTCGCGGGCTCAGTCCGCGGAGAGCGCGACGTTCCCCAGAACGCGCAAGAACCCGACCCTGAGCGACAGATGGGCCCAGAGATTCGAGGAGACCGCCCCGTACATCGACGAGGATCGTTCCGACGCGGAGACCGCGGTGGAGAGAGCACGACCGTGGCGGCGTCCGTCCTTGGAGGCGCCCAGATTGTCCTTGGGGGTGGCGGACGAGGCGCTGTCCTCGATTCCCTGGGAGGAGAAACGTCGTCTGGAGCAACTACGGTACACGGAGTACGAGCAAGAATCCACCGAGGCCTCGGACCGGCAGGCCCGTCCGCGATCGGAGGCGTCCAGGACCGAGGAAGAGGAACTGTCCGAGCGAATGGAGCTCGAGCCTGGGCTGTACAAAGATCGCGAGGAACACAAGGTGGTGTACAGGGAGGAGGACGCCGAGGAGGAGTGGACGGATGAACGGATCGGCCGCGAAGACTTTAGACCCGTTCAGCGATCGCGGTCCTTGGAGGAGGTGTTGCACGCCAGAGAGAAGGAACAATACGGGAGCAATTTCCCGATGGTCGATCCGAGGAGGTACGGAGTGCACAAGACGCCCTCGGAGGAGGAGGAGTACGAGGAGGACATGGACATGGACGAGGAACCGGAACCATCGTCCGCTCAGTCGGACAGGGAGCAGCAGCACTCGAGCGGCAGCTCCTGCGACCGACGACGCCGCGGCGTCATTGAGGAGATCGACTCGGACGAGTTCTTTCTGAGGGAGGCAGGACTCAGCCAGGGCGACGCGAACCTTGGGAAATACCTGAGCCACGAGATCCGGGACGCACTTCGAGATGCGATCGGGAGCAACGCGCTCGCGGACGAGGATATGCGAACGGTGCTTGTTCCTCCGCAACGACCCACGCGAAAACGGACCACGCGAAACCAGAAGGAGGGTTCGATCGAATCGTACGACACGATGCCGCCCGTCAGGCCGAACAGAGACCCGAACAGGGCTCGCCGTAGCGAATCCGCTGACGAACAGTCCCGCGAACGCACCAGAAGCGACTCCAGGCACCGCGTGGTCTACCAGACAGACCCCGGTCAGGAATTAACCGCGCCGGAACCGTTGGACGACATCGTCGTGGTGAAGCCCGTGCGCAGGAAATCGAGATCCTCTCAGCGCAGCCAATCCCAGACAGCAACGGAGGAGCCGCGTCCACCGTCTCCGAGTCCCGTACCGCCGGTGGTTCCCACGCGCCGGAAACGTTTGCGCAAACAGGCGTCGGCGGAACGCGTCGACCACGAGCCGAGACCAATTTGCAACGGACACACCGAATGGACCGAGAAACCCCTACCGCCGTTACCGGCCACGACCTTGGATGAGACTCGAGCGTACGCGAGCCAGGGGATCATGATGATGACCGACAGCGAGGAGGACATTCGAAGGCTGATGACGCGCCTTCGGGAGGAGGAGTACATGGAGCCGGGTCCGGTTCCACCGAAACGAAGGTCAAGATCTAGGGGGACCTCCGTGGCCCAGGACGAGGACAGAACGTCTCACGGCGCGGAGTCGTTGCCGGAGGCTGACTACGCGGAAGAGGAGATCCCGCCGGATGACCTGGAGTTTGCCCGCGATCTGTCGGGTTACGCGATCGTCGAGAAACGCGACAAGCCGGCCAGACCGCCGCCGCCGCCGCCGCCGCAGCGACGGAAACGCGACAAGTTCGCGACGACGCCGCGACCGATAACGGCACCGAAACGACCCCAACGAGCTTACAGCACGCTGGGGCCAGCCAAGACCAGGGACGGTGAGATGCTGGCGGAATCGTTCCCGTTCGCGGTCACCTTGGAACCGGAACAATCGGCGGGCTACGTCGAGGTAGACTCGGACGACGCGGAGCAAAAGGATCTGCGCAGCAGCGAGGTCCTCAGCAAGATGCAAGGACGTCCGTTGCCGGCACCGCCAAGGCCGCCCAGGTTCAGGAAGGACCATCATCAGACGACGATGGAACGCTCCGCGGCCGTGGAAGCAACCGCCGCGACGCAAACGGACCCGTTGCCCGACGACATGGTCATCGAGGAGGAAGTCACTCAGGCGAAGTTGGTCGTAATGCCGTCTAGGTCCGGTTCGCAGATCACGGTCTCCACGGAACGAATACCCAGCCCGTCTGTCATGGCCGCGCCTCTCGTTCCGCCATTGCCGTCGTCCCAACGTCTCCGCAAAGAGGATCAAACGGAGCCCGCGTTCGACACGGTGTCCTTGACGGATCCGTCGCCGGCTCGCGAGCCCTTGGAGAGCAGACACCGGTCCGCGCCGCACTTGGATCCGACCGGCGAGGAACCACTTATCCGCGACGAGGACGAGCACGCTAGAGCCGTACGATCCGTCCTGCTGTCGAACGAGCCTGTGAGGATCGGCAACCTCGAGGTAGGCGATCTGAGGGTCGACAGGCTCAGCGTGTCGCAAATTGAGGCGGGTAAAATCGTCGCGTCCGAGGTGGACGCTTTGCTGATCAGCGCGTCCGAAATAAAGGGCATGGGAGCCGTGCTCGAGGGGAGCTTCTCGCCGTCCATTATCAAGGAGCTGATAGCCATCAGGAGCCACTTGGAGATCGCGGCCGCTTCGCGAGCGCGGGACATCCAGACAGACATTCCCGTTAAAGAGAGTCGAACCGTCCAACAGGAACAACCACGGGACCAGCACCAGCAGCAGGAGCAGCAGATCCTCCAACGACAGAGCCCCACGGAAGACGATAAATCAATGTCGATCGAGGAGCAAAAGGTTGTTAAAAGAGAAGTAATCGAATCAAGGGATAGCGACATACCCGTAACACACACATTAGCCGTTGCACAAGTAGATATCAAGGAAAACCCGGTAACGCGTACACCCAACGACAGAGACATACCTCTCATACATTCACCCCCAATCGTTGCAACCACCAAAGATAAGCCGTTGCGGTTTTTTGATTCAGAATCCCCCCTTTCTTTGAGCTCGGGTATCGCTAAGGAGCTCGAGGTGGAAGAGTTCTGCCGCGTGTCCCTTACCCCGTCCGTAACAACGACAGGAGAGACCATGGAATCGACGAGTTCTGCTACCGACGAGGCCAGCAGCGAGCAAACCGAGACCACCGAACCAGGCCAGGACAGGGACAGTTCCAACGAGACCGCGGAACTCAAGTCGCGAAAGACGCGATCCAGATCACCGTCGCCCATAAGTATTTCCCGAACGCGGGAGACCGCTTCCCCGATCAGATCGTTGCCGCCCGCCATTTCTGTCACGCCGGACACACCGGATGTACCCAGTCACAGCATCACCAGCGAGATGCAACCGCAACGAGCCGTTATCTCGTACACGTCGTGCACGGAGTCAGCCTCTAGGGAAAGGGAAACTTTAAGAGAATTCTCGCAATCGCCGTTGCCCTCCTCCTTTCCCATTGCCGGAACTCACCTAATAGCGTTTCCGGCCTCTCAGGTTCCGGCTCATTTTCTTTCCCTGGCCGCGCAGACGGATCAACGGCTCGACAACGATCCGAGCATCGCGGACAGTACGAGGCAATTGCTCAGAATCCTTCGATTAGCCGGTATTAAAGCTATGAGACATTTTGTAAGTTACACGTCGACCATGATAGGCGGAGATGATACCAGAGAAAAGATCAAGGAAGTGGAGTTGGCGTTGTGCGCCCTGCTAATTTTAATAGCGGGTCTCTTGATATTTTTCTTTGGTAGTACGCGAACGGTAACGCATCATCATCATTGGGATTACTTCAATCCGCCCAAATAACGCCCTACGAACAATAGATCGGATTAATCTCTGAATACGCTCCGCGATAATACGATACGCCTCTGGAAAATTTTAAATAATACAATATGACCAGGTTTTATACGCAGGCTGAGTCACGAGAAACTCTCACCACCGAATGGTTGGTTTCGTTTCGTTCGTTTTTCTATCGAAGAACATTCTGAAAACAGAGCCTCACGGTTTCGAAAGGCACGTACGGTGGTAGTTTTCAGAAACGGGACAATTTTTAGGGTATCCTATTATTTTGTCGATGAGTGTAGCTCGACGCTATATACGGTCGATGAAAAAAGTCTTCGTCCGCGTTTAATTTTTTTGTTTACTCGTTGTATAATCTTCACACCGAACGTGCTACACAAATGATATTTACGTTATTTTACTTATTGCAAAATAAATTTAAATTATTTGTTCCTCCATTAGGCAATCACCGATAACATCGTCGATAGAGGTAGTGCTCTTTGAATCGATCGAAAAATAATTTATTTAAATTACCTTTCTATATTTTTCTCTTTGGTCAACACTTTTTCGACTAAAATTTTTAAATAACGAACAATAAATATTATAGGTATACTGATTTTATCGCCACTTGTACCATTCAAATTATACAACGTTAAACTATTGAAAATTTAATACACGAAAACATTTTTGATCGACTGTATATTTATTTTTAAATTTAATATTCTTATAAATCAATTTTATATATTGAGATTGAATTTTTAGCAGAAATTGCGAACATACTAGTCGTTTACGCACAACAGGATAGACCTAAGTAATAACGTATATGTATAAAGGAATATTAAATAGAAACATCAAGAACTGTAAGACTTTTTGTCGATCGAACGGTTTGGTTGTTACATCTATCTTCTAATCGATAACAGGTACAGTCGATCGTATAGACAAAGGTACAAATTACATATCAAATTAATAACATATTAAACAATGACGAATCTCGTTACCTGAAAATTCTTACTGATGCTGCACACGATGACGAGTGATCGATACTTGTGAAAAAATGATACTTGGACATAATTCGTTGCGAGAATACTTGTGCTTGATGATCGAGTGCTGAATATGTATAAAAACTGTATATGTCAATTACAAATGTCTATTACCAAACTCGGTGTTAAACGAACCATTTTTTTTTATTAACAAGCCAGTGATCGCCAAAGAATACAAGTAAGTTAAAAATAATACGTTTTACATTCGCTGACCGCTTGACTAGATACGAATTTATAATACTAACGTGATATCATAAATATTAAGAGTGCAATCTGAAAAATCCATTTTTGATACCTTAAAAATATTCCAAACACTGTACATTTTTATTTTCAATTAAAGATTTCGATATCGTAACTACATAACAACGTGCTCCGATAGGTAAAAAATATTGTGTTCACGAGAAAAGATCTTCCTCGTACACTTTCAAATCTCTTCTATCTTTGTGCGCACTTTTCTGGGAATAATTTGCCGCGATTGGTGACCACATAGAGCTAGACGTGACGTCGCTCATAGGTTCTATTATAGGCTGTCTTCGTGCTAACGATACTTTTAACTGTATCGAAGACACCATACTACCATCCATTTCGCTTATCGCTCTCTCGGCAGCATCCGGCTTGTCGAATGTCACGAATCCTCGACTGAAAAATAAAGTTATAGATCAATATCGCTTTATGCATTCTTGATCAACGGAGTCAACTAATTACGAGTACTTTTTTTCCGCCTCCATTGAAATATTTATAATGTTCCCAAACGTTTGAAAATGTTTTTTCAAGAAATCCTCAGAGATTTTGTAACCGCACACAAATATCGTGTTTCCAGCACGTGGCTTTGCTTCTTGTTTAGCCGGTGATTGTGTATCGCCGCTGGCACGTTCCTCCGTGTCCTGGGCACTAACAAAACTGTCGTATAAATCTTTAACTCTAGGTCTTGCCGTTTCCGTTTCCTCTTCTTCCATCTGTGTCGCAGAAAATGGCTGGTAAGAACTTATCGTCTTCTCTGTACTATTTAACTTTCTCACTAATCCACGCGGCCTTTTAAACGATTGCTCCGGTCTCTTTGGAGTTTTTGGAGCCGTAATCACTCCAGACTTTATTAGCTTTTTAGCAACTTCTCTGGCATCTCTTGCTTCTGTTGGTCGTTTTGGTGCTTGTGGAACACGTTCAGCTTCTTGTTTCGGTGCTTTTAAATCTTGCAATGCCTTTTTCTTGCAACACGCAAATAAAGAAAATTATGTCATAAATTATCTATAATCACGATAACATGTATACCGCTGTATGAATATTCTTCGCTCGAGTTCAATAACCAATTTCTTTTAATTTAATTATTAACGAATTGCTGAAAAGTAAACATAACCTTTTAAATACCTTTCTTTTAAGTTTGTTATACTTTGCCTGTAACATTAACTCTTCTTCCGTTAAATTTGATGGAAAGTGTAAGTACACCATATTTTGCATGTAATAAAACCAAATTCAAATTTCCTGTTTCCTTCACGAATATATTACAGAAACATTCGGAACTGATTCCCACTATGTAGGTACGTCCACCGTCCACCAGAGATGCCAGATTCTGCACCGGGTGCACTACTGCATACAGTTTCGGAAAGTCGACAAAGGCAAACTGACGCATGCCCTCTTTCTCGATTCTCCGATGCTGCCCGAAATAATTTCGGACCGTCTCGTGGGAGTCGAGAGAGGAAGGCTCATTTGCCTTCTTTTTCTTACGAGAATACATGTTTTAAGACCTCCTGATCATATTCGAATTATTGAAACAAAATAAATTCATTTTTATTATTCCTATATATGAGCGGACATATGCATATCATTTCAGATATCACTTCTGATACATCTGGCAACGTATAACCATTACTGCTGGCTACTGCCAGTCTCTCGCAGCCTCTGCTGGCTTCTGCTGGCCTTTGCTCACCTCTGCCAACATGTGCGGGCTTCTGCCTGCCTCTGCTGGCCTCCGCTGACCACTGCTGACCATCCCTGATCCTTCCGACAACGTATAACGATTACTACTTGTTACTGCCTGCCCCTGCTGCTCTCTGCTTGCCTCTGCTGACCACTGCTGACCCTTGTTAACAACTTCTGCCATGATATATATGTATGAAAACATTGTATAATGTAAATCTATGGCAATAAATTATATAATTACAAAGAATTCTATGTGCTCTCATCATTTTTTACCTTTCTTTTCCTCTCCAAATCATTACCTTAGTTATAAGACTCCCTGAAACTCCTTGGTTTCCCTGAACCCACTAGGAAGTCCTCAAACACCTCGGAAATCCTGAAACTCAGAACTTTGCTAAAAATTCAGGGTTTCCAAGAATTTTCGGCGTTTCCAAGAAATTCCAGGACTTCCCAGCTGTTTCAGGACTTTCCAACTGTTTCAGGACTTTCCAGCCGTTTCGGGACTTTCGAGTTGTTTCAGGGCTTTCGAGTTGCTTCAGGACTTTCCAGCTGTTTCAGGACTTTCCAGCTGTTTCAGGACTTTCCAGTTGTTTCAGTCTCACTCACTCTCAATACAATAAACGAATTACGTATACATTCCATACCTACTAAATCGCATTAAAAATGTATATGTACCACGAATGTCTTAAAATAATATTGTTCAAGATATTACTCATCAATTTAATTTGTTTATAAAACGCTATATCGAGAAATCGAGGCATGCTTTTATTCAATGGAATTAGAAATATGTAAAACACTCCTTATCTATGTTTATATTAATAAAAACTCAAAATCGTAGCATACACGTTCCATGATTTTTTTTATTTGCATTCTCCTCTCTATGTACCTTTCCCATTAATTTCCTAATTTTTATAAAATCTAAAATACTTTATAACTGCTTCAAATATTATTCGAATTTAATTAACGTTTTATTCAGTTCTCGAACCATTTCTCTATATATTTGCTAGTATAATTAATTAGTTATAAACTATTATTAGAAGCGATTCTTATTTCAATATTGCGCTAAAAAGTGCCGTAAAACAGTATCGCCATCTAATATCAGGGATTCGTACTGTTAAACTGTATATACTACGAGCTCACACACGCAAACATGGTCTATCATTGTGTTAAAATCTGCAAAGAAACAGTATCGCCATCTAATATCAGGAATTCGTACTGTTAAACTGTATATACTACGAGCTCACACACGCAAACATGGTCTATCATTGTGTTAAAATCTGCAAAGAAACAGTATCGCCATCTAATATCAGGGTTTCGAACTCAAAAAATCGTCCCAGGATCACAGAATGTGTGTGGAGGTATCCGGAGTACAGCTACCCCCACTCCTCCTACTCCTGATTCGCAGTACCTTGATTATTCATTAATAACTCTTTTTCTGGGATTAAAATATGAACTTTTAGAATTGAAGAATATAGTATGGACCCTTGGCAACATTCAAGGATAGTTTTTAGAACCATTTCGCCAATAATTAACAAGTTATTAACGAATATCGGAAGTCGGAACATTTTCGGCTGTATCACCGTCTGCTTTAATCGATGAATTATCAACTTTTCGACAATAACACGCATATTTTGGCTATTGGAGAAGCAAATAGACATCCCTGGGAACATTCAAGGAACGATTTTTCAACGCTCCATGCTCTAATTAATTAGTTATTAGCGATAGATGCCTAAGGTGTCGCGTTAAAAGGTTAGAAACGGTGTGCCGACTTCCGATATTCGTTAATAACTATTTACTGAGGCATGAGATGGTTTTAAAGAGTATCCTTGAATGTTGCCAAGGGTCTATACTGTATTCTTAAACTCTAAAAGTTCATAATTTGTTCCCAGGAAAGGCGTAATTAGTAAATTAACGAGCAGTTGTTAATTACAAGCCGAGAAACAGATAGTACCCTATTTTCGCCACTAGTGGCGCCACAGTAGAAATCAATACTTTCAATGAACTATTGCTCGTTAATTTACTAATTACGCCTTTCCTGGGAACAAATTATGAACTTTTAGAGTTTAAGAATATAGTATGGACCCTTGGTAACATTCAAGGATACCTGTTGGAACCATCTAATGCCTTATTAAATAGCTATTGACGAATATCGAAGGTGGGCACAACGCGTCTAACCTTTTAACGAGACGCCTTAGGGATCTATCGCTAATAACTAATTAATTAGAGCATCGAGCGTTGTAAAATCGGTCCTTGAATGTTGCCAGGGATGTCTATTTGCTTCTCGAATAGCCAAAATATGCGTGTTATTATCGAAAAGTTGATAATTCATCGATTAAAGCAGACGGTGATGCGGCCATAAATGTTCCGACTTCCGATATTCGTTAATAACTTGTTAATTACTGGCGAAATGGTTCTAAAAACTATCCTTGAATGTTACCAAGGGTCTATACTATATTCTTAAATTCTAAAAGTTCATATTTTGTTCCCAGAAAAGGAGTTATTAATGAATAATCAAGGTACCTACTGAGTGTCAGGAGTAGGAGGAGTGGGGGTAGCTGTACTCCGGATACCTCCTCTAACATTCTGTGATCCTGGGACGATTTTCGCAGTTCGAATCCCTGATATTAGATGGCGATACTATAGTTTGTCACTTTTTAACGCACACATATAAAGAAATAAGCATAAACATACCCAATTTGTAGTGCAATGATTGAAATAATTATCGCTTCCAGTAATCGTTTATAACTAATTAATTATACTAGAAAATATATAGAGAAATGGTTCAAGAACTGAATAAAACGTTAATCAAATTCGAATAATATTTGAAGCAGTTATAAAGTACTTTAGATTTGATAAAAATTAGGAAATTAATGGGAAAGGTACCATAGAGAGGAGAATGCGAATAAAAGGAAGCATGGAATGTGTGTAAACTATGATTTTGTGCTTTTATTAATATAAACACAAGTAATGTTTTACACATTTCTAATTGTATAGTAAAGAAATCTTCTTTTTTTTTTCGATAGTTTAAATATGACCCGAGGGGTTTAAAACGTATAGGTATTTTCATAAAAAGGAATTTTCAAAATTTTATTTATGTATGATCGAGTATTATTAAACTAAAGAAAGACTCGATTGACAGCGACGATAAAGCACAGATGATAAACAGGAAAAAAAGGAATATCAAATTTAAGAAACAGAAAGATTTCTAATTTACGAATGAACCGCGAACGGTAGTTAATTTACGAATAAATCTAAAGTTTGTGTACGTATTAGTTATTCGAATAAAAAAATCGCCTAACTCGTGATACATACTCGTGTTACGTGTCTCTGAATTGGCGCGATTTTATGACTTTTATCGAGAACTTTCTTACGTATGTATATTACACATTCCTTTCAAAATCAATAAAAATTGTATTTTCTTAACTACATTTTTTGCAACCTAAAAATTACAATTTTCGACACGATATCAGTTTCTTTATAATTCTTACCATGATATTAAATTTACAAGAATACGTGGGCGGGCTAGATAGTCGGAGCCTAATCTAGAGGATAAATGTAAAGGGACGAGTGTATCTAAACAACGGTTTCAGTCATTTCGATTATCACTTATTAATAGATTTTAAATATAATTTGTTTAAAATTATAGCATATGATACAAATAATGTTTGATCGTCGGTGATCAAAAGAGCGTTGGATATAGGCTGTATTTGTAACAACTGATCTTCGTGCATTACAATTCCTGCATTAGTTTATCCGTAAAAAGGATAAAGTACAATTTCAAGTATTGTTTCCATTCACCGCTAACGTAGATATGTGCAAATATTTTTATACATTAAAGGATTAGCGAAATACGAAGCGAGTATGTACAAGATATTCGAGTATTGAGAGACTTACGACAGTAGATAAATAGAAATATTGAAGAAATTCATAGAATATCAATTAAGTTATATGCATTCTATGACGACGAAGGAACTTCTTTCATTTCTTTGTTAAGAACGTTTGGAGAATTTAATAACATAGAAACTATACAGAGAAACAAGTTTTAGAATAGATGTACAAGATATTAATTTAGTTTTACAGAGTGTACAAGTTTTTTTTTAGATATTATTTGCACATACCTACTTTGTTACTTAACAAACATAGTTCGAATAATCACATCGATTGGTAATTATAAAAATAATCGTCAAAGAATATTCAAGGCCCAGCTCCAAAACGTTATAAATAAGTATGAGCGCGAGAAAACGAGAATAAAGAAAATACATCCATCGATTACATTTTATTATGGGCAATTAAACTGACTGTTGATGACGGTGTCGTATATTTGGTTCTGAAATAATATTCGTAATTAAGATTTCGTTAAATTTAATAAATTAAATAAATTCGATGAAAATGTATTATAAAATTCTTTTCGACTACGTAATGATACACACTCCAGGTGTAAGAGGATTCTCTGTACCAAAGTTGACTCATTTTATTTTTCTTCGTTTGAATATAAACATTTCGATTGTCATGTCTTTAATAAACTGTTGATAGACCATGAACAATCCGAACTAGGCATTCATGTAACAAATATACAATAAATATAAATTACAGCTATAATAAAAATTGTGAGAACAATATAAATCGCCATACAACTGATATTGTTTTACAGATACACTGTATATCTTATAAATTTCTTTTTGTTCAATGACTTTTTCCTCTGTATCTATCCATTGTTGATTATTATCCAGTGCACGTGTTTCGTACGCGAAACAATTACAAGAGAAACAATAAACAATTTATAGACGTTTTATCAAGACGCTCTAATAATACGACAAGGATTAAGAACAAATTTCTATTTTAACCCTTTCAGCACCAAAAATTTCTAACAGCGGAATTAGCAAAAAATGCCAAGTTGAACTGCCAATAAATGCAAAGGGATGGTATCCTACACGCGTAAAGTGCATTATTGTACAATATAACATACAAAACATAGCTTTATATTCTGTTTACGAAGTATGGTGAATATTAATACAAAAAGAAAGATATTGGCATTCAATTCACAAGTTTTATTATTTACAAGCAATTGGTCTATCATACAAATGTAAATTTGGTGGACTTCCTTGGAAAATCTTCTTTTTTTTTTATCATATCGAAAATTCGATTTTTAGGAAATAACAACAATGCCGTGGCTATGTACTTTTTGGTTTTCCAACACGGTACGGGTGGGTCGGTTCCCTTTGTACCGATAACACAATGAGCGATAAACATATAAGCGAAGTTGTTGTCAACGATGCCCCTTTATCATGGATTTTTTTTTATTTTTAAATATGTTACAAAGGGTGATATTTTAAACGACTTTTAATAGGCGGTCGATCTCGGTTTCCGAGATATTTGCAAAAATCCTAAATCTCCTTTTGAAACGCACCCACGACAAAGAACAGCCAAATCCTAATCCAAATTCAACTGAAACCCAATTAGTGTTAAAATAGTTACCGGTCGAGTTTACACTTATATCGTAAATATCTAAAAGAATTAAAGTCGATCGCCAATTTTTTTCAAATGAAAATGTTACTCAAAATACCGTAGTTTGTAACGTATTTATAAACGAACGAAATTCATGCCGAGGGGGGCATAATCGACAACTTCGTTCACCAATATATACAATAGAATAAATTAAAACAGACTGTAGGATACATGCCTGACCAGAATTAATCTTAACAGACACATGGAAGAATCTCTATCTAATTTGATAGTAGTGGCGCCAAATCTGACTTTAAGCAACAAACATTAACTAAAAGTATTAAATTCTCAAAACGTTATATCCTTGTAGGCATCTCCTTAATTATCAATAAACGGGATAATATATGTAGTTTATAATTAAATGTATTTCAAACATAAAAACAAAAGAGCAACCATATTTCGAAATAAAAAAAAATTGTAATCAAATTTATAACATATTTAAACGCTACTACTGCCAGATTAAATAAAATCGAAGCTTATGATTGATAATTATGTTGTAAGACTGCAATTTAACCTATACTGGCATTAAAAGGGTTAACTATTTATTGTGTCAGATAAATGTCCTTCGACAAAAATTATATATGTATATACTCTGTGCCGTGTTCGAACATTTAAAACTATTTAGCTTTCCAAACAAGACGATTTCCTAAAATGTTTTAATACAGATGAGCGAAGGTATCAAAATTTTTCGGTTTACAAAAGGGTATCGAGGATTCTGTGAAAATGCAGAGATGCAGGAACTCGAAATTTTATCAGTTACATGCATGTAAATCGTAACAAGTCCATAGTTTAAATTCGGATTATCATCGAGCAAATTCAATTTTCCCTCCTATTCTTCTCTTATTCGCCGGCAAATTGGCCTTTTCGTTACCTTCGTTAGTATTTATGCTCTTTCGTAAGATTCGATAGTTGGAAAAATAACTGAATAATTCGTCGAGTGACTTTAGATGAGCAGAAAGTTTGAAATACCAAAGATTTACCAAAGCACAGAATATTTGATGATTGTTAAATACTTGACTTTCCAAATATCTGACACGATGTAATCGTTTTGTACGCAACCGTATCATGTTCCCACACATGTCTACTTAACAGTTGTGTTTTATTATAAGTGCCTTTTCTTTTCGCGAACGGCGCGAAGAACGCGGAAATATAACACTTGGGTCTTGAATTGTAATGTCATTTAATGCTTCCCGCGACAAATTATTTACCACTTCCCTGTTATCCCTGTCAAGTGTGAAAAAATTATAAATTTATATCGTTTATAGCATATGTAAAATTTACGATTGATAAGTACCTATATAAAACCATAGATCCATCATCGAGATCGAGATCGAACTTGTAATCAACATGTCCGCTCCATCCTTGATAATTTTGATTTCGAATGATAGGTAACATATTTAGAAAATAGTTTGGCATTTTTGTTATACTTATATATTTCTCAGGAATATCCGATATAGCAGACAACTAAATAAAAATTTAATGCGGTTGTTAATTGCTTATATCTGTTGCAATATGTAATGAAAATTACTATCGTTTAATTCACTCACTTTTGTCTTCAATTCCATAACAGAATTTCTATCCATAATAATTTCCTCGAGTGGTCCAAGCTGCATGCTTGTAGGGGACCATTTCCTAACGAACACTACGTGTTGATCACTACTAGTAACTGGTTCTTTATCAGGTAATTCTTGTACGACAATTTCAGATGGCAAACCAATTCGATGATCTTCGAGTTTCTGATGGTCTAAATACAATGTAGTTACTAACGAACCACACTTTTCTCTCAGTCGACATCTGTCAAACGGTATATCTATATTATGTTTTCTCTTAATTAATGCCAGGATTTCTTTCTTCGCCTGGCCAAAAGTCATATCTGTCGACAATATTATCTCGCCCAAAAGTTTATAAAGCTATAAACGTAACAATCAGAATTGGTAATTATTTGAATAAATCTTTATGTAGATAATACAAAGTGATTGGTAAAACGTATCAAAGATCTGTAAGAGGATCGTTCTATAATTTGTACATACCTCGGGCGAATTGATATCTAACTGATATGCTGTTACAGTAAATTCATCACTACGTAACGGACGTGTTAGCTTTATACAAAATTCCTGATCCACCGCGCAAACAGCAAGCTTGTCTTTTATATTACACCACTCGGATCCGTAAAGTTCATGAAGCTGGTGACAAATTTTAAAGTATTCCGTTGGTACACCAACATACGGTTCTAAAGCATTCTTCAAGGCGATGAATGTCATTCTCTTGTCTACTTGTACTTTCAAAACTGTAATTAAAATAATCGTTGTTGTTAAATTATTTTTAACGTCTCGAATAAATCAAGGCACATACATTTTTGATTATGAACCGTGTAGGGTGTAGCTTCGAAATAATATTCTTCATCGTCAACAACGTTGTCCCTGTGCTCAAGTTTAATTTGTTTCAAACGGTTGCTTTTATTCGATGAAACTTTTTCAATGAGAAAATAATCATGTTCTAGAGCGTCTCCGACCAATGTTTTATCACTATCGCTAAGGCTACTATCTTCGCTATTACTTTGTTCAGGAGTATTCCACTCCTCACTTTCTCCCAATTGTGGGCTTGCATTTCTTACAGGTGCATCCTCGTTACAACTCTTTTCACTTTTTGGAACTTCACTGCGTTTAGGACTAACGTCACGATGCGAATCGTTAACGCTTACTTTGGATGGACTGTTATCAATAGGTTTCTCTTTATCCTTATATTTCTCATCTAATAACGGAATATTCCATTCTTCCAAACTTTCTGAAACATTTCAGTAAAACATGTAATAATACGTGTAATAATTCTATGATGTTGTGTCTCACCACTTACCTTTACTCAATTCAGGTAATTTAAGGAATAGCAATATAGTATTTTTGTAATTTTCTATAAGTTCACATATTGTCGAATGATGAAAAGTTTTACATTCGGTATCAGGGACATTTGATATATAAACATTCATTAAATGAGTGAACCCTGCAGTCTGAAGTTCTACATCGTCGTCTACTTCAATCACTGCATCTAAACCATACTTTTGTAAAAATACTTTCATATCACCGAGATCCCTGCCGAACGTTTTCGCTACCACTTGTTTATATTCTTTGACAGTTTGTGAACGTGTCCCGGGTACATCTATTGGCCCATCTATGAATTTTTTCCTAGGTATATCAATAATGTACACTGTTGTCGAAATATCTACATATTAAAACAAGAAAAATAAAATTACTCCCTTTTTATTTTACGCGTGAAATTGCGTTTATTTGTGTACAATCCGAAATACATACCATTATATGGTTGAAACTCTTCGTCTACTTTGCGAATTTCTAATAAGTAGGAAGACCCCCCCATTTTATAAATGTCAAGTGTTTCGTGTTCTCTTCCCTCGTAACTACTTATGATCGTATCATTGTTATGATCGTAAAGAACTAAACGGCACTGATTGAAACTCACTATCTTGGTCAATTCGAAGTATTCGTAACACAGTTGTGTGATTTGTTCCAAAGTTGCACCGAACGTAATGGGAATTCCTATCCTCTTCTTGCCTTCTAAAGGATGCATACAGTATACTATTATTTTAGACACAGGCAACTGTGCGTGAAAATCTAAAGGCGTCCGCATTTCACATTTATGAACTATATCTTTTCCCATGTTTAGTAACTTTTGTTCCGTACTGTTCGGTACTACACTTTCATAATTGAAATGACACACTTTAGGTACTCGACATATTTTGTCATTATCCTCATTCTCCTTCATCTTTTTCAATAGTTCCTGGAATTTATTTATCATATCATATCATATCTGTTTAACGGAGTTGAAATAAATTCAAAATGACTGCGATAAAATCTTTCAAATTTAATATATTACCTGTATATGCTTTGGAAAATCCTGCACTTGCATAGGTAAAGCATTACGAACAGGATCAATTTGTCTGTACATGAGCATGTATGCATTTGTACTACTACATGCTCCGCTGTAATATGGCCTGGTTGGTCCGCCACCATACGTTTTTTGTATATCATCGTGAGTTATCTATAATTGAAAACATCACAATTTTAATCATGTTATTGCCATATAGTTTCAGTTGAATCTACGAATTCTTGGTTAATAGCAGTCGACGATTATAATTCGATGTCTTTGTGTACCTGTGTTACGCTTTGATCGTTAAAACACAGCCACTCTTGTGTCTTGAAATCTTTTATATAAGCATAGTAATGACCACCACTTGCACTACCACTGTGGATCATAATCGAAAACAATTCATAATTATAAGGGCCCTTTGCCTCATTGTTACTATGATTTTTTTCGTTCTCATGATTATGCACGGTACAATTTGATGTTGATGGACAATTACTTATATGTATACCTAAAAATAAATCGTTCAAATAATTGTTAATCTTAAAACGTGTTATTACTCACGAAACAAGCGTACCTTCATCGTCGCCATCTTGATCATGATTTCTCGAATGATTACTATTAGGAAGACTACTTTCACAGGAAGGATAATCATCGTCTAAAGTACCACTGTCCGTTGTTGAGCCATCATCGCATTTCACTAAACTAATATTTTCATCGCTACCTGGAGATTCATGATTTCTTGTAGATGATATGAAGGGATTTAAATTTAATATGTCCGGAAAAGTGACCCTAAAAATCCATTATCAAGGTATATAATAGTTGTAAAATGATATCATATGATAGTGTCGATTCACAAAGAAACTCACTTATCGTTAAGTTTAACTCTGTGGTAAGTTTTAAAGTCAAAATCAAATCGTTTAAGATGAAGTGTCACAAGATATGGAAATTTTGTAAATTTTAATCCTTTATGCGCGTTGCATTTTTTATTACATTTTTCACAATAATACTGATTACTTCCTTCCAAAGTTTCATACTGAACAAACGCTTTTAAGGCTTCTTCCTATTAAACAGAATTTTTATCTGCACTCAGTTCATACTAATCCATTTATTAAAATGTATTGCATGAGCTTACCACGCTGTTATACGCCACGTTACTGCCAAATGATCTAACTGGTAATGGGATATCAAGAAAAGTGTCCTCTCTAGATTTCTCGGTGCCACATTCAAGACATTTAACATAATCGATCATCATTCCTAACAACATAAAGATTAAATTAAAAATTCTTTTTTAACAGATATAAATTAATTAAATTTTTACCTTCATAATGCCTATTGATTAAATCGGCTTGCTCTGTGTTCTTAAATTTTTGTTCTAACGCATCGAACATGACTCTACAAAGTTCCTGAATGTCATGTTGCTGCCAAGCTTCTGTAGAATCCCAACCAAAACTTTTTGTTAATGGCGTAGTCTCCACAGCTGATCTTGATGATGTCTACGAATACAAAAAAAATCTGTATGATAAATCTTCTCACAATTGAATCGCATCACAAGTTGTACAACACAATCGCAAATGTAATTAATACCTGCAAATTTAAGAATAACTTTTGCAGTTGATATGGAATACTATTAGCTTCGTCTGTTCCCGATCCATTTACATATTCCCAATTATACAATGCATTACGAAATTCAGGTGTCATATATAATGCTTGAAGCAAACTATTTAAGTAACATGTCATTGCTTGATTTACTAAACCAACATAACCTTAAAGAATAACATAGAAAAGTTTAAGGAATGCATAGTGTGTAATGTAGACTGTATAGAGTGAAACTTAAAAAAAAAGTATTTGTTATAAATATTTTTTCCATACATGTTTTAGATTTAATATAACTTTTAAAATCAACATTATTATCTTCTTCCCATATCGATGATAGATGAGATGCTGGTGCTGGATGACATTTAGATGGTCCACCCCTGAATGCCTTTTGGCATGATTTGTCATCAGGACCCACGACTAAGAGCGTGTACTTAGGTTCAGTTGAATCTCGATCGAAGGAAAAATCCAGACCAAGCTCTACCATAGTTTTATCTTTCATTTTAGACAAATCAATCTAGTGTCGATAAAACACCATTAATTTATACACAAACAAAATACTAAACAATAAAATACAATAAAATAAAGAAAAAAAATTATAATTACTAACCACTTTTTCTGCTGACGATAGATACAACTTAAATCTGTTTGCTTGTATCTGAGTATGTTTTTCAATATAATCATAAAGATCCTTACCACAGGTAGATTCACATAATGGACATCTGTCAAGAGTCAGAGTCTCGTCTTGATCTTCGTCGAATAATTGGAATTGAATCAGACATGTATGACCAACTCTACAAACCATGGTGGTCTGTAATAAAATATAGAAGAAAAGATAAAAGAATTAAAGGAATATATTATTTAAAATTACAGTTTGCTAAGTACCGATAATAGTTCAAACAATTCAATGTGTTAAATATATTTCAACAAAGTTGTATTACTCGATATTTTCTTATCGTACACTTCGTTAATTATTGTGTGCTTTTCATACAAGAGAAAATTGTTGTTCTTAAATTATACATCTATAAAATATTAGCAAATTAATTCTATTATAAATATACATTTCAATATCATTTCGTATAATTATCAATGAAACAAATTACTGCACTAATAAATATTACCCCAAGTATTATTAAAAATTAAAAAGAAAGCAACTTTTAATTAATGAATATATTTAGAAATAAGTATTGCAAACTGATCAGCAATTCTTAGATAAACAAAATTGGCATCATGCCATGCTAAAGGTGGAAAATGAGTGAAATCTACGCAACACAGTAAGATACTACTCTGCACAGTATGACACAGTAAGGAAAGTCTATAGAGCCTCCAGTTATATTTAGAATGTCTAAACGAAGACTTGGAAAATGGCTCTCTTCTCCGAGATCAGAATTCTCCCCTCTTACCCCTTTTCTTTCTCACTCTATTGCCTCTTTCTAATCCTACATTTTTTTGCACATTTGCCAAATAAATGATACTCTATGTTATATTAAGTTATAAAATTTAACCTCAGCATATATTTTAATATATACTGGTTAATAATAAAAAATTTGATAGTGAAATTACATTAATCGAACAATAGTGTGATAATTTTATCATAAAACAGAAAACATAAAATTATTAAAATGAATTTTTTTTATAAATATTAATAAATGTTACTTAAACATTTTTACATTTAAAAAGTAATAACTAGAATCTGTAATTACAGCGAATCTACATACAATGAACCAAAATTTACATTAAAATTATTTATTTAAATTTTACTTTTAAAACTTACCCAACAGTCCTATTTTTATGGAGAATATACTTTCTGCCAGTTTATACTATAGAATCCACTTCGTGTATACCTACTACTTGTTTTAGTCTAAAAGATTCAAAGTAACACAAAATTATTACAGCAGATCCACAAAACTGAAAAATTATTAGAAATTATCAAGTCAATGTTTTAACGTATAACAGTATCGAACAGAAATAATATTTCATTCGCACTGTGTTTAATTAAACGTTACTATGATCTTTGAAATCAACAATGAACATCGCGTCTTTTTTTTTTAACACGTTCACGCTGGGGTAAACAAGACCAAGATGCAAAGAATGTTACAAATGTTTATGTAAAAGAAATGGTAGACAGTATGCCATGAAGAAGGACAAAAAAGTAACGACGTATTGCAACCAGTGTGAGGACAAGCCAGCACTCTGTTTAGAATGTTTACAAAATTTGCATAGGTACAAGTAAATAATTACACTAACTTTAGGATATTGCATTATTATGTGTGCATGACCAAATTTTTGTTTCATAATTTATATTTACGATGTTTAGATAGAATAAAATAAATCCTACTTTCTTCAAATAATATACATTCAATTCATATTATTTACATTTTCAATAGAATGATAATTCTTCACGATTATTAAATAAACTAAATTTTTAATGGTACGCAACGTCTGATCGAATGTTCAAGCATGACCCACCGGTGATGCATACCGTCGGATGGGACAGTCGAGAGTGATCCACCGATGGGTCACGCCGGCGTGAACGTGTTAAGTTCGCTTATAAATGTAAAACTGAAACCGACTTTTACATTTGAGACGAACAAAATGTTTCGTAAACAATTAATTGCAGATATAAAAATCAAATGCGGCTACTGCTTTCCGCAAATATAACATGTAAAAAACCGTTTCTAATAGAAATTTAACACATACAATAAATAATATCACAAAACGATGAATTCACAAAACATAAGCACAGGCTTATTTTCACAGTTTTTGTTGGTTTTTTTGTAATAGGACCGAAAACAAAAAACGTGTAACTTTCGTTTCAAAATGTTTATGCGATGAAAACGTAATAAGGCTAGATGAACAAAAATTGCGCATATAACACTCAGAAGATCGGAATGCGCTCTCGTGCTAGTGGAAGCGAGTTAAGAACGACTGGTTTTACTTTGTGTCTATCAACGAAACGTTGTCCTGAGAAACATACGACTCTTCGATGATACTTAGAGGCTTAATGGAAACGGAAATATCGAATTGATGCTGCACCAGTTTGTTAACCCGACACTAACAAGAATAAACGTATCCGAAGGTCTTATGAAATGGCTGGCTGAATACTCGCTGTGTCCAAGCTCGTGTCTTAATCGTATACACCTGACTGATTTCCACAGAAATTAATTACTCACTTTACGTTTCTTCATTATATAAAATCTAACAAACATATCTTTCTGTGCGTCGATAGAAAAAAAATTCAACATAAGATTTGACCTCTTACCGAAATCACTGACACAAGTGCAACATTCATTATTCGCCATATTTCCTAAGTAACTGTGACAACGCTTCTTGTATTTGTCGCTAGAAGGCTACAAAAACCAATCAATTCTCACAAGTTCTTTAATAACACTAAACCACTGATCTCTATATACTAGAGCATAAACAAGATGCAGAATAGATGTTGTAATGAATACTTTTTTTTGTGTTGCGCGTATTGGGAGCAGAGATACCAGACCGAGCCCCGGGTGCACCGGGTACACCTCATTCCACTTTCTCACACTACGTCAAAGAAAAACTGATACATGCCCTCTTCTGACACATGCTACATACTCTTTCTTTCTATTAAGTGCAAAATCAAACTCTCGCGTAAATAGCAATTCAAGTACTTACTCACTCACTTCATGCAGCGAGAGGGGAAAACTTCTAGCTCTAGAACCAATCACGACTCTTCTTCACGTTGGCGTCGCAGTCGCAATGCCAATGGTGTTCCATTCGGTTCACTGGAAAAATCAAAACCATAAAAAATTTAAAAATAGCACGGCACAGGGCAAATATTATATGTAGTTTTTATTTCGAAATTTTCGTCCACCAACAAAACTAAACGATTCCGAGCTCCATAGAACACCTATTGCTACGTGTAAAAATAAAGATTTCAAGCGGAATTGTCATAAAGTGATTAAAATCGAAAACTGTCGATATTGGTTTTTGTAGTTTTTGGAACACGAATAAAATCGTTGTACGATTGTGGCGACATCAATGCGCACCAGTCTACGGTATAGCTGCTGCGATGGTGTAGTGATCGCCATAGAACTCGTAAAAATTTGTCGATGTACTCGATGAACTTCGGGTAAGTTAATTTGTTAATTTTTACCGATGTATTCGCAGTTGAACTCAGTGTTCAACAATCTGTTTGAAAATCAAAGTCGCGTTCATCGAAAATCTTTTGCGAACATCGTACCGAATGACCTTTTTACGAATATCACAGAACCGAACCGACAATTTTTTTTATAGATTCAGAATAAAATATCCGCTAACAATTTAAGAATATCTTGTACGAAATTCTCATTTGGATAATCTTAAAATCATACCGATAAACGGTGTTTCTTTATCGAATTACAATACGAAAATTCATATGCCGATTCACAGAAATTGACAGTTCGTAGAACATGAAGTTAAAAAAAAGACTTACTTCTTTTAAATTTAGCGAATTACTTGGTTTTTTTTTTTTTTAGCTTTGCATTCTCTATTCTAGGTATTCCAAAATTTCCTTTGCTTCTTACAAAGACCGTCTCACATAATAAATGACAGATGGATGAAACTGAACGTTAGAAATTCACTTCTACTTCCATTATATGATCAGATGATCAGAATAAGTATTGTTTGTCTATGCTGAAATAGCTATTGCCACCAAGATGAACATTAATTCAGTAGGCATCACTGATCTCTTTAACCTATTAGAGTCTAACAAGCTTGGAGAAGTAGAAGAAATAAAAAAAGTATTCCATGAACTTTTTCTATGTAGTAAGTAAGATTCTGCAATTTACGCAAATAAATTTTTGGCTGGCTGTTAATAATTTCACATATTTTACAGCAAAAGACAATTGGTTGGTAAACGGCCTCTTTGACTATTATCTGTCTACAAATTCTTTGAGGGCTGTTGAGGTATTAGCCAGTGTTCGAGACCCACACGATAGGCATCTGTTGGATCGTTTGTCCGAAGCCCTTTCCAAACCTGGAAGCAGCAGCCAAAGAATTCAAACTTTTACTTTGTTAGGTCATATTGCTCGTCGTCAACCGACATGGCTGTATAAACTTGCCGGTCATGCTTTATTTCGGGATTTGCTTAAGTTACTTAAGGTGGGGCCCAGTTTTATCGAAACGAACAATGTAGTTTTTTGTATCGTTAAATGTATATAATTTTACATCTAATCTGATTTTAGATGGAAGCAGATACATTGTCTCTTATGAGCGCGCTTTTACTCTTGGTAATGTTATTGCCAATGTTACCAGCTGCTTTAGGGCCATACCTTTCAGAAATTTTTGAAGTATTTGGCCGATTGGCTTCTTATCATCATCAATCGTCGTCTTTGTTTTCTGCTCCTATGCATTTCGCTCCTACAACAACAGGAACTATTGATAAAAATCATTTATATTTATTGCATCTACAAGTGAGTATCGATACTTGTTAGTAAAGCACGAATAGGTAATTGATATTTCTATGATTTGTTACAGGTGGGACTGTACAGTTTATTCCACAGATTGTATGCCATGTATCCTTGCAATTTTATTTCATATTTGAAACAACAATATATTCAACGTGACCAGTTGGCTACTTTTACTCATACGATTAGACCAATGTTGGATTCAGTGCGTATGCACCCGTTACTCGTCACTGCATCTAAAGACGCAGAGATTTCTGCTGCTAGGTATATTTTATGTTATAAATCAATTTATATCGTTTTATATAAAATTTTTTATAATACGTTTATTGTCTATTCGATTATATTTATAGGTGGAAAAAGATGGAACACCACGATGTTATGGCAGAATGTGGCCGTTTCACGTTAGACAAATGCCGAGAGGAAGTATATAATGCTGTAAATTCACGCTCTACGCCGCCCTTAGGTATGTAAATCTTACTAGGATCAAATGTAGCTATGAATGTAATTATGCTAGATACATTTTCTAGATCACTCTTCTATGTGTACTTCAATAAACACTAGCAGAGTAGCACCATTGGAAACTAGCAACGGCGAAGATGATACTTTTTGGTCGCCAAGTATGTCGGTGCCACCACTTAGCCCTCCATTTCCAACTACATCTCATGAACAACGATCTGCTCCCTCAACACCCAATAACAATAGAAGTGGCACATCTCCACCGGAAGCTGCGGTCGAAGCCACGCCCGAAACAACTCCCGTCAAGGTACGTTTGCAAAGGATAAGAGAACAATCAAAATTATATTTCGAATTTGACACAGGATTTACGGAAATTGTCAGCAAGACAAGTATCCGTGGGATCTGGCGCCGTCCGTTCTATTACTGTATTTGGTAATGGTACAGCAGGATCGAGTTCACGACCATCAACGCCCATTCCCTTAAATCCACCGGTGTCTGCGACGACTAGTTCTACAATCGGAAGCGGCGATGGAAGTAATGCACATGGATTTTTTTCGCACAAGATAAGTAAAATCATTGCGGATAGGCAAGGTGTTAGCCAGCAAAGGTCGTCAGTCAACGTTGACGAGAACGGAAGATTTTCAGAAGTGGATACGAATCAGAATGGAAAAAACGATTCTTGGCACGAAGATCAAGAGGTTTTGTATTTTATATATTTTTATATGTAAAAGCGTTCCATATTAATGATAGTTGGTAGACATGTCTGCATATATTGTGCAGGTTTTAGAAATTGTAAGCTCTCAAGCTGCTGGAAAACTCGAATGCTCGAAATATGTTGAACGGCAGCAGCACCATAACGAGAAAATGCAAAATACTTTGGCAGATTTGTCCGAGAGGGTTTATCAACTGCGTTTGTATTCTCAATGTCAAATTCCAGCAAAAAATTCGAATTCTAGTTCGCTTTCCAAGGTAATATGTTTTCGGTAATATCAGTTACATGTATAAATACATTGAATAAAAAGAAAGAGGGAAAAAATAGAATTTCAATATTTGAAAACGAAACTTATATTTGTAGGTTCGAAAAAGTAAATCTTGTCCAGATATGGACATTAAGAAACAAACTAAGGGGGGTAAAACAGATCAGATGAAAGTGATCGGGGGAAAAAGATTGGAAGAGATTGGTACACAAACGTCTGATCTGCTTCCGTATGAATATTTGCTGCTGGGCATTTTAGATCAAACAAATCAAATGAATGTACAAAAACGTGTCCAACAAGATGCCGAAGTTAGATTGTCGCCAACCGCGATGCTCGATCGATACGTCGAAGCTTGCACACGGGCCAGTAACGTTTCTGGTGATAAAATGAGTTAGTATACACTCGAATTTCATAACTATAGTTACATTCTAATTACTAATGGACAGTTTAATAGAGTAATTCCTTTAAAGGAACTAATCCAGTAAGACAGAAGCAAAGGAAAGAAAATGACGGGGAAGACGAAGCAGGGGAGGATGATGCTTTGGACGTTACGTGTGCAAGTCAACTGTTACAACTCATGCAAATTCAATTGCAGTTTGAACGGCAACGTAGAGAAGTTCATGCTGAACGTAATCGAAGACTTCTCGGTAAACTGAGGGACTCGCGCGCGTTAGAAGAACACAATTCTGCTTTGGTCAGTTGACATTATTTACTTGAAATACGAATCATCTGGATTTTTGTTAACTCTAGGCTGCTATCGATAAATACCATGTTCTTGTCACAGACTAATCGATTGAAAATAATGGAAAAAGAAGTTGAAGGCTTGAAGGCTGAGTTAGAACATAACAAGAGAGAAACTTGTCAAGCTGAACAACAATACAAGGAGGTATTGCATCACTGGCAAACTAAGGTAACCTGGTCAAAGACTGCTAATTGAAATGTTAATTAAAAACTTCATGCAGTAACGTGATTAACAATGTATAGTGCGTGGAAGAAGAACGAAATAATCAGACGCTGAAGGAACTTCTTGAATCTGTCGAAGTTGAATTAAAGAATGAACAAAAGAAGGTAGTGGAATGTGAACAGCAAATTCGTTCCACGGATGCTTCTCTTTTCGATGCGGGGCATCGATTAAGAGTAGCATTAAAAGCTGCGGATCGTAGCAAAGAATTAGAACGTACTCTTGATACCGTACAAAAGAAATTCCTTCTACTCGGAGAGGTAGCACTTTTATAATGTTTTTTTTTTTTAGTATTTTATGTGATGTTTAATGTATCAAATTCTATTTCATGCACAGGCACAAGCAAAACTGCAAGAAAGTACAGGTGGTGTTTCGCCAATGAGTAAACAAGAAGCAACGCAGATACAAAGATCATACACGGAAGAATTAACTAGTACGTAAAATATTAAAAAGGCAAAATAGAAATAAATTATCACCGATATACATACACATTTGGTATTTTTAGACCTACGTCGTCAACTGGAATCACGAACATCTCTCGTGGAAGCCTTGAAAGTTCGTTTAAGCGAACTAGAAAGTAAAGATTCGCGAAAAGAGGCACAGCTTGTAGAGCTGCAACGACTTTTACAAGAAACAAAAGATCAACACGAGTCCGAGTTGGAAGCCGTTGAATCGAAATATAAAGCTCAAGTCGAAATTAATCTTCTTCTTGAGAGTCGTATACTTGAACTTCATGGTACATTGGAACAGGCGACTAGCAATACTACTACTATGAACAATCTCGCTTCTTCGGCATCACCTAAAGAAAGATCGCCTCCATTGTCGGCCAGTCTAGCTTCTTCCAGCGAAGGAAGCCTTGCCTTTATCCATTCTGGTACTGGGATTATGATGAACGACTGTTGTGATACCGCAGGCGAAATTTCTAATCTGCAAGCCATCGTAGAGCCTGCGCCGAATCAGGCAACTTCGCCGTCTCGTCAAAGTCAGCAGAAGCGAAATCCTAAACAAGACTAACGCTACGCAAAAACGGCCATCGAGTCTTTGTGCATGCAGCAATTCTATTTTGCGCGCGAGCAATTGTTATCCACTGCCGTGGTATTAAATCAGAAGAAAGTTATTTGTAGCTTTTTATCGACATATTATGCGGAATTCATACAAATATTATTGCGTGATTTCGATAAATAATTGAAAAATACACTGGTAATTAATAAAATTACTAGCATGATATGATTTCACTCTTGAAAAAATGAATTCACAATGAATAAATGGTTGAGATATTTTGTGAGCAATTTTTCAAGTCTCGACTAAACCCATCCTCGTATACATTTCCTTCGCTGTCTCTCTTTCTATATATATTCATAGTTAGTAGAATTTTCATGTGTGTTAATAGAATTAAAAGAAAAACAATTATTTCTTATTGTAGAAATATTGATTATGTTATTGAGCACGATAATAAGATTTTAATATTGGTACGTAATACTGAACAATATTTTGCTTACAAAGTGATATTGTATAGAATGACGTAAAAATGAATTACGAATGTGTGAAAAATTAAACTATCGATCATTAATTACATTCTGTTAAACAGCCACTGCTAAGTAAACAATTTGTAAATATATAAAATTTCTCAAAAATTGATTTTCTTTTATTAATACGTTTGCAATTCACGACTCATTGTCATAAGAATCGCATCATCTGGATTAGCGTAATTCGCCAAATCTGGAATAGATGAAGAAACTTTTCGCCGATCAAACGAAGTTTCGATCATGTACCTAAAATTATTTCATTTAAGGTTATTTATGTATTCACATAAACCTTACTCACGATTGTGACCCATATGCATCGGCGACGGTTTCACTTTTCGCAATAATAGTTGAATAAGCCAAAAGCAAGTTAACCACACTAATGCTCCTACTGAAAACACTCTGAATGCTACAACACCGCCATACGAGTCCATTAACCATCCACATATTAAGCTGCCGCTTGATGTTCCTAAAATTAATTACCAATAGTGAGAGTTGATTAAGAAATTCAAGCTTGTAGTAATAATTTATTATTTCTAACCGATTCCTTCAAATATAGCACCAATGAATCCTTGTACAGTGGCCTTGGTACCAGGTGGTGTTACTTTATCCCCATACGATACCATAGTAGGCCAACAGAGACCTAATGATGGTCCATGAAGTATTTCAATAATTAAAAACCACCACGGGTTTGATACTATGCTGTATGCCATGAACCTATAAAATATTACATTTTTGCAATTTCTATATACATATAGTGTATGAAGTAACGCATGGGATCCAGAAAAACAATGGAAAAAGTTCATATAAATATGTGCCCTATACGATCCTGTTCTCAAGTTATAGTCATTTTTCAAGGAACCGAGTAAGTACAAATATAGCAATATTCTAAATTTTAAATTCTTTACGTTAAGCAGTATTAAAAGTATTAGTAATAGATAAATTATTTACCTGATTGCATAGACCAATAAAACCAAGCTCATAACATTTATATGGCCTAGTTTTTGTAATACTGTTCCTGAAATGAAATTAAAAAATAATTCTCCTAAAAAACATTGTATACCAGTCAAAAGGCCTTGCAAGGTTTTGAGCCATGCTATTTGAGAACTGGTTGCCAAGTCTTCGGTGTACCAAAATAGGAAATTCCATATTACTCCAGTACACATTCCAGCACCTATGCACCACCATCCAAATACCAACATATTTCCTTCCTTACAAACATTAAGTAGCTCCCATAATATCGATGGCTGGTCCTCTGTGCATTCTGGGGTTTTCTGTAACAATACTGTTTTCCCCATTATCTGGCAATTTTATATTCTTTTGATAAGTAAAAAGTATTAGACTTTATTTAAATTTATATTCCATTGTAATAAGGTGTACATATAAAAAAAAAGGTGTACCATCTTTAAAGTTGTTGATACTATAATATTAAATATCATAATGACCAGCATAATATAAAATACAGAAGTGTAATCCTTATGGACTTGTCCTTTGCTTAAAGTATCTACCAAATATCCTGCGCTTAGTCCAAAAATACCAAAACCAATACAGCCCCACATTTTTTGTTTTCCATAATCGTTCCTTCTCTCATTTCCTACAATGCATAAATAAATGTTAGGATGGTAAGAGATTTTTAATCTTTGACACAATACCGACCGAGAAGATTGAAACATATAGTATCCGCTATGCTGACTACAACTGCCATTCCAATCCAACTTATTATAGTCGTGGACAAAAAAAAATTAAACTGATACATTGAACTTTCTGTAACATTCGTCTGAGAAACTTCAACTTCCTTCAACAGCTGATTAAAAATTTGATTATTTTTACACGTAGCTATACATGTTGTTTCAACATGATTTTTACAAAATGGTTTAGATATAGTATTATCTGTGAATGTCGCCGTAAGAATCTTAATGTATATACACTTTTCAAACTGTAAAGTAAAACGTTCAATGGTTTTTTATTACACCTTAATAAATATAGAAAATTGTATAGATAATGTCTTACATTGTCATCGTGAAACACATCGAACCCTAAAGTGAAATCAAATGTATCCGAATCCTTTGTCAAATTTGAATGCGCCAAATTACAAAATTGAGATGCTTCCCAGTTTGAACACATTTCTGTGTACACCTCCTTTGTGCCTTTGCAGGACATCTAAAGAAATGAAAAGGTGAAACACGTTCAAATTAAATTAAATTACATCTGATACGTTAAAGATACGAGACACTTTCTATGATAAATTTAAGATAATAAACATCATACCTCGCAAGATATATTTAAATGTAAGGATTCTGTTATCACATTGTGTATAACGCTATTAGAAAATCCATTTTTAGAACACACTTCTAAATATGCATCATCGTGACAAGTAAAAGTAACATTTGCACTACTGTTTATTTCAGGTATAAAATGTATCGTGAACATAGATATAGCAACTACCGCTTGAAATATTAAAAATAATGTTTTGTGAATGTTAAACTTGTCGGCTAGACCACCGAACAAGGGTTTTGCTACTAAACCTGTTATTGGTAGTATTGTGTATATAGTGCCCACTAAAAATCCAGAAAAACCTAATTGTTTTGCAATTGTCGGTAAAAATGGCACTATCGGTCCAGTAGCTGAAGAAATAAAAAAATGCGATTAAGAATACAATTTTACAGCATTATATCATTTCATATACAATGTGTTCTTCTTACCAGCATTAAATAAAAAATAATGTGCTTTTATTGGTAGTAACTCCTTATTTATACTTTCGAACATTTTGAACGTTCATATGTTACACGGTAAATTAAAGTCACAAAGTGTTATCTGAACATGAAATGCATTCCGTAAGTAATTGTTTTTTAAGATTGCGTATCGTTTACACGTGACACAACCATCAATAATGTCATGAGATTCGAATAAATTTAGTTATAAAGCGCATGCAATTCTCTTCGCGATTATACGTATACTGATTCTAGTTACTGTGTCTGCAATTTTCAACGTCTAAATCACGAAACTCAAGAAGGAGGCGGACCTTGTATAGTTATCATGTTCACATTCCACACGCACTATTATGTTTCATTCTATTATACATACATTCTTATAAAGAGGTTAGATTTTCTATCGTTACATTTGCAACTTTACCATATTTATATTAAATATATAACCGTGCATTTCATAGAATGTTAAATAACAAGCAACGTATCGTAAATGTCAATAAAACAAAACAATCACGTACTATATTCATGCATCGATCTAATTACTTTTACCATCGCGTTTGTGTCAATATCGGCACGTCGGCACTCTAAAACGACTACAACGATCGAAGAAATTCGGCACCAGATCAATTTACGCTTGTTAACAAAACCAATGGGAGAATGAGACGCGTTATGCGATTGCGTAACTATTGCTAAGCAATAGGTATGAAAAATATAATAAAGATGAATCGCAAGTTTATGTTATGCCTTTTTGCTCCGAACTAGTTTCAACAGCTGCAAATAAGAAAAATTAAACAGAGCTGAAAACGATCTTGTAACAAACTGTGCTTTAATCTGTCATCGATACATTTACAATATACATTTACAATATATATGTATATATTTATAAGTTTTAATATACCGCTTCCATCCGATTCTTTTTAGCAATAAGGTGGGTTAATGTATGATTGCGGCGTATTATACTTAATTTTTCGTCTTTATTCACAAGACATACATGCACACACCCAGCCATACATACGTACACACATTTAAGTTCCCTACGTTTATCCCGTTTGTAACCTACCGCGGACGATTCTACAAGGTCTTTGACATTGCAGATCTTTCTTTACATCGAGCACATCGTCTATGAAGGATATGTATTTTATATACAAAGAAACGAAATCTAGCTTACATACTATAAGAATCTATATATTCTACATAAGATACACCGGCAACAGTGTGCTCGATATCATACAGAAATCCTTCGAATTTAGAAATCACGTATAACCCTACGTATCGTCTAGTTGTTGTTCCTTTTTTTCCGTTTCTTTCAACATAAAAAAGGAAAACAACATTCACAACAGGCTAAAAATTACGAGCGCTGTCACGAGGGGGATTATAATCGTCTTCTCGCTAAGAAATCGAATATTGCATAATCCACATCTCGATCGATGCATCGAGATAGAGAAATAGAGGCGCTATAAGAGCGTAATAGACAGAGGAACTTTTGATAGAAGGTTACTTCCGGTCACTAGCGACTGAACTTGACGCCTAAGTTGTCGACTAGCCATTAGAAAAACTATCAAAAATTCCTACGCAAAGTAGGCTTATCCTTTATGTACATATGACTACATAGTAGATTACCGAATAAAAGCTAAACATCTCTTCTTTTCTGATAAATCGTGTAAAAATGTCAAAGTTTCGTATCGTTTTGATAAGAAAAAGGAGGGGAAGTGGAAGGAAACAAATGTGAAATAGGGAGGGGTGTAGACAATTCGGTGCAACGGCCGGCACCCTAATTCCAAAGAGAGCTTTAAAAATCCGTTATTCGCTAGTCAATCAGTAAAAAATATTTCGAAAGAAAGAAAGAGAATCGAACGATCAACTTTATGCGCTCCCTTTACTGTTTGACGTTCACGAGTTTACGGTGCTTGTTTCGACGATCTTGAGGACTATCGTAATCAGAATTTTCCCCTATTCCTTTACTTCGGTACCGGGATTCCTCCTCTTCGGAAAATTATAAAATTCGTTAACAAAAGTAAAATAAAAGAATATTTGGGAAACGATAAATCGATTACATTTTTTTAAAAATGAAAAAGATATTAATGTTGCTAATGCACTGTAACGGTCCCTCGAGTCAAACGATTTAAACAAGAAAAAACGACGGCACCGATAGTTTTTTTAACAGAAAAAATTCTGATTATGGTCACAGAGAAACATGGTTAGATGAAATAGTGTTTACAATCGGGAACAGCGCATCTTGCGGCGTTGGAGCGAAACTTGTAATACTTTCACTGCCATATCGACCATCGGTCATCGATACCGACCCGCCTGCGTTCGAGTGAAACATTTATAAATGTATTATCGCTTATTTCTGTTAAACTGCGACTACGATTGACAACAGGAAAAAGGTACAAAGTATCAAATGCACTCATAAAACACTAGTAAACACAGTTTTATCTAAATTAATCTTGTACTCGTGTCATACAAATTGTACCCAAACAAACGTTAGAAAAATAACAGACGTACGTTACATTTGAAAATTAAGAAAAAAAGTCTTAATAAACATGGGCCCGTAAATCCATTTGCCTCTAGGATATAGTTTGAAACAAATATTTTAACAGAATAAATTATGGCGGTAGGGCGTTTAAAATGGCCTCCATTGCTATGCGACAGACGTCCATACGTTGTTATCATTAAATGCATTTCTACACGCAAATATTAAAACTTAATACGGCCGTATCTAGAAAAGAATGGATTTGCAGACTCATTGTGTACTACCAAAACTTTTTCACCTACCGTACTTGTTAAAAAATTTCCAAACAGACTCAATTCTGTAATTTTTAACGAGGACTTACCGCGCGTCTGTTATTTTTCTATCATTTATTCTAAAACTCTTTGCGCAGACAACCTATACGTGTTCTGAATAAGGAGAACGAGCCACGACGAAGTTAGAACCAGACCTGGACAGAATTTTATTCGAAATGGCAATAAGAAATAACTATTTGAAATGATATTTCAGTCTTTTGATTCTCACAACGTTACTTTTAATGAGACATTTCAAATAAACTTTGAAATAACATTATCAATGTTTCCATAACGAATAAATTTTCACTTGGTAATCGAAATATTTATTTGTCTTTTGCAAATAGAAGATCAATACGTTTTTAACGAAATATATAACTATTTTATCTTATTTTTTAGTCGCAGAATATGCCAGCAAAGTTTGTACAGGAACTTGTTCGATACCCTGAATATTTATAATTTCTATAAATCATTATTCCCTTGATATTGTATAGAATTATTATTTTCAAAGTTATTTCATGAAACACGTAGATATATTTTGAAAATAACAAATAGTAATTTCTTGTTTAATGTTAAACAAATCGGGATCGTCGGTTATCTGTATCCGAAGATCAGTAGAGATTTTGTTATCAGATTAAGCGAGAATTATTGCAATTATTAAATAAAATAGCGATTTGTTGTCGTCGATAGAAATTAAAACATAATATTTCGATCCTTTATGTCCTTTTAAAATGTTCTAGTACATATTTTCTTATCTTCGTTTGCGTGTATTTTAGTAAATGGCTCGAGTAAGACATAGGTGCAATAAATTGTGCCGTCTCAAGGATAAATGCGTTACAATCGATAACAGAATGGTTTCTTTTTATTTTTATTTCTATTTTTATTCTCAATCAGGATTCTACAATATACTTGCATCAAATACACGGAATTAAAAACCAATTATACGCGAAAACGTTATGCCTAATTCGTGGCATTTAAAAAACATGTATTAGAACATCCGAAGGAGACCTGTAAAGGGTCGAAACATTACGTTTAAATTTTCAACGATAATAAAATACAATGGAAAGGCAGCAGTTAAATTTCATTTGTACAGTGTGCGATAAAGTTGATCGTCCAAACTTTGGGTATACATATAATACTCGAGAAAATCAATGAAAAACTGTTAGCAAACGTGGGGTCTAGAAATCAACAGTTTCCAAGTTTTAAGAAAGAATTTTATTTTTTTCAAAATTCAACATAATAACTAAAATAGCAAACAAATTTTATTACGGTAAAGTAAGCTAACTTGAAAAGTATTGAATTCTAGAGTAAAATAGATTCTAATTTAGAAAGATTTGTCAGCTTATGCACGAGAACAGGTGGAAGACACTTTGAAGATCTGCTGGGACAAAATAGAAATTTGTTCTTGTAACTCGGAAACTATTGACAAGCACGGTAGAACCTCGATTATTACAGGAAATTGTAACTGAATATTCTTGGAATAATCGAGGTAACCGATCGAATGAAAAGTAGCCTAACACAGTGTATCCTCGTATTGTACAGAGATGAGAAATTGTTAGTTAACTTCTCGTCTCTGCACACAGTAGCTATGATCCAAGCGTAACTTTCTCTCCACCGACCTTTCTTGATACTTAGTGGCATTCCCTTCACCGTCGACACCACGCAACGAACGAGGCTCTCGTGCAATAATCGAGATTCTATGTATACTGCGGTACAGTAATACACGGTTAATTTTCGTTTTATTTCTGTTCGTTTCCTTCCTTTTGCTGCTGGAAAAGATTAGCGGGAATGAATAGTGGAAAATTAACCGTAAAGATTTCAGTTAAAGCATAAACCGTGCATTACTGTAGTGTACATACCCGAAAGTTTGGATTATCAATTTAAAGACAGCCAGCTATATCGGTGCGATCACGGCGACTATAAATTCATAACGATAAGATAACGCCGTTGCTCGTAATAGTATTTAAAATAACGTTACTTGGAAAGTGCCCAGGTCCAGTTGGAACGATGAAGTCGATAATACCCTCAGCCGATGCACGTCCGTTTAATGTCTATCCCCGGTTCTAAACGCTATTTTCTCCTGCTCGTCGAAGGACGGGTCTGCCCGTCCGCAATACGTCGTACAAACGTTCGGACATCCGTTACAATGATTTTAACGGCTAAAGCCAGGACTGTCGATGATGATGCGGCGGCGGTTGAAGAGCGTAGAGGGAATGGATGTACTGTTGGTAGGCGGTTGGGTCCACTGTTAAGTTCGGTCCGTGGGGCGTTACGTACGCGGACACCGGCGGTCCGTACGCCGCCGATCTCTGAGCGGAATGAAGAAACGGATGTGGCGGATAGTTCCTCGGCGGCTGATTGCTCAGCTTGTTGCAGGCTTGTTGCGCGGAGTCCGTGACCGGCGGATGCTGGGGCTGTTGCTGTTGCCTGAGCGCCATGCTGTAGTATCGGTTCGGGTTTCGAAACTCGTCCAGGAACGCGAACGCCGCGGCCGTCGCGTCCTTGTCGTAAAAGGCTGAGCTGGTGGTGGTGCTGGTCGAGGCAGCGAAATTGAAGGCACTTCCAGCTGGCGGTACCATGCCGGTGTTCTTCAGACTGATCGACTCCGCGGACGTGCCGGTGTATTGGGGGAAGCCAGGTATACCAGTGGCGGACTGCGGCTCCGTGCTCACCGCGGACGAAACGTTCACGACGTTCTGTTGCTCCTGTTGCTGTTGTTGCTTGCTCTTCCTGCTCTTTCTCGTCTTGGCGGGCACGGCCGTGGATCCCGTGGGCAACGTATCGCCGGACCTGCGCGATATGGACAATATGCCCTGCGTGTTCTTCGCGGCCGCCGTCTGCAGGCTCTGCAAAAGGTTCAGGTCCAGCTCGGCGGCGCCCGCGGCTGGGCTTCGCGCGTACGCGAGATGCTCCGACTTGGTGGCCGGCGGCCGTGGGATCGTCAGCAGCTGTTGTTGCTCTTTGCTCGCGCGACCCACCAAGCCCAAACCCAGACGAGCGTACGCGTTGTTCGTTGCCACGGGATCGGCCAGGTTACCAACGAACGCGGCGTCGAATTGGCTGGCGGAAACCGCGTCCGACTGCGACAACGCCATTATCGGGTCGAAACCGAACTGCTCCTGGCCGGTCCTCGTGGCGGTTTCCTGCGTCAGGCCACGGGACGCGTCCGTGGACGATTCATTGTATATGCGTTTCTTCACGGGCGGCAGATTGCTGCTGGTCGAGCTGTTCCCCGACCCGCTGCTGGTGGTCTTCGTGCCGGCGTCGAAGTAGTGCGGACTGGGATAGACCGGTCTCGAGTTCGCCATCGGATAGCCGGACGTCTGGAAGCCGCTCGGGTAGAGCTGCTCGTGCGCCGACAGGTTCTGTTGGAATGCTAGTATCTGCGATTGGTCCTGAGTCGACAGCTGATCGCCCCCTGACGACGTTTTCCCGAGGAACGACCGCTGCTGAACGTACTTTTGCGCGTTCAGGGACTCGGTGAGATCGGCGAAACTGGAACGCTCTTGCGGTGCCTGTTGCTGCTGTTGCGGTTGCTCCTGTCGCGAGACAGACCTCTGCAGATCGATGTTTGGATAGTTGTTTCCGAACGCCGACTGATACTGATTCGGCGACTGATAAATCTGGTGGTTCGCGTTCAGGTTCAGCGACGTTTCCGCGGCCACGGCGAAGCTGTTTCGTTGCTGCTCGCTGCTCGAGGTCTTCTCGGTGGCGACGGTGGTCCCGGTGGCCTTGAGATACTCGGTTCGATGCTCCGTTTCGATGACGGAGGACGACGGCGGCGGTGGCGGCGCCGGGGACTGGATGTAAGAATGATTCTGCTTGAACCCTTGAGCGTAACTCGAAGCCGCGGGAGGAGCTACGGCTGCGGCTGCGGCTGCGGCTGCGGCTGCGGTTGCTGTTGCGGTTGCTACCGTGGCCGTGCTCTGCGGACAATCCTCCGTCACGGCCTTAGAAGACGGCTGCGATTGATGCGTGTAGTTTGTACTCTGTTGAGGGGATGGCTGCGAGTAGCTCGTGGGTTGTTGCGATGGTTGCGAGGTAGTGCAGACGGATTTCTGTTGCGGCGACGGTTGAGAGTAGTTGCGCGATTGCTGCGGCGACGGCGACGGCTGGGAATAGTTGCGCGATTGCTGTGGCGACGGCGACGGTTGGGAATAGTTGCGCGACTGCTGAGGCGTCGGCGATGGTTGGGAATAGTTGCTGGCTGGCGCTTGTTGGGGTGACAGTTGCGAGTAGTTCTGTGGCGTCTGAGGCGAGTGTATCGAGTGGGAGTAATTCGCGACGGACTGCTGAGGAGATGGCTCGGAATATTTGACGGGTGGCTGCGGCGACGGTTGGGAGTATGAAACGTTCTGCGGCGAACGTCGAACGAATATGGATGGTCCCGGCGGGGATGGCTGCGGGAAACAGCTGTGAATTTGCCGCTGAGGTGACGGCTGGGAATAATTTCGAGGCTGGGGCGAGGGTTGCGAGTACGCGGTGATAGGCTGAGGCGATGGCTGTGAGTAGCCCGCGGAATGCGTCTGTGGAGACGGTTGGGAGAAGTTAGAAGGCTGAGATTGTTGCGGGAAAACGGTTGGTGGTTGTGGAGACGGCTGAGAGTAGGTCGACGGTGGCTGCGGGGACAGCTGAGAATAACTGGACGATTGCTGCGGAGATTGGGCGTAAGGAGAATGTTGTTGCTGCGGAGATGGTTCGGAATAGGTGGGCGGTGCCTGAGGAGACGGCTGAGAGTACGGTGAGTGGGGTTGCTGAGGCGAAGCTTGAGAATAGTTTGAGTTTGATGCCTGAGGAGAGGGCTGGGAATAATTGGCGGCGTTCTGCTGTGGCGACGGTTGCGAATATTTCGGGGTGGGTGGTTGCTGCGGCGATGGCTGCGAATAGTTCGAGGGTGGCGGCTGCGGGGATGGCTGAGGATACACCTGTTGGATCGGTTGCGGCGAGTGCTGGGAATAGACCGGTGATGGATTCTGAGCGGCGGTCGCTGGCAATTGCTGATTGTATGTTTCGCTCGGCGTCGAATTTTGAGGGAAATTCGGCTGCGGAGAACGCTGGGGAAACGTGGGCGATAATTGGTGATAGACTTCCCCGGAACTCTCCTGAGGAGACTTCTGAAACGTTGGATGGGACTGCTGAGCCGGTATTTGGGAGTAAAGGGGTGGTTGTTCGTAAGAGGACGACGGATACGCCGGTGACAGTGGATGATTTTGCGGTGACGGAGTAGGTGGCAATTGAGCGCTGTATCTCGGGGGCGTAGCGTAATAAGGACTATTGTACGGACTGCTTCCCGTCGACAGCGCATCCTGATAGAAACCAGCTCCTCTTATTTGCGGCTCGACCGAGGCCATCACAGGTTGTCCCTGCGGAGAACGACCCGCGCGACCGGGCGGTGATTCTTGAGAGAAGCTGGAAACCGATTCGCTCACGCTACTACCGCCGGTGCTCATTCGTCTCTGTCTGCCACAGAACACTTCCTGCAATTCCCCGTCTTTCTTCGCCGCGCCGTCCTCCGATTCTTCGTCCTTCTTCTTCGATTTCGGCGCACCGAACGCCTTGAACCAGGCGCTCAAATTTGGCGTCGCAGCTTTAGGCTTTTGAGTCTCTTTCACGCTCGACTGGCTATCTTTAGATTCTTCCGCCACCGTTGGTATCTGCGCCCTTGTTTTTCCGCTCGATGATTTGTCCTCCTTCGAGCTGGCAACCGGAACCGCGGGAACAGCGTTGTGATCCTCTTCCTCGTCGTCGTTCGAAAAGTTTGGATTCGGCGAGGAGACTAAGCTCTTGCAAATCAACTGAATGGAATCCACATTTTTTAAAACAGTCCCTAAGCTAAGTTTTGGTTCCTCGTCGGCGATTTTGTTCGCCTGATCATTGTCGCTAGCCAGCTGGTGAACAGCCGTCTCGTTTACGTTAACGTTCGGTAAGTTGAGCGGCTTCTTTAAAAGCAAATTCCCCTTACTTTTACCGGGCTGTAAACGATCGATCGTACGTTGTATCTTTTTTGGTCTGCTGGGTCCGTGAGGGCCAAAGATCTTAATAGAACTTGGTCGTTTTCTTGGCGCTTCTACCTTTGGTCCTGACCGAGCAGATTCAACGGAAGAATGAAATATCGGAGAGTCGCTCCCGGAAGAAAATTCAGAAAGCTTTGGTGCGTCATCTAGCCATTTGTTGATATCCTGTTCGGAGGTAAAAGAAAAAATAAATGAACAATTAAACGTCTATTATGTCGTAATACTATCTAGAAATATAAAATATCCTTACATGGAGTGTTTGCTCCGTTGCCTGATTCAATGCTTGTATCGAGCTTTCTTCCTTTCCAAATCCTTTGGTATGCTTGGTCTGAGCCACTTTTACTTTCTTTGTTTCGGTTACTTCTTGGTCTTGGATTTTCAACGCATCTTCCGTGGTAGGAACTTTTTCTTCTTTCATTCCCTTTTTTAACTTTGGTCGTCTCGCCGCGGCTTTATCGCTGTCTTGAAAGGTACTACCGTTTGAAGGCACTTTTTTTGAATACACATTGTGAAGATCGCTTTTCGCTGGTTTCTTCTGTTTCTCTTTCTCATTCTTCAGCTTCTCTTCCCGTCGCCTCTCGCTAATCTTATCCTTTAAACCGTCCAAGGATTCTATATCCTTATCACCTATAAATGCGGTAATTTTCTTAGACGTATTGGTTTCTTTTGAATCTAAATCGCTTTCTAGATCTAAGTCTTTGGAATCTATTTCGCTCGATATCTCCCCGTTTTTCGGTTCATCAATTTTCGATTTTGATTTTTTCTCTTTGTCCTTTGCTCGACTCTTCTCATACTTTTCCTCGGGCTTCGAAGCTCCCTTCTCTTTTTTCCGACTTTTCTTTACTTTGATATGCTGAGTCTTGTCCGTTTCTTCTAACGCGTCTACCTCATCCTCGTTAGACTCGACCTTTTTCGCTTTACTCTTCTTGCTATTATTCGTAAATATCTCGGTCTCCTCGAGTTCTTTCTTCTCAATTTTTCTACTTTTACTTTTCGCGATGACTAGGGGCTCGTAATCTTCCTCAAAGTCCTCTTTCCGCTTCTTATTCTCTTTTGATTCTTTTATAGGTCGCACGCTATCCGCTTCCTTTTTCTGCTTATGACGTTCCTTGCTAATCTTTTTGTTCATTTTCTTCAGCTCTTCGGATTCTTTGGGCGACAGCTTTTTGGTTTTCAACAATAAATTGTTCGCGTCAATGTGTTTCCTTCTTTTCGACGTTACGATACTCGACTCGGACATGGCGTCCTCGCTTTCTTGCTCCTCTTGCTCCTCCTCGTTTACAGATTCCTCGCCCTTCACTCTTTTACTCTTTTTCTTACCCCTTTTCTTCTTTGGAAGTTTATAATTTTTCCCCCGTTTCTCCTCCTCGTCATTTTTATCGTTTGCTTTGGACTTTCCTTTACTTTCCGATTTATACGATTTAGACTTTTTTGTGGATTTCTTCGAACGCTTACGGTTTTGATGCGGCGATGAAACTCGGGAAGGACACGACGGAGAAGTGGGCGTAGCGACGAATGGTTTTGGCGACGAAGCATCCTCGTCACTGGATGTTTCCGATTCTAAATACCGATTTACGGCTTTATCGAATGCTTCTTTAAGATTAACTGCCATTTCTGTGTACTCTACCAGAAAATACAATAATATCCACATTAGAAATGAATACCGATATTACGTGATAATATATTGCTTCAGAAAATATATACAAACCATTATCAGAGCCATTGTATTGCCTACAATTATCCACTATAAGACAAAAATCACGTTTAAAATCATTTAAATTCTTGTATAAACCACCGTCGAGCTTTTCCTCCATTGTACTAAGATCCATAGGTTTCCGTACCACGCTATAGTATCTATATTTTAAAATATTAGTTTAATAGCATCATGGTTTAAAGATATATTAATTACAAGAATAATTATAGTATTATACCTTGGCGCATACTCTTCATCCACGGGATCAACAAACGGCCAGGCGTCGACGTGATCCTTGAGACTTTCAAGAACCTTATGCATCCCAACGCGACGTTCTTCCTCCTCGATCCCAAACGAATAACCGAATTTATACCCATAATTAGAAGACACATAATTCCCGTCACTATTACTTCCAACACCTTTCTTTTTTTCTAACACTTCCACTTCGTCTCTGGTATGGATCACGATTTGACCAACAGCAGAAGCCAATGAATTATTAGTCTGCCGTCCTTTTTTCTGAACGGGCGGCGAAGACAACGGCGGAGATGTTTCCTCTTTAACGTAAACATTCTTCGAGTTCTGAGCCCCCTTTTTACTCCCTTTGTTTGTTTTAGTTTTGATCTTAGATCTAACCATGACTGTTTCCATCTGTGTTGCGGGCTCGTGACTTCGAAGAACTCGTGAACTGTTACGTTGCAATAACTTGCGCCGTTGCTGCTTCTCTTTCAAATCAAAAAGCTTCGGAATTTCCGGCATGAAATCCTCGGATAAAGTACGGTAGAGTTTACGTTCGGTATCGTACTCCTAAGCAATACAACAACATTATTAGAAGGGTCTAAAGGGCAAAGAAACTAACGCTCGTTCAATGAAACAATTACCGAATTACGAAATTTCTCAACTAAACGACTCCAGTCCTGCTGAGTGAAGCAGACAACTTGCCAAACACTTTCCTTCCCTTCCTCGTGTATTAAACTACTGTCCTCCTTCTTCTCCTCCTCTTCCTCTTCCTCCTTAACCACTCTGCTTCGTCGTCTTTTGCGCTTTTTATCCCTAGGTTTACTTTTCTGTTTATGTGAGATGCTATCAGAAGTATCGATGTAATCCTCCCTATATAATCGAGTGCCGTAAAAGTACCAATAGGCAGAATTCTTACGATCATGTCCTAAAGGTTCGACCCGCAGACTATCCGAGTCCAAATTACTCAATGATTGCTCCTATAAACGTGTGTTGGAAACATAAGAAGATTAATATAATTATAACAAATGCTAATAATAATAATATATATCGACAACACGGACTAGTTTTCAAATACATACCACGTCTTCAGCGTCGAGCCTGAAGTCGCAGAGAGCCCGTAGTATTTCTACTTTTTGACGAAGAGGCAACAATTCGAAATCTACATCTGTATTAAAAGGATTCTCACATTTGTATTCCTGGAAACAAAATAACGTATCAATTATTTTTAATAGCATCGATGTACCTTAAGTATCACGAAATATACCAAACAATTATTTTACCTGGCATTTCTTACGAAACAATCTACGTAAAAACATCTGATAGTTAAAAGTGGAGATGTCATTGCGAGTGTCGTTAGGTAAACAACCTTCGAGTAACCTGACTATCAACTCCTGTACTAAACGTCCCTCCGTTCCTCCATCCGTTAATAAAGCTTCTTCCAAGTCCTAAAATTATATAAGGTTAATATGTATACAAAACCAAAGAAGCAATCGATGCAGCAACAAAAGAATAATGCATAAGCTTTTAATAACATAATAAAGCCGAAGCATGATCTATTTAATTTCCTGGAAGCTGAAGCGGTACTAACAAGTCTCATATACAATGCCTACTCGTACGAGCAAGCATTTAGGTAAGTACCTCAATATCAAAGTCCAGAAGATCGAAGGCAGCCCTAAATAATGAACAGAAGTGTGCTATACTTGGCACCTCCCACCACGATTGAATGTCTAAAAAAATAAAGGAACAATTGAGAGTTCCTTGATGATATGTCTTTATAATCTCTGTAATATCTCCTTTTGCATGTAATAAGACTAACGCAGGAATAGCATCAATTTGGAAACTTTGTTGTAACAAGTATGTACACGACTGCGTACATAACTAATAGATAGCGCATTGCTATGTACTAATAGCCTATCGATAATTTCAAACAGAAATATGCTATATTTGTATTAGATACTATGGATATTACATTAATAAGATATATTATACTAGGAGTATACTCATGATGTATACAGGAATAAATAAATATAACTTTGATATAATATACGATAATTAATAAAAGAAAAAAAAAAGTTTCATATAATTCTTCGTACTTTACTTATAAAATTTATTTATTAAATAATATTCGCACAATGTGTCGATCCCTTTTTCGCGCCGTGTAAGAAGTATTCTGTTCGACGATACGTTCTTATTTTCTCACAATTTCTAACATATGGATTTTACAATTGGACATAGATAAAAATTTAGTTTTTTTTTTTAACAATAATGCTAAAAATATCAAGGTATTTGACGAGTCTAATTTTTTTCATAGCAACCGTAACCGAATAACAATACACGAAAGTACACAATGGCTAATCGATTCAATAAATTTTTTGCTAACTTTACTGTTTATTCAACAATGCTAATTACTGGTTTCTACATTAAAATCAAAAACAATTTCATGATCATTCACTACCAAGTAACAAAGCTACCTCCATTAAACAACAAGTATGTTAATGTTCACAAAAGGGGCTACATTTAAAAGTAATCAAGCAAAACACCTCCAATAATAAATATAAATCGCAAATACGATTATAATGCGGCCGTGCATCGATACCTTGCGTAAAATGTAACGCAAATGGTAAAACGGAAAAAAAAGAGGTGAGAGAGTGGGGAAAAAAAACAACGAAAACGATTGTGTTGCTAAACTTGGGGTCATTGACAAGGACTCTCGATTGTGAGCATCGATCTTCCGCGAGAGATAATCGGTGCAATACGATCAAGGTGAACGAAAAAAATCCAATGGATCTTGTCTGCAATCGTTTTCACGGAGGACGGAAACGCAAAACTCACCTAGAATTCCGATGAAAGTGGGAAACATAACCCGTCCTGTGGCGGGCAAACCGGGCGAATCACGTCAGGGCGGATAAGGTTGTTGAAAACACGAAGGAGAATTGCGTGCCGCTGGCCCGTTTTCAGGTGTGTAATTCAGGCGGGTCAGGAGATCGAAATCCACGGGGGTAGGCAACGATGATAGCCAAGCGAAGAAACACTTCCGCTCAGCGAAGCCGATTGCTTTTAAAATACCGGGATACACATCAACGGGCGGCTATGACACCCATAGTCCTCGAGACAAAAGAGCGGGTAATCGCGATTCCGCATAGCTCGTCCCGCCGTTTCCAAACGAATCCGAACGGTGAGGCACATTCGTTCACTGGCAGTTCCCAGCGAGGAACAGCTAACGCCGATTTATTTTGGCACAACACTACGGGTTGCCAGCGATGCGCGCGACACTTGCAACCATTCTAATCGGGTAACACTCTAGGCTCAAAACAACCACCAGCTTTGTTACCGATTAACTTGCACCGCCGTTTCGCACGTCAACCACATTAACGCGGAATTAATGCAGAACGTTTGTCGTAAACGGAACACCATTCACCATGATCGAACGTCCTTTTCCAGTTTTTCAAATTCGATTTCACGTACGCGTGTACGTGTGTGTATATACGTTGATGCTCCGATAAGGACAGTTTTCCGAAACGCACTACGCGACCGTACGGGTGCGGACTGTGCAGCAGCGGACTGCAACTGCGGGCGTACACCTGTGAACACACGTTACACAGATATGCATCGACGATGCATTTGGCGCGAAATCCGTTCGAACTCGATCTTTCTCATGGTTTGACGCTAGTGTTTTACAATTTGGTAACCGGGAACTTTGTACAATTTCTAGGGGAAAATTACCTAGATTACTTCCTAGAAAAAAAAAAAGGTTAAGAACTATTTCATCTAGTAAGATTACTAGCGAAAGGGAAGGCTATTATTACGTAGCTATAAACATAAAATTGAATATCATTCCTTTGGATTGCATAAGCATTGTAGACGATAAAAACAATCGTAATATGTTTTGATCATATTTGCTCATATAAACGAAATTGCATGCTGTACACCGACATTGTAGTTCTGTGGTCACCTAACCTAATTTTTTTACTAGTATTACAGTTTGCAAATATAAAGATACAACTTCATGTAAACGAATAAAATTATAATCGGTTCTTTCAGTTATTATTTACATTCGATGTACATTTATGTGGCAATTAATGTCTGTAAGAGATCATCGGGAGTTCTTGAAAATAGACTGTTAGGATTTTGGTATAAATTTTTTGGATTGTGGCAAGCTTCATACAGTTGTTTGTAGATTGCCCCAATTACTTCGAAAGAACGTTTTTGCGTTATCGAACGATGATTATTACTTTGCAATAAACTTATTTGTGGCAACAATAACACATCTGGCATCACCAGAAAAGTTTCCAGTTTGTTCTGTAAATCATTAGTAAATTAAATAATGTCTATAAGTAATTTTATTTAACTTCGAAATGAACAATTACTCACTGTAAATTCTTTTACGCTCAGAGGATCCATACCAGGAACAGAAGATAACGGACCTCGTTCATGCCCCTGTAAAATCGTATAAATTGAACCCAGATTTAAATGCGCGACTAACGAACTGGCCTGTTCCGACGTAAGAGTATCAATTTGTGCATCGGACTGGGCCTGAAAGATAAAATCTCAATTAATGATAGAACTTATACCTCGAAACAAATCCCTTACCTGTAACCTTTCTAATCTTTGGTCCATGTATTCGTACAATGCTAAAGTAGACTGTATTTGATGCATACAATTTAGAAGGTACACAGCCATGTCCACTGTTGGTAATCTCGACGCCGTTTCGTTAACTTCTTGCAAAAGTGGATCGATAATGCAAGATACTATCTGCAAATAATTGAATGTACGATTCAATTTAAACTATGTAAACTTTGCAAAGTGCAAGACGAACCTGTAACATATCTTTTTCTCTATCTTCTGCTATACTCGCTACAGAGAGAATTTCGTTAAGAAGGGATAGTAATCTGGAAACAGATGGAGCAGGTACTAAATCATTTCCTGGTGGTTCCGCGCGTTCACCAAGCGCAATGCGCGTCTCTTTTTGAAGTCTACTGAGAAAACTTTTCTCGCTCAGTACTAACAAGTCCGCCAATATCGAGTCCAAGGTACTATCAGGTACTACTTGCTGAATTATCGCGCGATAAAATCTAAGAAGAGTGGTAACGGAATATAACACCGTTGCTGGTGCATCCATAGAAATGACATGCTCCATTCTTGATTTCAGAGGATGACAGAGTCCCTCTGTGATATTGCTCAATGATAGTTTAATCTGATCCGATACATCTGAAATACGTATCGCGAACGAAATTAATAAAAATAAAGAGAAACGAATGATCGTTCGATTCTTACCTGTTTTGTCACAGCCCTTTACCAAGGTCAAAATATTCTCTTTCTCGACGGGAATAGCTTGATGAAGCCAGGCAAGCATGTCTCCAACGTATCGCTTAGGATCGTTTGCGTGCATCTCGATAGGATTGGGTGTTCCGCCATATCCTTCTCCTAACGTTAACGCGTCTATAAAAGATCCCACTAACGCAGTCCTTCTAGCTGCACAATATTCGTCTAAAATATATCTAAACAGAATGTAACAAACTTAAATGCAAGACTGTTTGCGAACGTGCGTTACGCTACGTTTGCTAAACTTTAAGTTCATACTTAAATAAAACTGGTCTGTCCTGTAATTTCTTCATCGCTTTAATCAACAATGTTGCTAAACGTTCATTTTCAACGTGTTTGCATTGATTTTGCGTCCACCTATATAATCGTTCTAGAGCTGCTTCTTGTAACAATGTCATTCTTTGCATAATATCTAAAGCCAATGTTTGGTATCCCGACTGCATTAATATTCTACAACTGCTATGGATTTCCTGAAATTTAACCCATGTTTTAACAAATTTTTTTAATAATAATTGCTTTCATTACCATACCTGGACACGATTAACTACAGAAAAAAATTCTTCTGTAATAGGCGACTCCCTACTAGACCCATGTAAGACGATCAATTCTGCTTGAGACAATTGAAAATTTTTAATAAATGCATTTGCAACATCCTGTTGCATGGACAAAGTTTGACTGAAAATGTTAACACAATGCTCTACGGTTATTCCCATCCATAAAAATGATTTTCTTCTAGATAATCTGATCGATTAAACGAGCATACCTTTTATTTTGAAGTTTTGAAGTCTGATCGATTAATTGCGACGTTTGCGTTTTTGTAGTTTGTAAACGATTTGTCATACATTGTACAGCGGTGTTCATGGCTAAAACATCTTGATATATATCATCTAAAGAAGCTTTTACTTCTCTAAATGCGGATAGAAATTCTTCGTTTATTACGAGACTTCGTCTTTCTATTTTACTACGTAAATTTCGACGAGCATTTAGCGTATTCTCCGTAAAAAATGTAGACAATTCCTTTAAAGCTTCGAGTGTATCCTGAATTAATTAATATTTTAATCTATCAAATAATATTTCTAAATAAATAAATAAGCGGAGCGAGTGCCCGAATATTTCTGTACCGCGAAATTTAGATAGAATTTTAATCGATCCTTAATACAGTATAATTATGTTAAATTAATTAAACAAGTTAATCGTATTTGTAAACTATAATAAACAAGACATTTGAAGAAAGAACTTCTACTTCATTTCCTCTAAAATTAACTAAAAACTGTCAAAATCAAACGTGCTGTACTGTCCGAATATTTCTGTTATTCATTCTATATACCTTGTCATGCTCTACTCTTGATTCGAGCAATTTATTAACCCTCCGAACCAAAGCAGTATTGGTATTTTTTTCACTCATTTTAAGTCTTTTTTTGTTTTTATGGTGAAATTCATTCAAGTATATAACCTATTTACTTCTAAACTGTCACGTAGCACGCACAGTGATGCTAGATTTGGCATAATTGTGTGCACCGAGTCGATCGTCGATGCCATCGACGGCGACACTAGTAACGACGAATTTTCTTAGCGTTTAATGGGAGTAGTGGGGATAGCTGACATATCCAATATCGTCGAAAAATTTGCCTACCTATTCAAATATTTTTCTCGATAATGCGTAGAAATTTTAATTAGTTTCAACCATCTCCCTATTTACCATATTTATTTAGAAAATTAGAGCAAATTAGAAACTCAGTGGTGCACAGTGTTACCAGATGGCAAACCAGGTGCTCGATCTGGTTACTACTGGTTACATTCGTAATACGTACCACTTAGTTCACCGTCTAAGATGATTTCAATTTCATGATGACGATATTATTTGCAAACTCTCAATATGTCAACTTTGTACATTTCCATTAGTTAAATGACTTTACATTTATGATGTACGCGGTGCTTTGAGCGAAATAAAATGTTTAAGAATTATGATTTTATATTTTGAACAGTGTCTGGGTAGCAGGGATCAGTAGAACAGTCTATAGAACCTATTTGTTTATTCATATAGAGGTTAGTTTTTGTTTCAGTTAACAACTAAAGTAAAGATTAATGTCAAGCATTTCAACTTTGGAATATTTTAAATTTAACCAGTAATTACAGTATTTGATTTAATGATTTAAAATACAACCGAACTTATTTTTCAGACCTTTTCCTTTTACGTATCTGTGAAATTGTTTATGTTTTATAGTAGAATTATAATTACAATGGTCTGATTATATTCATAGATTATTTTAATATATTAATGTATAGTATAGAATAAAGTGTATTATTTCTATTGCGCCTAAGGGGCAGTGTTTTATTATGTCTTCTTGTAATAAATAAATTAAAATTTTTTTTTTAAGTATGCATGATTACATTTAGTTTGTTGGTGGCAAAATGTCCACGTCAGAGTCTGGTGTGGGATGTATTAGTGAAGTTACGCTTGCAATTAGTAAAGCAAGGGGTTCTCAATCAGGCAATGTGAGAGTACTTGATAGCCCCGACTCTGATGGATCCGGCCACTCGAATTCGTTCACTGTACAACGGTTTAATTATCCTGACAATAATAATGCAAATTCTGATATTTTGCACCCTCCATTGACTAGCGAAGATTTAAGAATACCGATCGTCGGATACGAAGTTATGGAAGAGAGAGCCAGATTTACAGTTAGTAAAATAATATTTTGCTATACTACGATTTAGATACATATCTATTTTTAGTCGTATCGGAGCATATATATATCTTCCTTTCAGGTTTACAAATTACGAGTGGAATTGAAAAATGGTGATTGCTGGTTCGTATTTCGAAGGTATACAGACTTTGTTCGTTTATTATCGCAATTAAGAAGACAAAAGATTCCAATTTCGCATCTAAGTTTGCCAAGGAAAAAATGGCTCGGAGATAATTTTGCTCCAAGCTTTTTAGAAGAAAGAATACGTGGCCTTCAGACATTTGTCAATGGAATATTAAGTAGTCCACTTCTCATAGGCATTGCGTGCGTCAGAGACTTTTTTTGTTTAGACGAACCGCCCGCCTTATCCGACACTGCAGATGAATCTCGAGTACGCATCTTGTATTAAATTTATCAACTCGTTTGAAAATGTATCAATAACGGAATCCCGTTCGAGAGATATCTGTTTTGCCGTTTTTCAGGCAATATTTGAAGCATTGGAAGACACCATATATCATTTACGACAACAATTAAGAGAACGAGAGGCGGCGCTTGCGGCCGAAACAGCGTTATGCAATGAACTCGAGAAAAAGCTGCATCAAATGTTAAGGTAATTAAATAATACAATAGGATGCAGTAAAAGATATACAATAATGCTCTTTCAAACAAATATCTGAAGCATCGAATCAATGTTTCAGTGAAAGACAAACCTGCCTAAAATGCGGTGCATCTCAATAATAATTTTTCATAAATTTGTTTCTTACAAGTTGATACCAGAAAACTATATGTATATTATATAGAATCTGGTACAATTAGGTAACTTGAGTTGTTTATTGCTACGACATAACAAATTGTTATCTTAAAAATATTTGTTAAAGAGGAGATATTAGATATCACCGGTGTATTTTATAGTATCAGTTATGGCACAATCACTTTCATTTTTGATTATATTAATTTATACACAACAATGATAAGTGATATGTATAAGGTTCCTTAGAATAATAAGTACATCGAGCTCTCCTAGCGTTAAATGTAACTTAAATATCTATTTATATCGTGTATTTAATAATAGCCGAAGTGCTTTCAAATTTATAAGAGAATCTCAATATATAAATTATTACGGCTCGACTATGAACACACGCCAAAGTGCATCGATCTTTGGTATTTTATAAAATTCTATATATTTTCTAGTATTTTTACATCGTTGTTAGCATAGTTATGCAACAATTCCGTTGTTAGAATTATAATTGACATTCGTAATATTGAAGGAACAATATTACCATAAGAATTATTACAGATATTACAATATTATGATATTTAAAATATATTTATGTACAGATATAATAGATATTTGATATTTTCTGTAAATTATATTTTACATTTATTATATATTTAATATTTATTATATCTCTAAACGTTTTCATGGTAACTTTACGAGACATTTACAATACTGCACAATATAAACAAAAAAATGTTATACATTTCAATTAATTACTACGTTTTATAAAAATACAGATGTTGTTTTTATTGAAAAATATAAAATTAATAAAAATGTTATTCGATATTATATGATAGAACGCGTCTATTATATTTATCATGTAAAAAGGCTGAAAAGTCCGATACAGTTTTAATAATAATTTTCAATTATTAAACGTATCCATACACAAATCCATGCACGTATTATAACTTGAATCGATACGCACCATCCTCATATAATGTAAATCGACGGTATTCCGTTATGTACATTTAAACACGAAGCGTAAAATTATATTTCATCAGTCTTTTTTATCCGGAGCAACGACTAAGCACAATGCTTGGATCAGGTACGTGATTTTCTCTGGAAATAAAAGAGAGAAACATGTTAAAATCGGGGTAAGGTACTCGTTATTGTAAATAATTTCGTAAGGCGTCATCGAGCTCACCTGCCAATCTATTCTGGATCTTCTTGTACACGTATACGTGATAGATGACGAGACCAAAGAGAATGAAGAGCAACGCGAATAGATATTTGGCCGTCGGCTCGTGTATGATCGGTATCACGGCCAGAAAGATAGAGACGCACAATACCAGCCATGGTATCACGGTCGGCACTCTGTACGGTCTGGGCGCTTCCGGTTTGGTCCTTCTCATGATCAACAGCGACACCATCGCGAGCCCGTAAAACACCCAGGTCAAGAAGCTCGCGAACTCGATGAGCGCGATTATATTCCCGAGGAGCAAACAAACCAAGGAGAGCAATCCTTGGAACGCGACGGCCGCGGCGGGCGTCATCCTTTCCATGTGGACGAAACTGAACACTCGGGGCACGTGGCCCTCACCGCCGGCGACGTAGCAGAGCCTGGACACCCCAAATTGTATGCTGAGGCTGCACCCGAAGGTGGACAACGCGACGCCTAGAGGAATCGCGAAACCCAACCAGGATGGCAGGACCCTGTCCGCCCAGAGGACCGCGACAGCCGGCGCGCTAACCATTTCCGGCATCGTCAACGCGGCCATGTACATCAAGTTCATCGACACGTAAAGTACCGTGATCAACGGCACCGCTATCAGAATACTCCTTAGTATATTGATTTCAGGTTTTTGTATCTCTTCGGTGACGATCGCCGCCGACGTCCATCCGTCGTACGCCCACAATCCACTGTAGAAGGCCAACGCCACGTCGCCGGCGGACGTGCTGCTCCCGCGGAACGGATGATCCAGTAGTTTGGTGTGACCTGTGCCCAGCCACCATATCCCACCAACGATCACGACTATGCAGGCGACCACCTTGCACACCGTGAACACGTTTTGGACCTTGACGTACAGCTTCACGCTGGTCAGGTTTATGTACGTGATCAATCCGAGCGCCAGTACGGCTATGATCTTCTTCAGCCGTTGCATAGACGCATCGGGGAGATCGGTCAGGTACCCAGAGAACGGTTGCACGCTGTATTCAGCGAACGTCAGCATGACCACCGCCACTTCCGCCGGTCTCAGCAGGACCACGTAAACCCAGGAGCAGATGAAAGCTGGTAACTGACCGGCGTATCGGTGCAGGGGTGTAAACGCCTCGACGAAGTAAGCGTACTCGGCCCCGGATCGCGGTACCACCGTGCTCAATTCGGCGAAGGCCAAAGCTCCCAATAAAGAGAGTAAGCCGCAGCTCGCCCAAATCAGTAGACAGAAACCTACGGAACCTGATCTTTCCAGGGCGCTCGTGGGGGACACGAAGATTCCGGAACCTGAAATGTACATGGACACCTTAGTATTGGATATACACCTTTCACAGTCAAAGGGTTAACAAACAAAGATAAACTTTTGCTTGGATCGCTGTTTGCTATTTGCTGTTCTCTCTTATCGCTCCGTGTTGCAGCAATGTTTGCAAATGGAAAATCATCGATCCAAACGTCTTTAGATTTTATACAAAATTAGGTCAGTAAAAGAAAGAAGAGACCGTCGTTTGATCGTGAGTACCTTATGATCTACAAAATCCCCAATTGTGGTCTCTCCTTTACTGTTACGATAACACATGCTGTTCAAACAGTTTCAAAAAGAAGATGTTTCGCAATTTTGCTGAATCAACAAAACTAAATTAGTAACAAATTTAAATTGAGAAATTCTGCAGTATGATCGACGCAAAACACGTTGCTCAACGCATATTTCACCGGTATCGAAGGTGTTTGGAAATGTTGTTTTCCTTGAAAATTTAATTGTTATTTCACGATTTGGAAAATCTTCGGGATACTTTCAAGAACATTCGAGGTTCTTCCTCCGTTATCTGTTCTTGGCTTTCAAAAATCTGGCGATATAAATTATTTGGAATTATCGAAGCCTCGGATGTTTTGATGGTTTGCCGTAATATAAAAGTTCGTAGATGAATATGCAACACGATACATCCGTTAGACCGCGAAGTTTGATTAAAATCGGTCAGATATACTTCAGAAGGATGTCTCGTAATAGTCGAGCGCGTGGGTCAGTGATTAACCTTGATTAAGCCTTTTAATTCGTAATCGTGTCAAGCTGGTTTGCGTAATTACCGAAATATTACGTCAGGTTTTTATTCTTTATCTCGAAAGGTACGACGCGCGTTGCACGAGGATACGAACATCGTTACGAGAAAGTATTATTTTTTTTTCTAATTCCCAATAATCTCGATCGAACCAGATTAGTTGGAATATACCAGGAAAATCCAGATGTTGTTTGAGAAGCCTCGTCGAATTGTATGTATCGTACTGTTCGAGATAAAGTAGCGGGGCTGAAGTACGCTCTTGAATCATGAACTCGAAAAACATTCGAACCCTAGCCTGTCGATTATAGATATTCCAGAACTAAATAATTTACAGATAACGCGTTATTGGTTTCGAATATCTTGATTAAAAGATCGCCTAAAGATATAGCTGTTTTTCTGGCGAGGATTTTTTTCTAAAATGTGCAACTCTGCTCTAAATATTATACTCCTTCTTTAATTTTATGAAGAGTTATCTCGAGTGCGACCATTGAGCAGTTGGAAGTGATATTTCTAAAACTCCATCAGTAACTAGTAAGTACCGCCATATTTTTTCGAAGTCGCCGGTGTAGACAATCTCTTAATTATTTTAAGCAGTGTAATCAAACGAAGAATATGTGCAAGATACAACGATAACGATAACAGGGATTATTTAAAAACTGTGTCGCTACGCGATCAAAAGAAATTATTCAATAATTGTTAAATGAAATTTGTCGCACTGTGTTGGTGAGAGGAACGCACGAGGTACTTGAAAGGAATTCTCTGTAGTCGCAGAAGTACCGTGAGAAATAACGAGGGAACCCTTTGAATCGCTATTAAGGAAGACCACGTCGTTATTACTATGTATAAAGCCGAACTTCATTCGGATCCACACAATTACGCAATTACTGTTAACTGCTTTTAAAGACACGATGTCGATGTGGAACAATGGTTCTCTACGGCTTTACAAATATCATAATCCTCCAGTGGCGCACACAGTAGGGGTGCAAGGGTGCATTTACACCCTTTCTTTCCTAGATATATCCATTTCTTAATCACTGAAACTTCTTTATACGCAACAAGACTCTCTTTACCGAGTCGATTAAAAGATGTGCAAATTTATTTTCGTTTGTAGAAATTACACCATTCCGCCAAAGTAAAATCATAAAATCATCTCTGTAGTTTCTTATATCGTGAGAACAAATATTTAAATTTATTGTAAAATATACAAACGAAGGTAGGCCTTGCAAGCATACACATATCTTCGATGACATTTCGAGCCACTTGTGGATCATCTTTGGATCGTTAAAATCGAAATTTCATAGAACTTCAAAATCCTATCATATCGATATTGGTCTTACAGTACACGAATATTTACTATACAATTGCTCGAAAGCTTTACGACCTGTGTAATCCGTAACATTAAATCTAAATCCTATCAAGAGGATCGTAAGATCGGAACGACGCCTGTCAACTCCAAGAAAGATCTTTAAAAAAATCAAGAGAAGATCGAGACCGCACGGGTCTCGTATTACTTGAGAAAATTAATATCGAATATGACTAAATACGTATAAAAACAAAATGGTTATATCATCGAATATTAAAATTATACGTAACACTGTGTACGACACCATTGGCTTCCGATTCTTATTATTTATTACATTCGACCATTTAAACTAATCGTCGAAAGATAAATACAGCTACTAAAGGAACGTTATCTACGTCGAATATGTAACTTACGGAGCATCAATATGTACACAGAACATTTCGTGATATTATATCGATCGTATCGGGCATTGACAAAAAGAAAAGAGAAATAAAATATTTTCAGTAGCTGGCGCGAACGTGTTACGCGTTCTTCGATGCATCGATGATTAAAATTAGACAGTGTTGTCCTGTTACCACTGTCTGAAACGGAGTTATGGCAATCCGATATTGACCATCATCGGCGAGAACGTGACGGCGGTAATTTTGTCGTAAGCGACAACGTGCGTGCGTTAAACTGAATAATTGCTTTTGCACGCCGCACACGTAATTTCACCGCGTGACATTTACACCAATTGGACATGTTATAAGCCAAAAGCTTAGCTCTGTTGTATTGCACGTAGCGAAACCTTTTGACTTATGACACGTTGAACGGCCAACGTGTAACACAGACGGATCGAGTGCCTTCCACGTCGAACAATAGATAACATTTTTCCATTCGACCGATTTCGTTCGTGTCAGAATTTGTTTAAGAAATCCCACTGACGTCGCAAGTTCACCGTTCGAGCGTTATGCAGCGAAAGAATTGCCACACTTACGTTATGTAAGTGCAACATCGATAATGCGATACGTATTTGTAACCTTCCATTATGTCAAGTGTGCCATTAAGATTGCGAGAAATAGTCATTTTACAAATTAGAAACAAATTAGAATTCGAATTATAGAATGGAATATATTCGCCGATGACACAAGTAGAAATTTCATTGTTTCGTTTTATTCGTCATCTATTATTTGACCATCTCTGCTCCTACTTTGTAAAAACACACGTTCGACTATTGCATCGCGACAGTACGACTAAATTATGACAGTTGTATTTTCAAGCATTGGTTATTACTTTTTCGATAGCTAATGGACAAATATAAACCATAAACAGCGAGCGTGTAAATTCTATTAAACGAAAATGCGTATTTTCTACATAATATTGTATCAATTAGATACGTGAAAATATTAATTTGAAATATGATAAACAGATTAATAGCCCATAGCGTTCCGAGTATTATCAACAAGACATCAATTTACAAATTTCCATGCATTTTCTTCCAAATGACTCTTAGGAATTTTCATCGTCGTTTGAAAGTGAAAGCATGAAACAGCGCTCTTAATCTGTTTAATAGCTGTTATGAATTCCAAAAACTAATATTTTCGGAGAATTTTAGAAACCATTACATATACGTATAACTAGTTCAGATGCTTATACACGTAGCAAGATTAAATAAAAATAATTTTGTAATTAGAGTCTTCTTAAACTTTCTTCTCTCATTTATGAAACAATTTCCAAGCATTTAAACTTTTGGTCTTCTTCGGCAACGAAAGTTAACAACTAAGAACATAAATAAGAAGATACATTAGTTTTCGATGTGTTGGTAAACAAACAACTACATATGTACAAGTGTGCGTAATTTTTAAACAATAAAATAATAATGTAATTCGAGAAAATTGTCTATTTACAAGATTACTTTTATTTTCGTGAAATTTCCATAACTTCGGATTCTGGATTGTCCTGAACGTTTCTTTAAATTATTACGTCGATATCGGAACTTTTAAACGAGATTCCCGGAATCTTCTCGCAGCGTAAGACGAAAGCAATATTCGGAAATTCCGGAATCTGGAAAAACTGAAAAATCCCAGGAAATCACAGTCACTGTTTTCATACCGATCATGACAGCCAGTATAATGCTCACTGCGCTGAAGAGGCCGAGCTCACGCTTCAGACCGATCTTCCCGCCTTCTTGATCCTCGACGTGCCCCATTTCGGGCGCAATTCGACCGGTACACTCAGCAACGAACACCGATTGCCACGTATATCAGACAATTTACTAACGTAACCGATGCGAGCGATTTTTAAATTCAAAGGCCCATCGCGCGAACCGCACGCCGATATAGTCTGTCTTCGATCGGCTGGCTTTGCGTTCAATCCGTGCAACGGAGACACGACAAATCGGTTGGCTTCCTCGTGCCCTCGAGCCAGATCGAACGAAGACAGTGTGTGACGTTATCGGAAGATGTCCAGAACGAGACTGAAGTATTGACGGGTCAGCTAGTCGCTTATTTTTACAGGCGCACGATGATTCCCCTGATAAGAGTACCGGCTACTTCCATACCCTCGCCACGGTCCCGATATCTTTGACGATCGGTAGCCATCGTTAACGAATTTACGGAAGGCGCCCCGTCCGGGCCGGCGCCGAACAAATTTTAAACGATGCAACGATTCACGGCTGCAATTAAAGCAATCTGTAATCGCGCACGACTATTTATGATCAAAATTAATCGATATTCCGATGGTGTCGAGTCGAAAACTACTTACCACATAACAATGTATTCCTAGAAACTTATTTCGATATCTAAAAAAAATGATAATAAAGTTATATAAAATATCTTTGAGAATATTTTATTCTCATTCGTTGTTCGTTATCACTCGGCGCGTTCGAGTTATCTGAGATTCCCACGAAAATATTCTATAATTTTATAATTTCGTCGACCATCAAAATAAACGTTGAAACATATAATTCTTAATATAGCATAAGTCGATATATTTTTAGATAGTTATATCGTTTAGATGTATTAAACTCTCGATATCACTGACGATTCGATCGACGATGGTCGTGACCGACCAACGATTTATTTAATCATCGATCGTCGAGAACGTTTAATTTTAATAATCGATTAACGTTAATCGCGACTCATTTTTACGATTAAATGTTTAAATTAGTTGAGAAGAAGATCGGTCGCTTGATGGCCAACTCTTGTTCGAAGGCGCGCGTGAAAATGGTTAAGGTAAACGTCTCGTCTGAGCTGGCACGATCACGATGTCGCCCCTCTTGTAGCTGATGAATAACTGCCGCGCAGTTAATGAGCTTTAAGAGAAGTGTTCGCGCGAATTCACGTAAGTACCCGCGAATGTTGGAGACCGGGCCGTCCGTGTGTCACCTTCCAAATAATCTGTCGAATTTTTGAGTATTTTACGAGGTCTTGTCAAAAAGAATGTTATATTCGATAAGATAATACTCTAGGATCTACGTGAAGTATCAGTGACACGATGGGGAAGAATATCTATTCCGTGTTTTCGTGCCCTTTCGCCTATGATTTAACTGAACAAACATTTTTCGTGGAAACGATACGCGTCATGCTGCATTATCGAAGCAATACTTGCATGGACCCGAAGATACGGTAAATTTTACAGAACATAACGATTATATCGTATATTTGCAATTGCATGTAGACACAATGTTTACTCAACGTTATCTTTGAACCGAAAGGATACATTTACAATTTGATGGATCACCGCAGTTCCCTCCATTCGCTGTTACATTATCGTTTGTTACATTTAATTGCAACTAACGTTTCTGGCTTAAGCGTATCAAACGTTGTGATAGCAAAGCAACACTTAAGAATGTTGCAATTAAATTAGGATTACGATCGCAAGTAAAACCTTGAGTGGAATGCACGATGTAATACTTGCTTTATCATGATTGAGATAATGTTTTCGAACGAATGTCCACACATGTGCTTTGCGCTTTCCAGTGGAGGGCAGGCGTTTTGAAACGACGTCGTGAAAATGTTCCCCCGATTGTTTGTGTTCGGAATTTACTTTCCGCCGGGTACAAAATATTCACTGGTTATGAGAATAAACGAATGTATGTCGAGTCTATTACGATAGCCCGTTTTACGCGTCGGTCGCTTTATTTTGATAAATAATTTAGGTTAAGGTGTTACACCGGACACGCGTATAACCTGTCAAGTACGCTAAACGTTGATTAGCAATGGAAGATGAAGAGAAAAAGTGTGAAGACGCGGAGCCGAATGAATTTTACTTCGAATCCGATCATTTAGCGCTAAAGGGAAACAAAGATTACACGACACTTTTGAAAACGATTGTAATTCTCGAGTCGCAACGCGTTCAAGCCATAGAGGATTTAGATAAACTTTTATTAATCCGTTCGAAAGCACTGAAGGATCCAATATCTTTCGTCGCCCAAATACAAAATGGTGAACTTCCAGAGTTACCAGGACCCCAAAAAATAGCGGAGATTCCTTACATCGACTGGACGCAATACAACATAGCTATACCCGATATGCGTATGAGGCCACAAACGAGACACGGACACGTACTACCTCATATGCAAACAAAAACAGAACAAGAAAATGGAAAGGCACGTTAAATTTCATACATATTGTTTAAAATTTTTCAATTTCTATATACATATACGTTACTTTATATACTGGAAACATTTAGATTTTAGTACGTGGACGCGCTTTCGATGAAAGTAAGCCAGAAACTTTCAATCAGCTGTGGACAGTGGAAGAGCAGAGGAGATTGGAAGAACTTTTGATCGAGTATCCACCGGAAGAAGTAGAAATGAGACGGTGGACCAAAATAGCTAATGCTTTAGGTATGTTATAGATTAATTAGTTTCCTTCTAAGCTTCGACTCTTGCTTGTTTCCTAGGCAATAGGACTCCGAAACAAGTTTCTAGCAGAGTTCAGAAATATTTCATCAAACTCTTAAGAGCTGGACTGCCTATACCTGGTAGAGGCCCCAAAGTAAAATTGGATGCTAAAAGAGGAATAGGTCATAGACACCAACGAACTAATTACTCGTTATTCAGACGTTCTACGTTCTTTCCACATCAGGATATGTCTTTTACCATGCCCGACGAAAGTAAAGAGCTACCAGTTACAGAAGAATCTGTACGTATTTAATTTAATTTTATTTCCCAATTAAAATTATAATTTACATTATTATTTGTCTTACACTTTTACGTTTTCCAGGAAGATGATGCCGGGAATAGTATTATCGATGATAATCCTGAATTAAGGCATATAGAATTATTAAGACAAGTGAAAGCCGAGAAAGAAGATAATTCTTCTCCCGAATATAAACATATTGGATACAAGGTACCACATTTTATTTTTGATAGAGTATCAAAAACATATATAAGTTTAATGATTCTCTCCTTATAGTGTTCAATCTGTGGAGAAGAACCTTTAACAGGTACAAGATGGCATTGCATAGAATGCCTCGATGGAACTGATATTTGTGGTGATTGTGCGGTCGCGCAATTAGAAACTGATAACCCAGTTCATAATGCATTACATAGACTAATACCTGTAAAACCACCACAATATTCTAGAAACTACGATTTAGACTATTTTCCACAAAGTTTTAGTAATTCTTCTTACAATTATTTGGATCCTAACTTTTTACCTGAATAATTGTTACTGTTTTATTCTGTTTGTAAAACTAAAGTTTGGAAATAAATAAATAATTTCCTAAGAACGTATTATGTATCTGTAGATTTCACATCTTCTACGTCTGTGGAATTTGTACCAACGACATTCCTCTTTGGAAATTTTAAGGTAATTGTTTTCTTGTACTGATCGAAAGTATTGTTTCGTATATTTTCCCGAATAGCTTTAAAAAATTCGAGGTAATGATGAATATTGTGTCTGAAAATTGAATTCGATATACGAATAAATAATGTAGTATTAAAAAATTACGTAATTATGCGAGTAATATTTACATCATCAACAGTACTGCGCAAAGCATTTCTTTGGTATTATGTAAATGGTGTAAGTACGCCCTAGTATGATTTTTACATGCAAGACATTCGCAGTGAGAGCATATCGGAGAGAAATCGTCTTCGTATCTGTCACAAAAACTAATTAGTACAAAAATGCAAGTGTTATAAATTTAATTATATTTTATATTACCTCTTCTCTGCAAGCCCTATCACATGTGCCACGTTATTACAAGTACTGTGGTCGCACAAAAAAGTTAAACCCTCTGAATTCTCTACAGCTATGTACGGATATGATGTATCAAATATATCTACACCTAATTCGATAAGATCTAATACCGTAAGCGGATTCCAACAACCCAATGATACTTTAAGTTTTTCAATAGGTAAAAGACTCTGAAATAATTGCAATCAATGATAAAATATTCATACGTAACAAGGATTTCTTTACTTACAGCAGTATGTTTCATTATTTCTTTAATTTGCTCTAACGAAATGTTTTGCACATTTGGTCCATTATTATGCAATCCATCTATCACATATCCTATTATCGGTTTATCTTTTAAATCATTTATAGACATTGTTCTGGTTTCTATATCATAGCCACCTTCGATCGCACCTAATATACCTACTGATTCTAAGATTTTAGATTTGGTATGCCTAGCTAGACACTGTTCAAACAATGTCTTACTACGTTGCGCAGCCTTTTTAGTTCGTTTTTTCTTACTATCGATATTAGTATCTCCATCGCATAACGCAACATAAAAATCTGGTTTAAATGTCTCAATAATATCCATGTATTTATCAGCTGTTAATACTTGTCTTCCATTTCTTGCCCATAAAGAGATGGAATCAAGTTTCTGAAAACCTGAAGGTGTAGGTTGAGCTGTGTCATGTATTGTAAGAAAATTTATATATTCCTAAAATATAAATATTTAAAAATTTAAATTAAATGCACGAGAAGACTATTTTAGAAAATTAAAAATGGCATAATTATATTATACCTTCATACAAATAAAATTTGCTAAATTAGTATTAGTATCTTTGACTGATTCAACAATTGATATTGTGGAAGCAAGTGACACAGATAACATATGTTGATTCGAGGTGACCATTTTAAAAACATCTTTAGTTAAATGAGGTACACAACCACTCTAAGAAAAACACGCAGTTTTAATTGTAGCATTGCTTTAAGTACACGTATCGTCCAATTATCAAATATTACCTTCGTATAAATAAGAACAAGAGGAGTTTCGAAACTAACATCAGGAATTCTTTCAAATTCCATTAAAGTTCCAATGCGGGCGGCACAAGGTTGAATCGAATTAGTAATAAATTTCATACTGATTCAACAATAATCAACAATAATTGAATCTTATTGTTAAACATAACCTTACTAGTATACACATGGATGAAAGGACTACAGTTGCATATAGCGACGCTTTTCACAGGTGTCCATGACGAGAGTGATTGATACGAAAAAATTTATAATAAATTAATGAAAAGGCTTGACCTGCAAACGAATTTCCTTCGATTGCAAGTATAACAAAAAATGTTTTTACACTGTCTTTTACTACCGATTTATATTAACATTTTCATCAGTGATAACCATTAGAAACGTAAAATTATCTTTAATACCCTTCGATCAGGAATCGTTAGTAGTCGTTTTAAACATTTTTCCAAATATAAAAGAACTATATTTAATAAATGAATCACAAATAATTAATCTTATTAAAACTTAAATATTATTTGTTTCCTAAAATATTATTTTATTTGAACATTTGTGTAAGGTAAATCCCTAGTTTATTTTTAGTACTTTATTTCGATCGTAAAAATTTGTTTATGATTTTAGAATGTATAACATAAATAAAGCATATTGTATAAATGTACACGGTGAAAGTGCTTAAAAAGTAACGAATTATATGAAAGTATTGATAACTCGCAATTCCCTTACGCAACACGTTCATAGTTATCACAGGTACAAAACCTGAATGGTGTTATTGGTGGCACAGACAAGGTATACTAATAAACCTTTCACCCAATGTATTTTTTCGGCCTATTTTTCTGGGGCTCTAGAGCCCCATTACCATTTTCGTGTCACTCGCAACGTTGCCAACAGATTTAGAAATAAACACAAGACGAAGTGAGACAGAAAATGAAATTACAGAAATTTTAGTATTTTTTCACGGAACGAATCGATTAATTTCATTGGAATAACTAATCGATTAAAATTATTTAAAGATTTCAAGATTATTAAAATACGTAAGGATGTACCTCATTGACAACTACACCGAAAATCCTTATTTATTTAAAAAATAACTCGGTATGGCAGTCAGATTGATTTGGGTCATCAAAATCCATAAGGTGACAGGTCTGTTCGTATACCTCGTGTGTATTTCGCGTAGCATCAAAAGAAAAACGGTAGCTTGGAATGTTTATTGTATTTCTTTTATAATCGCGATTCCTACCGGGGCAACTTCGACGAGAATTTTTTTTCTCGAAAGTGCGTAGGATTTCAAGGATATGTCTATTACCAGAAATGATTCTAATTGATCCCCGCAACCGAAAACAATTTTTCCAGAACGATTAATATTATTTTAATACTTTTAAAACGTTCCAATTGGCCGACACGAGAATCGTTCTCGTATGTTTCGAGATTAAATCCCTCGATGCTTGAATATTTTCCAAATTTACGATCCAAAGTACACGACTTCTATTCGTGTGCATTAATGTGTGTTTTGTTGGGTGTTGCAACACATTGTTTTGCGATTTTAGTGACGCAGTTTACGTATCTTCGTTAGAATCCTGTATAATTTACTGATAAGAAATGAAAGATGAAAACTTGTACAAAAGAAAGTATCGTATAGAGGACGGAAGGTCGGAGAAATGTATACGTGATGTACGACCTTGGTTCTCGACAACAATTCAAAGAAACTTTCAGTCTCCTCGAATTTGTCCATATTTCCATACCTATTGTTTGAAATAATTATTAATTAACATCAGGCAATAGTTAAAATAATGCTCGATAGCGTGGGTTGTATAAATAATTGTTTTAATACCATTTTGCGTAGAATATTCATTTTTCGGTCAAAGACACGGTTAACCGTTAATTAATTGGTGAACTCGCCAAGGACGGTCATCCCCACCCCTTCGACTCTTCTGCCTGAGGCTACCTGCCGGTGACTCTCTCACTCTCTCTCTCTTTCTCGGCGCTGGCGGACGTGACGGAACCCCCGTGGGTCTGCGCTCCACCTTTTCTCACCACTACTGACCACTGGCCGAGCACTGGTCAACTTTGCTGACCAATACTGACCATTAGTGACCAGTAGAGAACGAGTTCCGAATCTCCCTTTTGTAATTTCTTTTCCAACCTTCGAGCGTCTGTTGGGCTTGAATGTGGGGTTTCATTTTACTTTTACTTCTTTGGTCTCCTTCTATATTTCACTACTTATTCCTTGGTTTGTTCGATGCACATTTTATATTGCATGTACAAATCTGTTTCATTGACCACTATCGACACAGTGGTGAGTGATATCTTAATCTCCAATTTCTCACTTCTTTTTCGACATTCAAATGTCTGTTGGGCTTGAATCTATCGTTTCACCTCGTTTTCATTTGTCCGGATTCCTTACATATTTTATTTCTGGCTCCTTGATTGCAAATGTGTTTGTTCCCGTATTTTATTCTTGTCTTAATGTTGCTTGGTGTATATGCTGTGCTCTTGTCCGTGTCTATTTTACGTCGCTGGTTTCTCTGGGTCCATTTATTTTATTTCAAGGCTTCGTGTTTATCAATTCATTATATTTAATTGTTTAACTAATCGTAAATGCCGCCTTTTTTAGTTTGTTACAGATTACTTACAGGCCTCTATTATCGTGGGACATCGTTGGACATCGCGGGACATTGCGTAAATTTATTTTTAAGGCCGCGATGCCAAGCAATTATTAACTTAGCTTCTCGTTCACTCGTTCTCTCGTTTCTTCTCGTCCAGTTCATCCGCTGCACGGTTCAGCATCGCGTCGCGTCGCGTATTCCATAATTTAGCTTCACCCCTTTTTAAACAAAATAATTGCTTGGTAGATTTAAATTAGATATAAGCATCGACGACTCCCATGTATGCGTCTGCGTATGTGCCAAGTAATTCTTTACCAACTAGCTTCTTGTTCACCCGTTCTCCCGTTTCTCGTTCCGGTCACCACTGCTTTGATGTAGAAAGCAAGTGATTGGCCGTTTAGCTGATCCGAAGGGTCAGTTGCTGTCCTCTGGCGAGACGATCCAAGAGAAAGCGTATTTCGGCCGCAGAGGGGATCAGGGACTGTTCCTGTCTGCGGTAGCCCCGACACACGCTCCCTCTCTCAGTCAGCCGTCCCGCGTTGGGTCCATCTGGCTCCCAACAGGATGCGTGGGAGAAATGGGGAACCTCTGTGCCGGGTGCGTCGATTCACTTCCCCTTCGATCGGACTTGCCGAGAGGCAACGGAGCTGACTTTTTTTACCAGTTACTCGGTTCGCGTGTCGCGTACCTCGTTCCTTGCGTCGATCACTGCTGATCGACATCGCGTCGTATCGCGTCGCGTCGCGTATCCCACAATATAGCTTCATCCCTTTTTAAACGAAACAATTACTTGGTACAACTAGACTAGAAGATCGAAGGAACATTGCTTCCTTCGATCTCTCTAGTTTAGTAATCTAGCTTGTAAGAATGTAAAAGGGAGATCGATGGAACTTTGATTCCATCTATCTCCCTTCGGGTCTCCATTCGCAGCAACCTCCACGTGGTGAGACCTGGGTAATATTATTTAACGTTTAATTAATAATCGTATCACTCTTGGCTGGGTAATGCAATTATTAATTAAAAACTAAATAATATTAGCAAATTGGCTGCGATCCGCTTTGCACACGTCATCATAAATATAAAGCTTCTTCGCTAGGTTAGTTTTGATTCTCATTGATTTATCAAAGATTCTAGAGTATTGTCAGAGACGAGGTATACGAGTAGATCTTTCACCAAATTGAAACCTCATTACCATTTTCGTGCCATTCACAACGTTGCCAATAGATTCAGAAATGAATTTTAATCCCTTCCATAGTCAATTCACATGTAATTACGTAATCACTACAGCTGTTTGCCTACGAATATTAATTCAGTGAATAGTTTTACAACTGACCGCCATCGATGAGAAGAGGGCGCTAAAATCACCTCCGAATTTTCAGGTCGGTATGGCAGTCAGATTGGACCACAATAGTCCATAAGGTGAAAGCTGTCTACTCGTATATGATTACACATTTTTATTATCGTGGTGCAACAGCAGAGGTTAAGACAAATACAATGATGTGTAATATGATCTTTAAACGATCTTGAAATTTTCTTTGAAAATCACTAGTATAAACGAATCTCGAAAGAGATTTAAAAGAGCGACAGAAAGTAGTAGGGACTTATTTCAATATAGTACTGGTATTTTCTATTTCGATATAAGTTCTTGGAGAATTGAACGAAATTAATAAGAAATTACGTAGACAGCTGTGTGTTGCTACTATCATTATATTGTAAGTACAAAGAAATTTTCAGGTTCTTTAAATTACGTCCGTGTAAATATTAGTAAAAAAAATCATCCGATGTATCGACGTAGCGCATTATTCCGATTCCCTTCCATAATATTGATCATCCATACGATAATGAAATTGGGCGACAATCGGTAAGTGAATTTAATTATTCCGATCAGAATGGAGTGATGCAAGAATCCTGTTGTCACGTTTTCTTTCCCTATTGTTTTTATAGCGCTCTGTACGTATTTTTCCGGCGTCGGTACCATCCACCCTGCTCTCGGCGAGTCTGTTGTATGATTCGTGACTGTTCCAGGTAATAAGCATTGCACGATTATGCCGTGTCTCGCGTACTCGATCTGCAGATCTCTGGTAAATTTCACAATGTACGCTTTGGTAGCCGCGAACACGGTTAAAAGAGGACTCGGCAATACGGCCACCACCGAGGCAACATTCACAATTACTCCTTTTCCTCTGACGACCATTTGCGGTAACAAAATACGACACATATTTGTAACAATAACGACGTTACAGTGCACGATACTCATATAGATCTTCTCTTTGTGCGGCAGATCAAGGAAATATTCCGGATGTGGATACGACATACCGAGATTGTTTATCAACACACCGATCTCCAAACCGAATATTTCTTTTTCGATCACTTTGTATGTTTCCAAACCTTCCGAGATATCTAGTTTGATCACTTTCGTCTTCACGTTGTACATCATCTCGATGTTACTGGCGATCTTTTTCAAGTTTTCGGTGTCCGGGCTTACGAGTATCACGTTTAACCCTATTTTAGCGAGCGCCTCCGCGTAAGCTTTTCCTATACCATGGGAACAACCGGTGATAACTGCCCATTTACCCATCGAATACAAATCGATGGTCGACGTTGTGAAAAAGTTCTTATACAGTTTGTATATTATGTCTCGGGACAGTTTGTAACCCCAATATATGATCGTCGCGTAACCTATTTTCTCAACCAACATCGTTCACGATTGGCGAAATTTCCAGGTCGTCGCTTCAGTGCATGCCAAAGGATAATGCGTTTTACGATAAATCAGATGGTTTTCGTTTATCGTTTGCACGTAATTTGTTGCTTCGGCCGGAGAATCGTGGAAAGGGATTCTTTGCGTGCTACGCCTACGACAGTCGAAAGGACGACATATTTCAAGGGCATGAAAACAGTCGAACAGGAAACGAACAGGATCGTTGCAAACACATATGTTTTCCCGCGTTTTGTTTCTCGAGAAGTGATCGTGGTAAATCATCTCGTATCGAGCCAAGTGTTCGTGTCCATACTTCTGTGCAGGGACTCGAGGTAGACGACTCTTACAGATGACATTACTCATTCTTTTCAATTTTTCAATACAAGAATACAATGCGTGCAATTCTATTGGTTTAATGTCGGAAACAATCGTCACGAATCGTGAGTCAACGTTTATCAATTATCAGATATTAGTCAATTCAAGTTGCAATCGACTAATGCGTTGCAGATCTATTTCTCAATAGCTATATCGATAATAAAAATTCAAATTTCGCTTTGTTGACTCGAATCAACGTACTTCCGGTTGCTTGGTCTGTATTCACACGGTGCACTTGGCTTTTTTCTAAATATACAGCGAGGGTAAAATAACAGAACACTTTGTATATTTGTATAATTTCATATAGTTAAAAACGAATAGGGGAAAATTAATATTTTTAGATTCTGCATACCTTTTACCTCTTACAGAGTAAATATACAAAATCTTATGTTTTTACGGATGCGCAAAAATAGACAATTATTCGGACACTTTGCAATTTAATTTCATAAAATAAAAATAACAGTGTTCGATCGAAGGTAACTTGGAACTATTATTTCCACGATTCGAGAAAGGAAGTAGACCGGAACTGGCTATCATGCCCGGGACTGATATAATTTTTATACATGCCCGAATAAGCGGTAAGAATTGCATCAACTCGATTATACGAACAATTAAAGTATGCAACGCATTCCTATCATTACTCTAGGTGCTGGGATGCATGATTATCTCTATAATTATTATCACGGTCATTGCTACAAAATTGTTGTTATCATTCAAACGGCCGCGCATTCAAAGATAAGCTGATAGGGAGCAGCCAGCGATGTTTTGATTTCTACAGTCTGTATACATTCGATGTCCTTACTTCTCTTTTGTCACGCGTCATTTGCGGTTTCGTTAAACCATATCGTTCCTCTCTTTTAAAATATAGAACACGATAAATATTATCGTATTTTGTTCGTCTCGTTGCCAACAATACCTCTGACACCGCATAAGCAAATCGCTGGCTTGGAAACACTTTCGTTCACGGTCGTCTGAAACCCAAGTAAGTACTTTATGTGTAAGCAATTCTTTGTCTTTGTACACGTCTAACCGCGGTGTGTTTCTGTTCTCAACAACACGTCACGTCAGTCATGTATGCATACAGTGTTCTTTCTTAACTAAACTTTATTTAATTGTTAGGTGATCGTCGCGGAAACGAACACAGAGTACATCCAAGAGCCTCGCGTGTTTCGCGAGGTTCGAGGCCTGGATGAAGAAAAGAAACAAAACAGGGGAAACATGGAGACCATGGATGAAGATGTGCCAGCGGGAAAGCTGGAGGATGTGGAGGAAGTGGTAGTGAAGGATGCCGTGGTGTCCATCGACACCACGGACAAGAAGTTACAGCAATACAAACAAAACACTTACGCCGCGAAGAAGACCGTGGCGCAAGGTATGATGGATGTTGCTCTGATCACTGCAAACGCGAACCAATTGCGATACTTGATCGAGTACCAACGGAACAGTCCTACGTTCTACGTCATTTTGAGCCTAATTATCATCAGTCTGTTACTTCAGGTAAGACTACCCTCTGCGATTTTACTCCTCTTATTCGGATTAATGACGGTAAGGCACAACTTGGCGTATTTTGCACCGTAGTTCTATTCTATTGATACAAAAACCGAAACCTAGAGACCTAGAGAATTCATTGTTTGGGCTTTAGCCAAGTTACTGGATGATACCAATTTTTGCATCAAATGACCGGCTGATTAGATTTTTTTTTATGGGAATATTTACAGTCTGTCAGTAAATAATGAGGAGTTAAAAAATAGGAATGCAAAGCATTTACCAACAAATGTCTGGTAACTTGTGAAAGAGAACGTAACTATGTACAGACCACAAACCAATATACATACATATACATATACATATACACCACCTTTTCGTCGCTAAGAACGATGTTATTCTGGTTGTTTGTTATAGATCGCCGTGGGCGTCAGTTTAATATTCAAAGGTCGATTCGACATGAAGGGACAGTCGAAATCTTTGAACGCACGAAGGATCAACAATTACGTTGTGGCCGGCGTTTTTCTCATAACAATTATAAACGTCTTTATAGCCGCGTTCAGTATATCGGTTCCAACCACGGAGACACGACTTATTCAAAGATCAAATAATAATCTATGAATAATCGTTTCTATCGATTATCTCAAGATCCAGCTCTCTGTTTAACCTTTTTTTTTTTACTATACGATAATGTTAGAACTCTATTTCCTATTTCGTCTGGAACGATAATAACGAGATATCCGAGATTGCAATACAACAGTAAATTATCTGTTTACATACACGCATTTCTATACTATTTTCTATACAAGATATATTTAGTGTAATATCGGTCAAATAAAAATACAAACAGTAAAGAAATAAATTATTTATGCGATCAATATTTGGTACGTTTTTTTTTTATCACGTGAAAGAATTCAACACCGTTCTCATTCTTTAGTGAGCAAAAACTACCGATCTCGCTAGTTTTTACATTTGTTTATTCAATACCTGATGGCGACATGCATTAGATTAACTTAATCGCTTTATCTAGCTATTGTTTTATCTATACGTATATCTGTTCTCGAACGATAAGTTACAACAATTGTTTAATGAATTTTTTACGTACGTGCTTATTCGCGTATTTTGATTTCGAAACCTCGAAGCGGTTTCAATAATTTTAGTTATACGAAATTACATAAATTTGAGGAATTACAATTTACATAGAGCAGCTACTTTTATCAAGATTTGAACAGTTAAGTCTTTTATTAGAATAGTACGATTACTTTGAATGGAATTTTTATTACTCTAACCCCTTCTCCATTGTCTCGTACAAAATACTAGAGTTTGATCAAATGTTAAGTTTAAATGCACGTGACTCCCATTAATTACTCCTAGGATTTTGATATGTTCTTTCGTATATTTGAAATCTCGATTTCTCCAACTTCTGCTCTTAACCGCAATTTCCACGCCTATATATTTTATTCGATTTCTGTTCATAGCAAAAATATTTAGTCCAATCGATCTGGTCGCTTAATCTAATTCTCATTATATGTATATAAAAGCAGATTGTTTAATAAATAATACAAACATTATTTCAACGCATATTCAACGTTTTCTTCAGAACTATATATACACACATAACAAATCTAGGTTTACTCCTTCGTCTACGAAATCTCTTATTTTTATTAGGAGTGTCATTCTTGTTCTATTTTAGTAACAAAAAGGAAACACTCGTTTTGCATTATTCCATAAGATTTGCGCTATAAATTATTTGTTATATAAAGTCTATCTTAGGTAATATAAAGAAAATAATACAGTTTAAAGGAAGTTGCGTATTCAAGTAAATCGTTTTTTTTTTCTCTTTTCCATGGTGCGTGTATTTGTGATGTATGTATGTGTGTGTGTGTGTGTGTGTGCGCGTGCGTGTAGTTTTTTCATATTTGGCAGTCACAATACAAACCACATTTGATTTGTAATATGTGCCCCACATAATATACATTTGAAAGAAGACGAATATGTATTTCAGGAAGTTGCACCAAAAGTACGTGTCCGTTTATAATTATTTCTCTTTTTTAAATGCAACAATAGTCGTAATGCATTCGAATATTGTATAATTTTGTTATCTCCTCGAGTCACGTTCTCGTACATTAGCTTCATCTATAACAAGTCTTTGTTAAAACATTTTTCGCTACTTTCTCTTTATTATAGTTAACAAACAGTTATAGCTTCCCTCTTCTTGATTACGCTCGTGTTACACGTTGATAAAAGATCGAGACAGCCGAACGGATCCTGCAATGTACGATTTCATCGGTCAAACCAATCTTTATAGATTATTTTACGTTAGACAATACCGTGTAATAGAATATAACAAAATACGATAACTAATAATTAACATGTTCGTTTCTTTTTTTTTCTGGTGTGACTAGGATTTCTCCATAGCGGCGTAACTCTATATCTTGTGCCTCGTTACACTTTTCATAGACAATTTCTCAGTTTTGCGTTTCGCATCCGCAACCTCGACACCTATATCACACACGCGAAAATATACAGTTCTTACTACATCGTTAATTATACCTTACACATACTTTAGTAGGATATCTAAAAATCGTTTCGTGCGTCTTATTAGCCGAACGAATTAATTGTTCTATTCGACAATGAAAAATTATCGTAATACGTAACAATTGTATGATTCACTCAATAAAGTGTTCCACTCAAACCCGGCCACCTAAACATCTCCACCAATTGTGGCGATACAACAAACATTTTCTATGCAATTTAAATATTGTAAAGACACCAATATATCGAAAAGAATATTTTTTTTCAATATCATATTTCCAAGTGATATTTTTTTCCACAAATGGAAGGGATATTTGGGTGGCTTTGTGAAATACCTTGTATATTATGGAGAAGTCGACGAATGATAGAATTCGTACAATAAATTAATATAAAAAGAAAAGTATAAAGTTAAAAAGACGACATCGAAAGTTGTCGTGCTTCTAATTATATCGAGTTGTTTAATGGACTTCGAAAGCACTCTGGGGCAGAGCTATGCTAATTCAGTTATATCGTATTTCAATTACGCAATTTAATTACAATGTAACTGAAATACAATCTAATTAAAATACATTGTAATTGAATCGAATGAAAGATCTAAATTATGAATTACAATATAATTGAATTACGATGTAATTCGATCATTTCATAATTACAATTCCTGGAGTAATTCAATTGTAATTCCGCGCGACTCTGCACTGGGGACATTATAGTTTACATCGGTTCGGGACACCTTGCTTTGGCTTTATAAGCGACTAGATACAAAGCCGTAATTTAGATTATCCCTAAAGTGATTTCTGTGCCAATAAACGTAATTGCTTAGAATGATATTGAAATTGGAAGATTCTTGTAGCAAAAGCGTCGTACACCGATAAGTTTAAGTGTAACTTGTATACTTTTGTAAAGATCGATTTCCCGTTTTGCGTACTATACTTCAATCTTAAAAAAAAAAAAAAAAAAAAAAACAGGTATGCAAGACAATTATGATCTCTTAATGCAATAAATCTTACAATCGATGAGAGTTTGATTGTTAATGTCAACCTGTTCAGCAGCACGCGTGATACATTACGTATATGTCTCTGAAGATGTTAAGTATAGTTTCTACAAATGAAAATTGTTTCGATGTATTTTTTATATATAATTCATTATCAAAATTATTGCAGTTTCACAGAGTATTAGAGCTGGAAAGAAATCTAATGATATTTGTAATACTTTTATTTTTTTTTTTTTTTTCATTTCTATTACGACCGATAGAACTATTCCAATTAATTTGGAAACCTGTATACGTTTACGTTAGTTCTATCGTGAAAAGTGCTCTCTGCACCAACATCATTGCTAACTTAACATTACGCATACTTTGAGTCGCACGTACTGGGCAGGGCAAACTAGGGCAAAAGGTTTTATAAGCATTGCAATATAAAGGAATCGTGCTAAATTTTAAACTAATCGTTACAATTCAACCGTAAATTTACATAAAATTTACAATACTATTTTAATCGTAGCGTACGAGAAAACTACTCTTATTAAAATGTCTTATGAAAACAAATTTGTAGAAAAACTTGATTTGTTGAAAAAGGTGAGTATAATCTATAAAAGGGTTAATTTGGAGTGGAAAACCTATATTATGTTTCATAGCGTCGCGTTTACTTTAAAGAATCCGCTATCCTCGATATCTGTACACAATAATTTTTCCAAGACGATACTAAAACTTTCGTTCTGCCCTTACCTGCCCTATCCACATGATTGTGCCTTACTTTCTGATAACATATTTAACTGATTCCATTTTTTGGAACATTTATATATGATTTTCATTCTTCTTTGGATATCAAATTCAAAATTGTTACATTATACATTTACAGTAGCTAATCTGTTTAAATGTTTATCAATAGCAGATTTATCACAGTGGTATATTATTGTATTCCTCGGGTTGTATATTTCATCTGAAATAGTATTTTATATTTTCATCAATATGATGACATTGGTTTCTCACATATTGTGTTGTTCCCTAAACTATACATAATACGAAGTTTTTACACTTTAATACTAACTGACCTGAGTTAATCGTCCCACTCATCATCATCACTGGTTTCACTAGTCGATTCATCACTTTCACTATGGATTGCACTCGATCGCTCAGCAAGAGCCCTCGACAAAGCACTAGCTAATCCTCCTTGAAATATCGGAGGCGTCTTAGGTTTTACTTCGTTCACAACAGGCCTTAATTCAACTCCTTGACGAATTTGTTCCAATAAAGCATTTCTAGAATCCCCTGGAACGGGGACCTCTTTTTGTTTTATTTCGGATTTATCGACTTTCTGCAACACAAATTTCAGTTTCATTTATTTAGTTCGACGATGATTATTAAATCTCGTAATCCATTGACGCTGAACGTTTATAAGCAATTACCGGAAGCAATTAACCCAACTGGCAGCGTATATATACGCACATTCAATGTTACGTTTCTAATAAATTTTAAAACATTTCTACTTAAATTCAATAAATAAAAATTTGCTAATGAGGATATATAATTTTTTTATTTTTTTCGTACATTACAAATGAGTCAACTAATCGATTGTTCACGGTCAAAGGATTAACGACAAATAAAATAAAATCAAACGAATAAAAATATTCGATTTCAATACTAACTCTAAGTGTAGTGCCACTTCTGATGGATTCCATGAGCATCGAATGAGGATCAGCATTTTCTTCGTTATTATTATTACTAGTATTATTATTATTATTATTCTTAGCACTTGTGTTGAAAGTGCCTTCATCTGTGTTAACTAAATTAGGCAATGGTGGTGGAGGTGGAACAGGTGCGATTGAATTGGTCCTGGATGGTGGAGCTAGAGCTGGTGGAGGTGGCGGCGGGGGTGGTGGAAGTGATGGTACAGCGGTTAAAGAAGGTGGAGGCGGTCGTGATGGTAATGTTCTATGCACCGGTGGCGCATTAGCTGGTGCGCTCGGTGGTGTTGAAGGCGCATTAAATCGATTTGGAGGTAGTGGCGGAGCGCTTCTCGTTTGATGCTATAAAAAAATTCCTTTGTTAAAGTTATTTATCTTTTATAGAGAGTTGTACAGTAATACAGGGTTAACTTTATGGGGAACGAATCGTGGAGAATTAACCGTGCATTACTGTATACGTTTCGTATAACTATCGTAAAAAAATGTACGAACAGGTATTGTTCGCGCAGGAACCGGAGGAGGATATTCCTGTCGTTGAGGTGCTACCGGTAGAGGTTGTTGCTGCGGTTGTTGCTGTGTGCTAGGTTTCGAAGTAGAAATGGAAATATCTTCTCGAATAGCGTTCATGCCACCGTTCTTTTCGATAAATTCATAAATAAAATTACGCGTGTCCTGATTCTTGAATTGGTATTCCGATACGCCCACTTTATCCAGAAATATTTTCAAGTGCGGATCATCCGGTTCAAATTCCAATCCCTTGGATTCAATATATCTCAAATGCGATAAATGTCTAAAAATGTTAAGAACAAAAATACATTTATCAACGATAACTGGAACGATATTGTTTATCGATATGCTTCAGATAAATTTCGAACCTAAAATTTGATGGAGGACCTATATCATCTTTTGTTAATTTTCGTTTAGCCTTGTCGCGCTTTTTCTTTTTAGTTTTGTACATAGAACTGCTTGAAGCACTTCTATTAACGCCAACTGTAGTCGGTGTTCCGTTTAATAAATTAGAGGTTGAACCTGTACTAAATGCAATCGGCGATGTGTTGCTCTGATTCCCCCATGGTAATGTTGCACCATGTTGGGATTCTATTTCCACTTTCGTCCGTTTCTGTTGTCTTCTTTGACGTTTGGCGTTCAGTTTACCAAGAAGAATATTTCTGAAAACAAGCAACGGATAGTTTATTTCTCTACATCCTATATTTCTATGTACGTGTTAGTTTGTACAGTAAGCCCGTTCGCGTCGACGATGTTACTTTAACACACTATCGGCGGGATGGGTATTAATACCTTTTCCACAGACTGCCGATAGTGTGTTAATAGTACATAAGTCGTAGCATGCTGGAACAAAATAGTAAACGTGTCCAAGAGAATTAAGAAGTTAAGGCAAAGAATTAAGAATCACGAAATCTATAATACTTTAATTGTTACTTTTGTTTCAAGGTTTAGTATGGCCTACCTTAGCGTAACAGCATCTGTTTCACTCGCAAAATTAAAAGCAGCCATACAATCTTCAGCCTCGAATGTATGGAAGTACGTTAACGGTGCTTTATAATCCATTGCATTATAAACTTCATGTTCCCATAACATTGCCTTCCTTTGTAGGCAATACAAACGAAGAAAGAAACTACGTTTAGGATTATCCCTTATCAACGTTATAATACCTGTAGTTTTCTTTATCCATTCTTTGTGCAAGGGTGATTCAGTCAAATATAATTGAATAATTCCTGCTGCTAAACACTGCAAGAAACATTAAATATAACAAATTATTACTAAATTCCTTTACATTCAATGTTCCAATAATGACTATTCTATTAATATTTATTGAAAAAGTACAAATAATTGATAAAATATATATAGGTGCCATAGAATGCTGATCTACAAATAAATTAAGTTGTACGATACAGAAATGTGTCCAAGAAAATATAGCACGATTGCTTGGTGGAAAATTCCTGCATAGTTATGAATTCCCTGATGTCATTCGATTCATTCATGACTAATACGTAACTTTCAAGAATATAAACCTACTCTTACAATGTAATTCTATACATAAGGAATCATAAATAACAGTAATTTTATATAATAAGTGTACATAAATTACAAAACATAATAATTTGATATAGTTTATATTTTATATTGCGCGGTTGATGATACTTTGAAATATTTGTTGGTTCCTAAAAATATGAAGGAAAACTACAGTTAGATCTGAGAAGAGAGACAAAGATTGTCCACTTAAAAATCTTTGAGCGCACTATGTCATTAACAACCCTAAATAAAATTACTAATTCGACGAATTTAATAATGCAAATCCATTTTTACGATAATAAATATGTCGTTGGAAAAGTTTTCTTAACAACGTGTAACTAGCGTGTAAATATTGTATTAATTGTAAATGAAATAAGTTCGGTCGCGACGTTCATAATGCCAAAGGTATTCAGAAATAACGTCAAGACCGAGATGACAGTACATGTTCGTCTATATCCGTCGATCGACAAAATTTAGGTCAAAATCGGTACGTTGAAATGACAGTTTTAATAATCGCGGATAAAAATGTGTCGTGTGATTGATTCGTTACCTGGCACCGATTCCCTATTAATTGGAAAACCTGCTCGTTTTCTTCCGGTTTCAAAAGTGTTGAGCCTCTGTGTTTGTCCATGGTGCCCGACTTCATTTTTAAACAAGGTTAGGTTCTCGCACTGATCGCACCGTGATATTTCTCGCTACACTCTCTCTCAATCAATAAATTCTCTTTCATTATTTAACATCAACATGTCCGGTTTTTGTGCATTTTTACATGTCGAATATACAAATCGACCGTGAAATCCACAGGATAAAACGGACCAAACACCACCCACCAAAGCTATCTCCGATACTATCCTCACAGGAAACTCTACCAGTCGGTGATGACATTTTCATCTATCCGGTTCAATGTTCCGCGTTTCCTCATTCGATATCTCCTCGCTTTTAAGGGAGTATTCTCATTGGTAAACGAAAAGAATACTTTTCGGGAATATTTTGCGAGGAAAATATAAGCACGAATAATTTTAGATTTAAATGTAAGGTTGTGGAACATATTTCCTATCCTCTGGCATTTTTTACAATCTGCTTGTAAGGCCTACCGAAATAGAATCTGCGAAACAAAGATCTCCCCTTGGCTTCACGAAAAAAAAACAAATTCTTATTTGTTAAGAGTATACTGACTATTGGGATTAGAATAAATATTGTAGGTTGAAAATACTTAAAACAGCGTACTTCTAGATACATGACACCAGTGCAAATGTTCTAAATACGCGTACATTTGTGTGCAGGGATACGAGTACATTTGAATTTTAGGCGCGTCTTGTTTATCCTTCGTTGTCGCTATAATCACAAACTGCAAATGGCCACGGGTGCAATTCACGTAGTCTCAGAAATGCGATATCAAGCAGAATCTTATTTTACATGCAAAATAGCGTTGTCAATGATGATAGCGCAACAGTGATTATCATTACGCGTGTATATTATTGATAGTAGAGTTATTCGCGATTTTCTTAAGGTCGCGTAATTGAGTTTTCCGCGGGAAAATAATGTCCGGATACCGAAGAGTGAATTACTACGAACTGTGCAGATTGTGTACCAGCAGCGAGGGTAATAAAATGAACATTTTTCGAGAAGAAGGTCGTAGACGGCAACTTCAAACAAAGATTCAAACGTGTTTACCTATACAGGTGAGGGTTTTTCAGGAAACGAGTTTTCGAATGCCAAATAGGCTATCTGCTGTGGATGGTTTCCTGTATCAATAAGCCTTGATTCGTTGCGTGGTTTCATTTATTCAGACAATTGCTTTGATACGAAAACTAGTGTGTAAAATTTCATTAATACTTCAAGGTTTTGGAAGAGGATTCGTTACCAAAAATCGTTTGCCATGAATGTATAAAGAAATTGGAAAATTTTATTGAATTTAGAGAAACTGTTGTAAGTGCAGAGGGTATGCTAGAATCATATTTCACGTCTTTACGATTCTCGGAAGATTTTTTAAAAGAGGGTAAGGTTTATGTAAAAAGCACAGAAAAGGATAGACCCACGACACCTGAAACTGAAGCATTAAAGTCGATAGAAAAAGCATCGCCTTCTACCGGAAATCAAATAATTACCAACGAACAACATGTACAGCATCAACAGCCTGTTGTTGTTAGTAACATAAATGCTTCTAATATACAAATTATTAGCGGAGTTCAAGCAAGAGTCCAACAATACAAATGTGCCATGCAGGTTTGTTAAAAAAGGAAATTTTAATACTAAACATGAATCTTTTTACATTGTTAAATTTTCATATCTATTATTCAAAGTTTAATTATTCATGTATTGTTTTTATTTCAGTTATTAATATACGAGGCATAATATTGCAAATAGAAGTATTGTTATTATTTTCATATAATAAGTTCTTATTACATTTAGTATTATAGGAACAAAGAGTGTTCGCCGTGTAATTATTAATAATTATGTATTTTAGGTGCAACCGGGTGGTATGGCAGCTGCTGTTGTGGAAGCGACAGCTGAAACACACTATAGTTATCAGCAACAAACTTCGCAGCAATTATCGCCTCAATCAAATGAAGCACAAAATCAAATTAACGAACAACAGAGCCCGACATCCCAAATTCAGCAACAAGTGCAAAATCAAATACAGAATCACGGTCAAATAAATCAACAAATACAGTCGCAAAGACAAATCTCACAACAGATGAACCAGACGGCTCAGATTTCTCAGCAGCAAAATCAAACTCAAGTTGGTCAACAACAACAACAACAGCAGCAGCAGCAGCAACAACAACAACAAAATCAGTCGCAAATAACACAACAGATTGAACAGTTACAAAGACAGCAAAGAGAGTTTGAGAAACAGCATAGACAGCTTCAACAAATTGAAAAGCAACAAGTTCAAATCACTACACAACAGGAATTTCCTATTAAACAGGAAGAAATCATCTTGAAAACAGAACCTGACTCTATGCAAAATCAGCAAATTGTTCAAAAGGTACAACCAGAGGTACAAAAAGATGAAACTGCGCTGCAAAATGTACCAAATTTCACCGCCGTGCACGCTGCGCCAGAAGTATTCTTAAATTTGGGATTCAAAGATGCTCCATTGGTTACGCAAACTATACGGGAAGACACAAAAGAATTCAAAGATTATGGGAAAACAGACGATGCGATCTCTCGTAATTCCATCGGACAGATCTCAGAGTTTCTGAAAATCAAATCGACGCCCGAACCAACATCTTTAATAACCGTGAATCCTCAAGTAATTTCGCAAACCAGAGATACTACTTGCAAAGATTGTGGTAAAACTTTCTCCTCCTTAACTCTTCTGAACAGTCATAACTGCTCCAATGCATCGTTCAATTCAAGGTCTAGTTTACTTCAAACTCTTTTAACCGACACCTCTGACGGTGGAAACAAAGAAGATCCTTTACAAATTAATAATAATTCTTTTAGTTGTGATGTGTGTGGTAAGCCGTTCAAACGAAGAGAGCACCTATACCAGCATCGAAAGTTACATACCGGTGAACGTCCATTTGTGTGTACCACGTGTTCGAAAGCATTCAGCCGCAAAGAGCATTTGGTTAGGCATTTGGTATCTCATACAGGTGAAAAGATGCACGAGTGTGAAGTGTGCGGTAAGAGCTTCTCCCGGAAAGACAATCTCCATAAGCATCGTAAAACGCACGGTGTGTCTGGCCCATACATTTGTGAAACGTGTGGAAAATCATTTGTGGTAAAACATTATTATTTAATGCATTTGACGACGCACGCGTCAACTACCGGGGATGGTGTAAATTGCCAAGATCCTTTACCGTACAAATGCGATCTTTGTCATAAGGCTTTCTCTGTTAAACAATATCTTACCACTCATAAACTTAGGCATAGATCAAAGAATAGTAATAATTCTGGGCAAAATACTGTAAATGGTCATCAGTCGCAACAATCTAATACGTCGAATGATACGAGCATAGTAGGAAATAATGTTGCTAATTCTGGAAACCTAGGTAATAATAACGGACAGTCTGATAATGGATCGACGGTCGAGATGCAAACTGTTATTGACAAAGCCGAAGAACCAAATGGTTCGTTCAATAACCAGTACCATAGTAATATACAAGAGTTTCAATGAGATAAGGGGAAGCGTGTCTATTATGTTCTCTTGCCGAACGGTAACAATCACAAGATTGTTGTTGTGTAGGCAAGAGAAACTTTTACGACGCGCCAGAATATTTTTTTAAGTAAACTTGCCATTATTCGAGAACAAAAGTTTTTTCTACTTTAATACAGTCCAAAAATGAATTTAAACATTATTATTTTTACCGTTCGTTATTTTCTTGGTCAAAAAGTAATTAACAGTGGCTTAAAAGCTTAATTGTGAGGTATATTGTGTATATATTTTGCCAGTAAAGTATTACATGTATGAAATGCATGCTATGGTTTATATACGAATGCACACTTATTTAACATTGAAAAGAAAATATGTGCTGCAAAATTTAAACGTACATAGGTAGTCATGAGGTTGTTCCAATACCTGATTAGATTTATATGTCAAGCTACATCAGCTTCGAACATAAAAACGTCAAATCGGTATAATCAGAATACTATATACAAAACATTTATATGTTCTTTTAGTTGCTTTTACTATTAGAATTAGATTAATATGCTAAGCAGAGATTATGTTTCTTACAAATTTCGTCTGATATAAAAGATATTTATTATATATTTTCATTGATAATTATTGAAACAGGGGAATAACCATTCCAGGAAAATAATTAATGATATAATCTTGAATTAGAACTTGAGTTATAAACGATAAAATTTGGTGCGAGCAAAATTAATTTTATGTTAGTTTTGTGCAATATTTCTATACGTTAGATATGTAATTGGTTATCGAGATTAACGAAGTACTTTTCACGTACGAAGTACATTTTTTAACCAGTGATTGTAACAATCTATGACCATTTTACAAAGTATTTAAGAATTACATGGTTTGTATGTAAACTTAAAATACAAAACAAAATCTAAGACCAAAGAAATTTATATTATGTATAAATTGGGTGAATAATATTGAAGTAGAGATATAAATATTAAGGTACGATCAGGCAGGGCCTAGCCTGATTAACTCCATTATAATTAAAACATTGGTTAAGCGTGTATACAACATATATTACATAGTACTTTATGATATGTACAATGAGTCGTTTTCTGACATATGAGAGTGTGCCATACAGTGAACTTTGGGGAATAAGTGTATGTGAAATTACTATAATTATCTAAAATTTCCTTACATTTATAGCATATATTGACCAAACTGAAGAAAAGTTGAAAGAATTTCTATTTGTTGGGCCACGTTTAATTTAATTACATCTGTATGTAATTAGAATATATTACTAATTTAATTATTCTTTTTTTTTTTTTTCATTCAACTTTTTCATATAACAAGACTAAGAACAGGGGACAACTATATAACTACAACCAACTAAAAGTTCCCGGTGTATCGTATTAAAACATTGTCTATCTACTTATTAAATTTTGTACTTGTGCACACTAGATCTAGATATAAAAAATTCATAATGTACTCGAAAAATCACTATTGTTTGTTAAGGTATTTAGTTTGTGTACACCATTTTCACAATGTTCAGTGCTACGTGATAAATATTGATGACAGGTATAGGTCGCACAATTTATATGTTGTACGTTACAGTATGCAATAATATTAATTGTTTGCTGAAATAAATACAAAACTTTCATTCGAGTGTGAATGTAAATTTGTTATTGGATATACAATAACGAAGTTTTGTTCTCACAGAGTAAACGTCTTAAGGTATAAGAAAAGTTTCCATAGTACAAAAAATTTATTTTAATTACTGGTCAGACTTTATTTTATCATAAAGTCTTGTACATATACTGAAACAGAAGTAATGAATTTAAGACTGTGTTTCTATATCACCTAGCGCTAGGTGTACGTTGGAGGTACATAGATTTATAGTAATAACATTGTACATAACATGGTCCAGTGAGTAAGACAAAAAACTGTTAGTGCGCTGTTCCTAAGGAAATGGTATTTTCTGCGAAGCATGGGAATGCCTATACTCATATTGAAGTCTTGTAAAGTAGATATTAAATCCAAAGATACAGTGCTTTTATTACTTACATACTTTGTGCCTAATTGTAAAAATCATGGAAGACACATATTTTAAACATTTATGTATAGAATCATACAAGTATCTTACTTTTCAGTAGCCACTTGATACGTGTAACTCGCAGCAAAATGACATTAAGTAATTGCTCAGACACAATTATTTTCGTAATTTCTACTTTTAAGTTTCTTCCCTTACATTGTATATATTTCCCAACCAATGCTATATTTAAATATATTATAATAAATTAAAGAAACCTACGTTTCTTTTTATTTCATCTTCCTACGTTTAAGAAATGTCATTCTGAAGAAAAAAAAATATTAAAGGAAGAACGCCATTATTGCCAATTCAAATCGAAAGAATTTGCCGCGGAATATTCAACTTCAAGGAAGGACGCCATTACTGAATCGTCATTCGTCATTCGTACAGTGAACGTGTTTGGACGTGCTTCGACCGGTGTCGACTGATCGGCAGTGTGGCATATAATAAGATACGTATTATTAATATAACGATATCTAAACGTTTCTAATCTCTATTATTACTCTCCATTATTCTCTATCGGTGCCTTTATTTAATATTTTGACTACAAATTTAATCGGAATCGTGAAAATAGTTGATTCGGTTTCGCGCCTTTTCGTCGACATCTAACCAGCCTCAATTATCATTGTATTTCGAGTTTAATGCTTGTTTAATTGTGGTATAAGTGTATTTATTTAATGCATTGGATCGTAATTCACATTTTATTTTTATTGCAGCCTCGAATTCCGAGCCAACTTTAAGGAAGAACGCCATTATTGCCGATTCGAATCGAAGGAACGAATTTGGCGCGGAATATTGGACAAATCTACTCTGCGTGATGTATGTATTCAAATTTCTATATTCTTACTTTTTGACTTATCATTTGTTGCAAGTACGACGTACAATTTAATAAGTTATTGTACTTTGTTTTAAATTACGCATACAAGGAAAATACATAGACGAAAGAAGGTTTTGTATAAAATAAACAATTTATTTAGTAAAATAATAATACATTATTTATCATTTACATATTTCACCAATTTTGAATTAATGGAAGAACAAAAATAATAGAGGTAACGTTATACACTTAGGGAGTATATCGTGAACATGAATAGCAATGTTTTCATTGCACCTATGTTACAACTTACAACACGTGCAATCATGCTACAAATCACTATACCATAGTCTATTTGTACACAGATTGTCCTTTCGTAATGTCCTTCCTATCAAATTCAACGAATATTTTCAATAAACGATGTAGTACTGTAAAGGCATTGAAAGATTAACGATAAATTCATGCTATCGACGTGGTTTAATTCTGGATGCACGATTGACATTTAGCGTCTTTAGAAATTACTGTTTCACCTTGTTATAGTACTCCACAGATATCGGAAAGTATAAATAATAATTCCTATTCTGAATAAGTTACATAGTCGATACTAATTACACATAAGTTCTTTAAGTTTGCCAAAATAAATAGTCATTTCTATATTTCATCTTGGATACGATAATAGGCTCTTTCGTCATAAAACTGTTTTATAATCAACAGTTACAAGTATCATAGAAAAATAAAATACATATTATCGTTTCAAGCCAAGTAATTATATATATTGTATGTATAGTAGTTGATATTAAAGGATCAGTTCCTTTGCAACAAATGTATATACAACATTTTTGTTTGCATAATTTAAACTCCAATAGTAGAGAGTAGAAGGTATAGTGCATGCAACTGTAAATTATTTTATAATTTTTGTAACATCTGTTAAAATAAGTTAAACATCGATTCAACACTTTTAAGACAAAGTATTAATTGAGAAACATTAATATAGTATAAAATTAAAATTTCTTATTATAATATTCACGATCATCAAATCATTTCAATTATTTAAATATTAAGCATTTTCTCTTTCCACAAAAGCATTAAACTTAAACAATGGAATTACATATGTATCTTTACGATATTCATTTATAAAATTATGTTAAAGCATATAAACTGTATAGAACTCTAATATACTATTAATAGCATAATAGATTATTAACCGATCAATCTATTTTCAATACATACTACCAAATCATTAAATCCAGAGGTTTTCGTTGTAATTCAATAACAATTCTATGATCATTAATATCGATTTAAAGAGAAAGTAAACTGTTAAAAGTTTGCGATGAAAATAATTTGTGGATTTTACAGTTAGAATTGGTTGTGTACAGTGATATTGAATATTATGGTATGACACGACCTCTAATGTGAATTTTATGTTGCAAGTTGGTAATGGTGTGTAGAAAAGTAATGTCAATCATATGGCTAACCATATTTGCTATGAAAATACAAACTATAGTATATCATGGAGTTAAAAAATATGTGTTTTCAAACAAACACAATAGTTTGTTACGACGTCAAATGTTGATCGTATTACATGGTAAATCCCTTGCACAAAACGCAAAAGTGGCCTTTCGATAGACCCTCTGTCGACTTTACATTTTGAGTTCCTGCGTCATATAAGTATTAAAGTTGTATACATTTAATATATGTGTAGATAAATGTTTCCGATATGGTACATGAACAGTGAGCTAAGCACCAGAAAATTTTTTTAAATTATGTGTATTTGCAACTTACTCAAACTATGCGTGGTCCTCTTCTTTATTAATTTGTGCTGGTGTTGCTGGTGTTGGGTCATCATGAAATAACGGATTTTTTACTTCCATTTCACTGGTCTAAAAAAGACAATAATTACATGATGCATAGAAATTCCTTAGAATTAGTTCCACGAAATAAATAGGGAAGAAACTTACAGAAGCTAGCCCAGGGCATTCGTAAACAGTATAGTCTCCTTCCTCGTTTTCTTCTTCGCTTTCTGCTTCGGAAACAGAACCTGGATCTCTGGATGCAGAAACACGACTGCACAAATAATTATTTAAATGCTATTCTCTAAAAATTTTCAACGTAATATTTGTTTGCGTAGCTTGATGGGAAAATTTGTTGGAATGGTAGAAAACTTGAAACGTTCGATGCATTGATTTTAAAAAATTTTAGAGAGTTACTATTTCAACCGTATTATTTAACTTACTTTTCCATGGCAATAATTTGCTGCTTCTGATGTTGAAAGTGATACATTTGAGCAGACTGAGCAAGTCTTTGGTCTCCCGAGGGTGATATCTCCTTATTTGGACCTGTCACGCCGTAAGCTGGATATTCTATGTCAGCAGCTGCTTTAGCACCACGTTTCAGTCTACAAAATCCATTTCATTTGCTAGAGTACAGTGCCTCCATGAAAGAAGTATCATTACATTATCATAATGTTATATCGCACATTATTTTGTTCCGTTTGTCAGTATAATTTTGATCAATATACGCAATTATTTTTATAATATTACCTGCACCATGTTAAAGTGATCAATACAAGGGCAAACATTGCCGCTGCACTGCAGCCAGCAACAATAGCTGAAAGTAAAACAGAAACTCATTTTACTGACGTTATTCGCGCATGCTTGAAACAATTCAAATAAACATTCTTACCGATAAAGTAAATGTCATTGTTTAGATCATGATTCATGGGTACAACTAGGGGGTTGTATCCTGTACGTCGTTCTAACTCCGGTAGCACAATCACAGACATGTCGTTTAATTTGGGTTCCGCGTTCCTTATATTCTCCTCGTGCATCGTATGCAATTTGTCTATTATCGCATCCTTACGATCCCAATTCGTCTCGTTTTCTGTTAGTTTCTCCAAATTCGAGTCGTCGCTTGTATCTATCGATAAAGAAAAATTTCTTAACAGTCTGGTAATACGTAGACCAACTTCTGGTTAAAAAAAATAATCGAAAGGCTCACTCGAAAAAAAGGGGGCGTCTTGATAGTATCTGGGATCGTTGGGTTTCACCGCAAACGGGCGTCTCTCGTTCAAATTCGAGTCGTCGAACTTGAAAGTGAACTCGGGAACGGTCACGCGTGGTTCCTGCAGCTTCCTGTCGATTCCGTTTACCGATCCGCCATAACCCCTATGGAGCCCCAAAATCGGTTCTTCTTTCATTCCTTTCTCGAAGTCTATCGGCCCCTCGTAGGATGGATGATCGAACGGCGCGTTACGACCGTATACGTAACCGTTGTTCTGATAATTTGCATCCTCGCGGTTCGTTTCACGAGGCACGTAAGGCAACTTGAAGCCGGGATAATCTACGGAATCGTCAAACGGGTTCAATTCATAGAACGGAAAGTAATGGTCTCTTTCGCGCGGCGTCTCGTTGATCGGCTCGTTGTATTCCGTTTGCCGATCATTCCACTCTTTCAGCTTCTCCTTCCTGAGAATATCGGCCAAATTCGCTTTGTCGGTCAAAGTTTTCAATAGGTCCCGTTCTTTCTCTCGGTCCAGTTGCAATTGGTGTTTCTTATGAGCTTCGTTCGCCAAAAACGGCGAGAGACGGAACTGATGGCCCTGCTCGAGGTATTTGATCAGTTGCCTTAGCACTATATTCTCCGAAGTATCGGGGGCTTCATCTGAAAGGAGTTTTATTTTATTCGTCGTCGAATCATGGACGTAAAGCAATAATACTGTACACGATTTTTCGAACACTTTGAGTTCGAAAATAATTGGCTAGCTTCGTCTGACTTGAACACTTTGGTAAACTTAGCGATTCGTGAGTGACGTTAGGATTTACAATGAATGCGCTCGGTAAATGTTAGCTTAGCTGAAAACTTGACTTGGCCGCAAATAGTATGAGCGGTTATAAGAATATTGAAATTTAATTTGTGAGGCGTTAATGTACTTATTTTATATATTCTCATTACTGTTATCTAAAGAGTTTACTTCCAGAAATAATTTAAAATTTGTGAGCTATCTTTAATTATGTTTAACTGTTTCGATAACTTGTTGCTGACTGTTTTGCATTATTTCAGCTATCGCGAGAAGGGTTCACTTTGTACAGGATTCACCGGATAACAGTTAATTGAAACCGGCGATCCTATTTTACGATTGATTAGTCGTCCGTGCAATATCAGCCCCGTAGAACAACAACGTTCAACCTTGGTACTGGGATATTGAGTATGCTCTCTGAATTCTTTAAGACCTCTTCAATCTCGGATAAAGAACGAACAAAATTTTGTAATTACAGAGTATGTTGGTCCGGGGAAAAAGCCACAAGATGCGGTTCACCCCTTTGTAACGAAAAAACACAGTGTTAACGAAGGAGGAAAAACTAAAGACTGGAAGCGGAACAGTACATTCGAGAATTATACAACACGTATTTTTTTATCATTCTACTTCCTGATGTTATCGTAATACGTAGCCCCGTGCGTGAATTTCCTGTGGTCAACACGCGTTTGCATGCGTTAAAACGATGAACAAACCACTGATTAAATGTATATTCTATTCTATTCGGAATCCACAAAAACACGGGATTGTAAAATAATGTTATTCGAATGAAATTTGATAGAGAGAGAACAAGTCGAAACGACCTATCCCTTTAACGAATCACAGAGCGAAGGAGAGTGCCCCTTTAATGTCCGACGTAATGCGAAATAAACAGAAATGATGTGTATCTAAATTTATTATATCCGGATGAATAAAGACAGAAGGATAATAATTGCATCTAAAAGCTGTGAATGTTAAGCGAGAGCAATGTAAAACATTTGAGTCGTAGCGATGATATCGATGACATAGAGAAAGGTTGAATTCCTCGAGCATAGTGACACAGATATATCCCAAAAAGTCCTGGGAGGGGACGAAAACAGAAATTAACGAAGCTGTATGTACAAACAGATGATCGCGAACGTATGGTCGAGAGAAAGAGAGAGAAACAGAGAGTGATAGTTATGCGGTTACGGTGAAGTGTCATTACCCCCGAAAATGCAATGTTTTCCAGCGAACGGGCAAACGGGAGTGTTATGCTCACCTTGGTAAAACTTGAGTTCACCGGTGGAGAGGGTGATGAGAATGCAACAGGGTAGCAGCAGCCATGTGCAGGTACAGAGAGACGGTGTCATCATCACCGTAACGACTGGCAGGTGTCGGCCAGGTGTAGTATCTACAGGTTTTTATCGTCCGCCCGTCCGTCGTGGTTCCATATGTAAGCACGTCATTTCATTGAGGGCAAACAGAGAGCTTGCGCGGTCAAGTTCCGTTGCAATCAATACCACCATTACCCTTTCCACCGACGATACACCGTCGTCGTCGGAACCGACGACTCTTTTGCCCTTTCGTGAACTCGTTTTGGCAACAATCTCTGCTCGAGGAACTCGCGACAAACACCACCTACATACATATACACCGGTACACGCGTAATTGATATCATAAAAACCCAAGGATGCTTATGGCGGATTCAAGATGCCAATCGATGATACGTACTTGGTACTCGTTGAATCAGCTATGGATGTTTCGTTGTTAGTAAACGTAACTTAAGGGATTAAACCATGCAAACGATTATGTACTCGTCCACCAAGAAAATATATAAAATTAACAATTTTTAATAAAGAGTACAGAGAAAACAAAAGGTTTTCCCCTGTTCGAATGTTTCGTGAATCATGTTTTGTTCTTACGACGATTCTCTGCGGCAAAAATAACATCGCCTTAATACGTTTATCCGCTTATCTTCTAACACTTACGAGAAACGCCTGAGCATACCGCAATATATGCATGTACGTACGTAGCTGCCCGTAACTTTTATAGAAAGATCATCGGATCGATTCGAGTAAATTTTTAGTAGAAAATATCTGAAGAAATACCATGTGTACTCCGAGGATTAATCGTAAAAATAGGTCACTGGTCGCTAGTAAACCAAAAACTACAGTCGTCATTTCGTTTAACTATTTCCATAACTTTAGCCATGTTGTTTCGCGTAAATCTTTTATTTTCTGTACATAACGTTACATTTCTTAATGTAACAAAGTATTTCCTATCATGATGTGATAAATGACATTTATTTCTGGACAAATGATTATATGGTAGTTTGATATAAATAGAGTAATCGATAAAGAAAAGGAGTGGAAAGAATTTTATTGAAAACATTAAAATACTTTATTCTTAACAATTTCTGGTCAATATTTTTGTACGTTTAAAAGAAATTTGTATGAAAAATGATTTTCAATCCTTTGCGACTGCGAATAATCGCTAGTTAAACAGGGGTTGCGCCAAAATTATAAACGTAACTATTAATGTCTTACAACAATCATATGCAACACTCATACTACGTACACATTTTCTACGTTTAATACAATTTATAAGATCTGTTCGATATATTTTTGTGCTTTAACGACTAGCAGTAAAGTTATTCGGTTTCATTATTTTTCGATACTGCGGCCGGTTATTAACGGCCATGTTGCATGAATCGTAATTTATAATCGAGTTCTTTGGTCATGGATTAATTTACTCTGTTTAAGTATTGAGATCACAAATCAAGGATTCGCCTTTGGAAAGTCCACGTGGTAGTTTATTTTTCTCCGCGAACTTTTGTTTTCTCTTTCGATTCACCACGCCGTCCGTTGCATCCATCATCCTTAATATATGAGTTTGATCGGAACAATCAACCGGTGCAACAGATATGTCTCTGACCGCTCTGAATTTCCCGCAATTGTTTAGGTGCTCATTTTCCAAACGGAAAAAGTTCCATATGAATCTCCTGTTACAGAAGGAGCATTGATTACTTCGTGATCTATACAATTGATCGATACCTGGTGTACATGTATATGTGTAACAAGTTTAGATCGAACAAGAATAAAAGCAAACTTGTATCAAAATCAATTGACCTACCTCTTAAAGAAGTACATTAGCGTAGCATAAAAATAAAAATCATTTTTGGTGTAATCACCGACAGAAATTTTAAGGTCAGTTGATTTTGATCCAACTATGCCGTTAATCGAGAACTTAACATGTATACCAAACGTGCAGGTCAGTGTGCAATTCAAAGAAAAGATAAGATGGTTAGTTTGATTATGTAAATGAACGTGTACTGTGTTTATGAATATATTATAAACAATTAAAAATTCAAAAGTAAAAATCGCAATTACAAGATGTTAATTTCAACCATCATGGAATTTCTTCAGCTCGTCATCTTCGTCATTTGTACGATCCATAAGATGCATAACTGCCTTTGATTCATTGTCTTCGTTCTGTCTGTAAAGCCCTATGAAGATATCCCGAACTGCTCGAAATTTACCTATGTTGTATAGGTGTTCATTTTCCAGGCGAAAGTAATTCCATATGTACCTTCTATCAACTGATTAGTAAGTCGAATTTTTATCGTAAATTAGGTCGATTCTCGATACGGTATAGTATACTGTTAACGCGACTAACAGTAAGATTACGAATAGAAATAAAATAGATAAATTAAAAGAGAAATTATGGAATGAGTTCGACTTATACAATTGTATGAAGGAATAAATAAAATAAATAATAAAACTTTTTTTTTACATAGTTTCGTTTATTAAAATTTATTAGTTTCACTCTGCAAACATTATTTTTTTAAGTAGGTCCTGCATAACTAAAATGACAAATGATCTCAAATATCATGCAAGCAACAATGTGTACATATTAAGCTTTGCTGAAAATAATACACTGATACACAAGATTGTGCGATATAAAATATTCTGTACATGTTGGATATTATACGTAAGCAAAAATAATGGTTTCTATCGAATACATAGCAACTTTTCACTTACCTGAATACTTCTAACGGCGCGACTATGGAAACCATTAAGTCTGCATGTACGTATCCCATTTCAGTGAGGGACAAAGAAAATGCCCAACCAAAACGAAGTATGAAATCCTCAATTATTGCGAAGTAATAATAGTACTGCAACACAATGCACATATTACATAAAATCACAATTTCAATCTGTACAAATAGAATCGAACTCACCGGAGAAGAATAAACTATTTCTTCTCTAAGAAATTTGTTTTCCCCTGCGTTACTATCGAACAGACCCCAGTCCAATTTCACGTCCCACGTGTACGCGAAACAAGAACTTATTATACTTGCGGTTATCCATAAATAAAAATAAGGATTCTCAGCAGATATTTCGTTATCGTCTGCGAAGAGACATGTACCTTTACGAGTTTCTTTAATTCCTACATTATATTAACAACTATTAGAAAACTTACTAGAATTAGTTAAATGTAGGTATGAAAAGACAACAACAAAGAAGCTAGTAGCATACTTCGCTGCGTTTATGAGATGCGGGAAAGCTTCTTTCGTGTCTCGGTATCGTCGCAAGCATTGTGCGAATCGGAACCACGCTGGTAAACAAGCCACAAAAGGTCTCATCGACAATTCGCGCATTATACAAGTTTCTGCATCTATTGTAAATATAATTGCTAGGTATTAATAATTGTTAATATAACGTAAAACGATCAATTACGAACCAGTCACGTCGGTCCATGAAGAATTTTGCACGTAGAAGCAAACAAAATATTGGAAATCTAAGAAAACAGTGTGGAGGGAATTTAGCTGATCAGCTAGCCAGAAATCAGCAAATCCGACGTAAAAGAACGGGGCGCAAAATATTCTGCTTATTACACGAAGTGCCCAAAATCTAGCTTCGTGTCTTAACGTCTTTGTCGGATTAAATAAAAATAATGCTAATAATCCGTATAACAACATCTGCAAGAAATGAGTGCATTTACTTAAACCTTAATAATTTTATTGCTATTATCATTACTATGTCTTTATCGCTTAATTACAGATAAATGCAAGTTACAACCAAGGCTGATTTTAAACCTAATCTTTTGTATATTATGACTTACAGGTTGAACAAACGGCGGTATTCCTAGTATTTCGCTGTACAAGAAACCCAAAATCGATAAAGACCAAACTAATCCAAACACGCTTGCCATTTCAATTATATGCTGAAAATATATTGGTCATTAGTAATCGTACCACATGAAGATCATGACATATCAACAGGTTGTTTATCATATCATTATACAACCTGCTCTGATAAATGATTCCGGGGATCAAGCTCGAATATTAAAACGTGATTTACACCAGAAGATCTCCAACCGTAGACATTTATACCCATAAGAAAAAGAAACTGAATCATAAGTAGTGGGCCACGATACAATCTACATAAAACTCGCCAATTATTGTTATCTTTATACCAAACACCTATTAAACGTGATACTTAATAATAACAGAATAACTGAAAGTATCTTATAATGTGTATACCAAATGGCTATTTACCAGAAAGTATTACTGTTATAAGAAGTACAATGAAAGCTCCAGAAAAAATTCCAACTTTAAATGTAATCCATGGGGAAAGTTGTTCTCCGAGCGGAGGGACTCTCAAACGTTTCATAGCACGTTGTCTGTCCCCATGTTCTAAATCCCGGGTAACCAGTGCTTCTGTTTCCGCAATTAGCCTGTCTATATCTTTGTGCGTGTGAAATAATGCTGTGTCCACGTGTTCTGCTTTCCATTTTGTTCCAAGATCTATGTTTAAAAGCTAAAACATATTAATTTTATATTAATTAACGTAAATTTAAAATTGTACACATGTGCATACGTACTTTGTCATGCTTCTTTAATATTTTCCTAAATCCGGTGAAATTAAGATTCTGATAGTTCTGTAGTAAAATGAGAAAAAGATAAAATTCAGAGAAAGCTAATTTTAATTCTTGAAGTTTACGTGCTGAAATTGGTTTCTTGTGTAGGATATTATTACGATAACGGGTTTTATGACTTCCTTGTTTGTCTTCAGAAACTGATAAAATTTCACTTAGCTCATTATTTAGAGTTGCAAACCTGCGTGTAGCTTCCGCTAGTTTTTCTGAAGGAGTAAAAAATACGTTACTGAGTTTTCAAATATAAGCCAAAGTTATTATGAAAACTAAAATTTACCTGAATAAAATGTATTTATTTTTGCCAACTCCTTATCACAGTAATGAAAAAACTTCTCATCGAATTTATTAAAATAACGTTCCAGTATATGTGATTCTGTAATATCTGCTGCTGGTGCCTGCTCGACAGCTGCATAAAGCAGTGCTTTCATTTCCTACATAAAATTGTTGTTTGATACATATCAATTTCTTATATCGTTAAAAAAATACATTAATAGTTGTTACAAATTTCTAAAATATCTAACGTATCAAATTAAATTATCCTTGTTATCCTTAAAAAAAGCGTTTAAACTGTAATTTTACAAATATCGTTAAACAATTATATGGGTCTAGTAAGATTTGACATTGATAAAGTAAATATTTTCATTTTACCTCGTAATTTATATATTGCTTCCTCCATTCCGGTGTGATGTGAGCACTCAAGTGCTCTGTAAATTTCATTTCTCCGTGATTTAAATCACTCGGCGATTGTGGTGTCCGTATTACAAACAATATTCTAAGACGCGAGCATCGGTACCAATAGGTTGTCAACGAAAATCATAACGAATTATTCTGGAAAAACAACCTAACATACGACAAACATTACCTGCATCAATTTTATTAAGGTTATGCGATATTGTACTTCCCAATATCGTTATTAAACGTTATATATGTAGTATCTATATTTTACAACCGTGCAATTTCATTCTAATTCTTATCGTTGTAATTTTAAATACATATGATTAATATCTTTCTTTTATTGATCGTAGATCGGACTAGATTTTGCATCAAATTTCTTTGTCGGGAAGAGCTAATAAACAATAACAAGGTTGTTAATCATGACAATGAAATTAACTTCCATGGCACATAGGCAAATGCGATGGGTAATTAATAGAATTTACATTCATATTTTAGAAATGAAAATTTATTAAGTAGCAGTAAATATCAGTTGATGACCATTTTAATATGAAAATTTGAATATACTTAATTACTTCTTTTTTATTTTATTTTTTAACCAGTATTCGACGAAAGAAAAAATGAAAGTCGTAGATAATATTGATGAATTATTGTTAAACAATGAACTCAAGCACAGAAATCATCCAGGTGTAATAAAGCCTAGACAAGTGCAGCAACCTACTTGGTTATCAAATGCAATTAAAATAGTTTTAAAAGGTAAGAAGAAAATATATTTATAGTTAATTACGATAAAACTTTCGTATGTTCGTTATACAGTAACGTATTTTAGAATGTTGGGAATGCATTGACACGTGTTTTTTTATGCATGAGTGCATGCACGTGCGGCCGTTCTATTTACAATACAGGCCGAACACTGTTATGTAATTTTAGTATGCGATACGTTATGTACTATATTAACTAATGAATATCTAGAGAAAGGGATGATATATATGCCGTTATGATAAAATTAATAAACTGTTGAAATAAACGTATATTTTGTAATCTTAATACATAATTGTAACAAACAAAAATTTCTTAATAATTTTACAAAGTAAACGGAATTAAATAATCAACATTTTGTAACATATCCATTTGAATTAATGACTGTTTAGAGATTCTTTGATATAGATTCCAAAAATTTTTGAATTTTTTCAAGTATCTTACCTTTTTTGTTATAATATTATATATACCTAATTAATCAATCTCACACTATTACATTACTTTCACCATGCTTTGATTGAACTTCATTACATGCATACACTCGCATAAAAATGAAGCCACAGTTTGTCCTTTTATTTTAAAATGCTATATTAAATCTGTTTGTATGTATATAGATGAAGGAATATCAGAGAAGTCAATTTATGCAAGTGGACAACAATTGGGATTGCATCTGTACGGTCGTCAAGCTCCATTAGAAAATAGAGATGTTCGTTCGAAATTAGCGGAAGTTCAAGCATGCATAGAAGAAAAGACAAAAGAAACGATTGAAAAAGAGGATCTATTGAAAAATCCAAAGTCCAGAAAGCTTTTCAAAGAAATGGTTTATAATTGGATGCCAATTCAGTATGACAAATATACATGTTTATCGTATTTAACTGTCAGAAGCGTGCCTGAGTATTGTGTACTGTGTAAAATCTTTAATGAAATTAACACAGAGGATTCAAATTTTGTACCTAAATCATTGTTCGATTATGGTTCTGGTATTGGGACAGTTATGTGGTAAGATATGCGCAAAACCGTATAGTATACTGTCACAATGAAAATAGTGGAAATATAAATTTAATTTTGCTTAGGGGAGCGTCTCAATTTTGGTTTAAGTCCATTAAAGAATATTATTGTGTCGACGCTTCTGCGGATATGAATGAGTTGTCCGAGTATCTTATGAAAAAAGCTAAGCCACAAGTTCTGCCAGAACGCATTTATTATCGACAATTTTTACCTGCATCGCCAACTGTAAGAATATGACTTATTTTATAGCAAAATTTTCTACATTTTAAGTATTAATTCGAGTATATCTTTTTATATTACTGTGTAGCCGACTTACGATATTGTAGTAAGCGCATATTCGTTATTAGAATTACCGGATCAAAAATCTCGTCTTGAAGTAATTCTAAAACTTTGGCAAAAAACTGAAAATTATTTAATTTTTGTGGAACAAGGTACAAAGGCAGGATTTAAAGTGAGTGTTGCTCTTTTACGACTAAGTTAGTTGCTTTAGCTAGTACGTTTAATTGGTTTGTTTGTCTTAAACAAGATAGTAAACGAAGCTCGAGATTTCGTACTTAATTACAGCAAGAATACATCCAATGTGCATGTGTTTTCGCCTGTAAGTATTTGATACCTTGGTATGTAGATTATCTTCTCGGAAATATGAAGTTAATTGTACAATTATTTCAGTGCCCACACGACCTACCATGCCCTGCGTATATGAATGAGAGTACTTGCAATTTTAAAATTGTTTATCAGACATTATCTGTCTTTAAGAAGTCTGAATACAAAAACGAAAGCTATTCGTACGTGGTATTGAAGAAAGGTATAGAATCTATATGTGATTATTATCTAATAATGAAAGATTAACTTTATTATATGTTTAAATGAACTTTTGTACAAATTTCGAATGCAGGTGAACGTCCAAAAGATGCCCGTGAATGGCCACGAATTGTCAAACCAGTATTGAAACGTTCTAAACACGTTATATGTCGCATGTGCACGACATCGGGCAAACTACAAGAGGAAATTTTTACCACATGGAAAAATGGACTGTTTGTATCTTTCAAGCGTTAAATATAATATCGTGATTTCTTACAATTAATTTATCTTTTATATTTTTAGAAATACATATCGTTGCGCAAGATCGAGCGAATTGGGCGATCGTTTACCTTTTAAAATAGAGGAGGCAGAATGCACCAAAGAAACGAAATAATATAATAAGTATACATTCGTTATTAATTGAATAAATCTACATTAATAGTATGATTTTATAAAAATGTATAATTTTTTACCCACCTTCATTAATTTGAAATTAATGTACACGCGTGTATTAAATTTGAATCAGTATAAAGTCATTATATTACAACAATCCTCCTCGTATATGTGTATAATATACGTATGGGATTTTACTAAAGTCACCCTGAAACCATAGAACTTTTATTTGGAACATATTTTAATATACTCGTTCTGTAGAGTAGAGAAAGCTCTTTTTGGTTCATTATTCGTGTATTTCGTCACCTTGAGAACATCTCTACCGTTAGAATTTTTGTACAACACAGCTGTTCATTTATCGGATCGTTTTTTGAAAGCGTTCGATACGAATTTATTTTTTGAGAAACGTAAAATCATTGTTAACTTATTATTTCTATATAAAACAATTAACAGCTATGTTTCGTATTCTGCTATTTTACTAATTAGAAATTTTGGATTTTCCTTGTTATTTTTTATGGAACGCTATCGTACGTCGACGGATAATATAATTTTATTATACCTTTTCTTTCTGTAAACGATTCTCTATTGTTCGTTGTATCTTTATTTTATGTCATCTATTCTATATCAAAAGATTACCAGTTATTTAACAAATAAATAAATATTAAAGTTGTGTGTCCGTCGATGACGCGTGTAATATCGGCGAAACTGTCAATGCATTTAAATTGGGTAACATTTTACAGGTGTTACTCAACAACTTTTGCCTGCAAAATAAAAGAGCGACAGAGACAAAGAAGGGTATTTAAGAGCTGTGTGCAGACTGGTCCACGATCAGTTTTACTTATACAACAGAGGAGTACATTTCTCCAGATATAAGGTAAGATTAATTCAAGGGTTCGGTTATAAGCGTCGTAAAGGCTATTTCATTTTACTGTATAACATACTCCTGTTTATTTTAAAAGGTCACGTGCTCCCCATTAATATATTCGCAGGTCACAGTTTGAAAAACTCTTTATTAAATTAATATTTTAACTATTAATTTAATCTCGTGAAAAGTAGATCGCGAGAGATGATTTTGAAATTAATAAAAAAATTTATTTTCGCGCTTACATTAGAAATCGTTTATATAAAAATAATGAAAACGATTCGTCCTTAAATAAAAACATTTGAACATAATTAGTACGTATATTTGATACGATTGTCGAACGAGTGTAAAGATATTAAGAACGTGTTAATTATCGTTCGAAATTTATAATAAGTTAATCGACGGGGGAGGATAACGCTCTTTAAAAATAATAAATTGATTAAAATGTCTGTCGGTTATGCAAGAAGTTATGAAATAATAGAAGAGAGTGAGTGCTTGTCCCGGTTCTTTCGTACGCGACTTTCTCTCCTGTGCCTGAATATTTCACTTTCTTTCTCAAACGCGCGGAGATCGGGCACGCGCCTCCTCCCAAATTATTCAAAGGGCGACTGTATTCTTCACGCGAATTAATGCTTCTTCATGGTCATCCAATTTTTAACTATTTTTCACCAGGTAGTCGAGCTCTGAAATGACTTTAATATAAACTTTAATATGTTATTGTAACTTCAGAAGTTGATATAAAAACGAGCTCCACGCGTATATTATTATACCGAAAATAAATACTGAAAACTATATTACTTGATTGTTATTAAAAGCTTTAATACACGTTTATTGTAATTTCGATATTTGAGGCCTTCGCGGCCCGAGTTTGTACTCAAGTTCATGGCTTCTGTGAACTCTATTATAGTTTCCTTTATCCAGATAAATGAAAAAGAAATTAATATACATTCTTTGTGTTCGCAGCATGTTCTACACGGTGATATTGTTGATAATATTACTATTGCTGTTATTATATCTGGGATCGAGAAAACCAAAAGGGTATCCTCCAGGTACGAAAAATTTCATTCGATACGAATATATTAACTTCTACTCGTGCAATTAAACAACTCTTATTAACATTCACCTTACAACCTGGAATATTATTATTTTTATTATTATTACTATTCCGGTAAGAAATATCTTAGAAGCGAATGTAAGCGTAATTTCATAATCGGATATTGCAGGTCCGAAATGGTGGCCAATTTTGGGCTCCGCCGTGGAAGTTGCTCGTCTTCGCCAGAAAACTGGTTACTTGTTCAAAACCTGTTCCGTTCTGTGCAAGAAGTATGGACCAGTGGTTGGTCTGAAGATCGGCACGGATCGCATCGTGGTGCTGAACGACCATGAAAGCATCCGGATGATGCTTAGCGATGAACTCTGCCAGGGAAGACCGATCGGTCCCGTCTACGAGACGAGAACATTCGGTTCTAGAAAAGGTAAATTCGCACTTCATCTGGCCCATTTTGACCCAGATAAAGGTCTATATTGTCAGTTATTAAGAGATGTTGTCTGTTCGATTCAAGGCCTGATTGTCGTTGACGGGAATTTGTGGATCGAGCAAAGAAGATTCGTACTGAAGCAGCTCCGTGAGTTTGGGTTCGGTCGGGAGAGCATGGCCACGATAATAGAAGAGGAGGCTCAATGGCTGGTCGAGCACTTTCGAAAGATGATCAGAGACGAGTGTAACAATCGTATCAACAAGTCCAAAGTATCCTGTAACAATAACGAATACAGTGACGGGCAAATATACAAGTTAATTGGAAAAGATAACGACGACGCGTACGGTCGAACGGGTATGGCGAATCCGTGCGTTACGAACGAGGAGCAATTAAAAATCTCGGACATGTACGTAAATGCGAACGAGTACGCGGAAGTCAGAAAGATGATCGAGTCCTCCAACGGAATAGTTATCCAGATGAACAACGCCTTTGGTGTTACAGTTCTCAACACACTGTGGAGGATGATGGCTGGTAAAAGGTTGTTCGTCCTTCGACATTTTCTTTGATTCAATCGCTTGAGATATCTATTTGAGAATTTGAAACAAAGCCAATGCATTATTAAGCTATTTTTGTAACATTGTAAATTCGAGTTGTTGATAATAGAGAACGCTTGAAAAATATATCCTAATTGTATCATAATTCGTTGACTTAGGTACAATATCGACGACGAGGAATTGAATTATCTACAGTGGATCCTGACGAAACTTTTGAAGGAGATCGACATGATCGGCGCGCCCTTCGGTCACTTTCCAATATTGAGATTCATCGCGCCAGAAATGTCTGGTTACAAGTCCTTCCTGGAAACCCATCAAGAACTTTGGAAATTTTTAAGGGTGAGCTATAATTTTATCGATTCGAACATTAATACATTAACAATCAAACACAGAACTAAATAACATCGTTATAGGATGAATTGGATAAACATAAAAATACTTTCACGGCGGAATCGCCCAGAGACTTAATGGACATATATTTAACCGTTCTCAAATCTAAAAACTATAGTAAAACCTTCTCTGGTAAGTAAATTCTATTCGATAGTTTTTAATAAATAAAATAAAATATTCCGTCTACGTCAATTATAATTACAGAGTCTCAGCTACTTGCCATTTGCATGGATTTGTTCATGGCGGGATCCGAAACCACGTCGAAGGCGCTCAGTTTTTGCTTTCTGTATCTAATCTTGTTTCCGAATGTTCAGAAAAAAGCGCACGAAGAAATCGACAGAGTGATTGGCCGAGACAGACCTCCAACTCTAAAGGACAAAGCAAAGTAATATTGAACATTTTAGGGCGGGTCGCGTTTGGCTAGTTACAATTAAGAAAAAAGGAAAAATATAAATCGTATAAAAGGATAATAAATGCAACAATACACTGCCAGTGAAGCGATCTTTGAAACATCGATAAGTTTAAGCTTCATATATTATTTTGTTCCAGGTTGACATACATGAATGCTGTTGTCTTAGAGTCTGTAAGAATGTTCATGGGACGAACGTTGAACGTACCTCACAGAGCGCTAAAAGATACTTCAATATTAGGTCACAGAATACCAAAAGTAAGCACTAACTTATTGTACTTTAACCCTTTGCACTCCTATGTCGAGTGTGATTCGACGTCAATTTTTATCTCAGGAGCTCCCTCGTCAAGTCCCACTCGACACTTTTTCAAGTCCAAACCAAAGAGATATCGTACACTTGAAAATTACAAAGTACAACAACGGTGTAAATAAAACAGATATTTCAACAGGTAGGTTTCAAATAAAACACTTAAAGGCGCTGGTAACAAAATTGAAATATAATTCCGAGTGCAAAGGGTTAAGGATAGTAGTAAGCTGATTGACCTGGGTCCGAAAAAGATAGTAAAATAGATGTTGTTATAGGATACGATGCTTATCGTGAATTTCAACAGAATACTGATGGACGAATCGTGGGGTGATCCTGAAGACTTTCGACCAGAAAGATTTATCGACGAAAGCGGTAACATTATTACACCGCAAACGTTCTATCCATTTAGTACCGGTATGTATATTTATTTATTTACGGAGGGAGCTTTTGATACATATAGGCGTAATGTGAGAAAGAGAAGTCAGGGTGACAGAGAGTAATATACATATGTATAATTTACCGTTATTAATGAAAGAGTAATAATGTTACTATTTGAGAATTACAATACAGTGTGCCGTGAGTATATGTTTCTCACGAATGTCGTTTTACTACAACAGGGAGACATCGTTGCATAGGAGAAAAGTTAGCGAAAAGCAACCTATTTGTCATAATCACCGCGTTGCTACAAGCGTTTACATTTTCTCCTGTGTCAGGAGAAAAGAAACCATCGTCGCAAGACTTCGTTGACGGTGTTACACCTGGTCTTAAACCATTCAAGGTACTGGTTTCCTTAAGAACGTAATCAAACATCCGATATAACTTGAATCAAAAAATGCAATACTAAGACTGTTAGTTAATTGAATATTTACACGGTATGTATAATTATCTACTACGATAATTAACTTTTATGAAAGAAATAGTTACATATTATTGTTGTTTGAAAAATCGATATTGTTTTTAATGCCTTATTTAACACGTTGGACCGCCATGCCACTTGTTACCACGCCATGAATCATAAAAATTAATTTATATTACCATTTTAAACATAAAACATAGAAATGCATACCATACAACTACAAATAAGTATATTATATCTTAATGTTCAGAAAAATATAGTTTATTTTATATGAAAATACATGTATTGTGTATATATTTATATATGTATAAGAAGCCATACGAAATAAATAATACATATATGAGAACAATACAAATTTCATATCACCATTTTGCTCTTAAAGACTAACACAGATCCAAATCCAGATCTTCAATATTATAGTAATATATTACAGACAGTATGTAAATTGCACATTATTACACATATTATAAATACGTATATACTTCTTTTTAATGACGCTTATTTCTTTTTATGAAAAGATAAATCTTCTGTTTGTTCCATTAACCTTATATCTCTTAAAATAGTCTGGCACTTATTTTTATCGCGATGTTAAATATACTGCACTCTCGTTAATATTAATAATCTTGTGCTTTAGATCACAAAAAGAGTTTCCATTTTTGCTAATTTATAAGAAATACATAAAATTATAAATTGTATCTTGAATCCTTAATGAATGAAATAATATATACTGACTACGCAGGTACTGTTTTCATTAGAAAAATGGTAAAACTGGTCGAAAGTTTAGTAAATTGTTCTAACACTGACCTCGTAAAATGAATACAATTTTGATAATAACAGAGCATAATATCATGTCGTTCCATGTAATACAGATCATAATGTTGATTTCTTTAAAAATCAAATATCTATTGTTAAATTCATCGCACAGATGAACGTCACTTTTTTTTGTCAACATATTTCTTTGCACTGGACGGTATTGAACGAATAATATTTCATGTATAACCTATTCGACACATAGTGACATAAGACTTAAACTAAAAATAATTTAGTCGTTAATTTATTACATATATTATCCCTGTAAGTGGTGCCGAAATAAATGTTGGAATACCTTTTCCGGAGGTCAACTGGGATGCTCCTCAACTATATGAATCTGTTAAGCGTAAAAAGTAGAAGAATTCATTAAATAAATAAAAATAATATCCTATTGAATTTTTAACAATTCGTGATAAACATTTGTTAATAGCAAGTTTCACCTCGGATAAGATAGCCCAATTTTCACTTTCACTGTGCACAGTCAACCGAAGTACCAATATCCTTCCAAGTTTTTTATCTACCGTTCCTTGAGCAATCCCCAGTGCATCAAATTTCCCTGATCAAAGCATAGAATGTAAATGATAATCTATTAATTAGAAAGGGTGATCCATTATTGGCGGTACGTCCATTCTTCTGTAAGATATCTTAAACAGGTTCATAGTAGTCCGATACTATTTATAAACATTAATAACTGAGATATAGTCTCTAACGAGATTTGCTTAACTAATTTTCGATTGTAAAAATATGACATCACCAATAATTGATCGTTCACAATAAATGTACGTTTACAACGTTATATTATACCTATAACGATATAACCATCCTCAGTTATATCATTGCTATTTCTATTTAAAGAAGCAGATATCTCTGAAAACACTTCCACCGTTGTATTGTAAAATCTATCAGACGGGTGTTCAGGATTTCCACTTCTGAATAAGTACCTATATAACAAAATTCAACATAATATTATTACTAACATGTTACCGAAGGTGTTTATATAAAATACCTTTTTATAAAAATAGGATGAAAAAATTTAAATTTTAAATGATCTCCTGGTTGTGGTAAAAGACCCCAAAAGAATGACTCCCCTTTGTACGCTTTTTGTAATGTATATTGTTTGTAAGGTTTAATTTGCGTTTCAACCGTCGCTTCTGGATTTTCATGCGCATAAAACAATGCTATCTTGCCAAATTGTTTATCCTAAATGTAACATTCCTGTTATAATTGTTGAATCATGTAAAATAATCAATTTCCTTTCTTAATATACCTTTAATTTCTGTACTTTCCCCTTTAACGAAGAGTGTGTCCCTATATGTTGAAAAAGAGAAGGCTTATAATGAATCCATAACTCTGCTTTAGCCATTTTACAATGTTTCTGAAATGTACATAACATAGTTAAACATTCTGTACAGTACGTACATATACTTTTACTCATTTTCTCTTTGATAATACACATACTCACACTATCTTTGTCAAGACTACAAACTTTGGTTGAGATCAAGTGATCCAGTAACCAATCAACTGGTTTATCGTTATGAAACATTAAAAAGAATTGAATCAACCATGGCAGTTCCGCGCACTTAAATAATTTTCCTATATTAAAAAGCACGTTACAAAGATCAAATAAAATTTAGAGGCAACTTACTACAACAACAATCTATAATATCATACCGATAAATCCTAACTGACAGAAGTCCAAGACAAACCAGTTCTCTTTGGTCGCTATTTTTTGTAATGCAAAAGATTTCATTGTAGTTATAAAATTTTTTTTTGCTAAAATGTCGTCTTCTAGTTGTACATAAAATGTTCCTTTTGTCTGAGCATACGACATAAGAAATGCAAAATCTAAATTTTGTTTCGATCGCCAAACAACTCGTTGGTGATCGTCGCCTAAAGTATCACGTAATTTAGATAAATCTGGATAATAAGATGCAGATGGGGATATCACATCGATTACACCAGCTTCAAACTCAGTTGGAAATCTAAAATAAACGAATTATAATATTGTAATATAATGTTCCCATGGAACTCAAATAAATTATTCTCTTTATCTTTCTGAAATCTTATTTACATATTTATCAATAATTAACAAATTAATGGTAATTTGAATCCATAAAAGTTACAAATTCAATGTACAATGTCACTATGTGTTATAAGTTTCAAAAAGAAAGTGCAGTTAAGTATAAAAAAGAAAAAGCATTAAGCAAATACAACCAATAATTGTCTGGTTAATTTTTAAACGCAAACTTACTGAACTTCAATTTGCTTTGCAACGTATGCCACATATTCCAAATCTGTCTGTAAAAATTATAAATAATTGTAATAAAAGTTCTCAGAGCAATTGCGTTATAAAGTTATACATACTTACTTCTGCAACTAAAACAATGATCAAAGTATCTGCTGTTTCTACAGGATTCATACGATCCAGTAAATTCTTAAGCGTTGCCATTAAATAGCTCTGCACTTCTCTTTTGACTGTTGGTACACCTAGCACTACACTGATACCAGTGCGTCCTTTGCTTTGGATAAATGCTGGCCGTAAGCTATTAGGGTCGTTCAGAAAATGTGGAAGAAAATTGTATATAGATGGTAGCTTTATACTGGTCACGTTTGTTGTAGCATTGTTGAATAGAAATTGAAGATCTGGTAAAATATGATTGTTCTCTATCAATTGTAATAACTGATGCGACAACAGGTTTATTTCCTCTTGGCTTGTAACATATTTAGCATGTAAATGTTCCAATTTAGCTTGCAATTCTGCAATGCTGTTTTGTAAAATTGTTTCTTCGTTTAAGTCTGAAGGTGATAGAAGATTTAAAATGGCGCATGGTACTAATACTACAGAGAGTATGATCAAACATCGTCTTCGTACAGGAGTCAAAGCTACAAAATGAGGCGTCATCTTCCTTACAGTGAACTCTACATGATTATGTTCATAATCTTGTGGAACAAATTTAAGTTTTCAATATTATCACATTATTGGTTCACGGTATGGGAAACCTAAAATATGGTTTAATTTTAGAAATCAATATTCGTATTACAAAGATTTACAAGGCAAACAATTAAAATGGAAGCTCATTGGTAAGAATAGTTCAATGAATATTAATATTTAAAATTTTAGATAAATGATAAAGCAACGTACACAAACAAGTAACTGTTCAAAATTGAATGTTAATTTTAATTGCGATATCGTTTACAGAACATCTCTTTCTTGAAAAGATACTATAGAAAATAATTTTAAAAATCTACATACATTTACATTTAAAGGAACATATCGTCGCACGTGGTGATAAGAGAGAAGTATCATAAAACTACATTTGCTATGGTGTTCAATGTTTTCTCTGTAGGAAAATCGATTCAATTTACCATAAGAAATCGCACCGTGTTGAGTTCTTCAAACAACGTCAAGGCTAAACTGATACAACGTATTAGATTTGATGAATATCATTATCGATTACAAGATATGTATTTTGAATGTTTTATTCAATGAAACACGAAAATTGTTTTTTCTTTATCGATAATTATCGTACCCTTTTATCGTACTCTGTTGACTCTAAATTCTAAAATTGTATCTGTGTTTCGTTAAATCCTTGTCTCGACGAATATTTAACGCTTTCGAAAAGAATAATTTTCTTACTCGAAATTGCTAAGGGTCGATTGAATTTGATCCAATTCATTTTACAAGATAACACTTGACCTTTTTATCATGTTCCTGACATAGATCAATTGTATGTACGAATATATGTATATATGTATGAAAGGTGTTAAAATTCTTGAAGTACTTTATTATATCGAATTCTATACACGTAATGCAACATAACCTATTCTATTACCAAACCAAACTAAACTTTAGTAGTATCGACGATGGCGATGCTCGTAAATTTCAATTCAGATTAGTAAAGAAAGGTAAATATTTTAAATAGGTGTTTCTCTATGATATTTTTCGAAAATGATGGAAAAATAAAATCATATTTTAGGTACAAGGTAAAGTACAAATTATCTTACGCATATTGCATTATGCTTAATTAACTAGTTAGACATTGACGATTGACTTTAAATAATTCCCGGTGTAGGGTACAACTATATAGGGTATATTAGTAATGACGTAAGACTGGAAAACGTATGTTCCAAATTGTTTCTGCAGCACCCTACCCAGAGGGGGCGTCTAACTCGAGAATTGTTAGCTATTATTTCGGATCGCATTGACAATGAAAATGAGAACCATTAAGTGTAATTAAGATAGAGAAAAGGTTTAAGATCTAGGAATGTTCTAGGAAGGTTCCAGAAATTTACGAGTTTAGTGAGAGAAAAATATATGAATATTAATGAAGGACTGCAATTAGTACGATGTGACGTTTCCAGAGGTAATCTACTGATTAGAAGACTAGTACAATTACGTCATAATTTGCGACAAATGCAATGCCTCCTAGTGTGCATATAGGGAACTCGATATAACGAATAAAATTTGTATTGGCGAAACTGTCATGACTGCTATAAAATACAACTTCATTGTACGTGAATTTGAATTTCAAAGATTGTATAGCTCGCAACGGTGGTACTTGATGAATATTCGAGTATAAATTACTAATAATCGCTATGGTTTTTAATAAAAGGAACTTGGAAAAAGTATTTTCGCCTACTAAAGTTAGAAGAATTCGAAAAACTCTACCGACTTCTGTCAATGGAACGAAACCGAGTGTAAGTAAAAGAACAACTTCTTTGGTGCAAACAGGAACTAGTTCGCAGACAAGTATTAAGGTAATAGTAAGAATACGACCACAAAATCAACGAGAGCTTCAGAGCAACTGTAAAATTGCAGTCAAATTTATCGATGATATAATGTTAATCTTCGATCCAAAGGAAGAGGAAAATCCTTTCTTTTACCGTGGAATTGCTCAAAAAGGTCGAGATTTACTTAAAAAACAAAATAAAGAGTTACAATTCATTTTTGACAAAGTCTTTAATATATCATCCAGTAATAGTGATCTGTTTGAAGGAAGTACTAAAGATTTGATCACTAGCCTCTTGGATGGTTATAATTGTTCTGTATTTGCATACGGGGCAACCGGTGCTGGAAAAACTCATACAATGCTCGGTAGTACAGAAGATCCTGGTATAACGTACAGAACAGTAGCAGAATTATTTTTACAAATAGAAAAACAAGGGGAACAACGTGAATTTAATTTAGGTGTAACTTATCTAGAAATTTATAATGAGAATGTACAAGATCTTTTACATAAGTGTGGACCTTTGCATTTAAGAGACGATGGTAGATGTGGAGTAATTGTTGCTGGTCTTAAAATAATTACAATTCACAGTGCAGAGGAATTATTAACACTTTTAGCAAAAGGTAATAAAAATCGTACGCAACATCCTACAGATGCAAACGAGGAAAGCAGCAGAAGTCATGCTGTCTTTCAGGTGTATATTAATATCACCAATAGATTGGATGGTCAAGTGAAACAAGTCAAGTTATCTATGATCGATTTAGCAGGATCTGAAAGAGCATCTGCCACAGGATCTAAAGGAGACAGATTCAAAGAAGGTGCAAATATTAATAAGTCCTTATTGGCTCTTGGAAACTGCATTAATAATTTGGCAGATGGCGCAAAACATATAACTTATAGGGATTCAAAATTAACTCGATTATTGAAAGATTCATTGGGTGGAAATTGTCAAACTGTTATGATAGCTAATATTGCACCCACTAGTTTAAGTTACGAAGATACCTACAATACCTTAAGATATGCAAACAGAGCAAAGAAAATTAAGACTTGCATAAAGAAGAACATTATGTCTTGCAAAATGCATGTGACAGCATATATAAAAATGGTGGAAGAACAAAAGAAAGAAATAGACTATCTGAAGCAGAAGTTGTTGACTGTAGAAAGTAGGTTGACGAATGCATCACCAGAACTTAATAAATGTACAAAGACGAACGAAGAGGAGGACAAGTGTACATTAACAATTAAAAACACATTGATTGAACTACTTCAAAAGAAGAAGGTTCTAAATGAAAAAATCCTCTCTTTGGAAAGTGCTTACAATATATTTTGTTTTAGAATTCAATATAAAAAAGCAGCAGATGAAAGATTACACGATTTAAATGCAGCTGTTGATGTCTTAACTGCCGAAGAGCAAAATGCTAGTGGCAAGTCCCGAGTTAATAAATCCTTGCATTACTTTGAAAGACAGAGAAATTCCTTGAAAGTACAAATGAAGACAGCATGGGAAGAATTGTGTTCGGTAGAGACAGAATTACAGAAATTGAGTGCAGAAATAAAGTTAAAGAAGTTAGAGCAGCTAGAAGATTTAATTGCATTGCGAATGTGTGAAATTGAGCAATCAAGATTACAGCAGCAGTATGAGCATGCAAAAAAAGTAAGTAATCTACAACAATGCGAAATGCAGTCCCACTATTCAATGATTAAACTGATGAGTGCAACATTACAAAATTATTATAACATAATGAGAGGCTATGGAACAATGACAGACACAATGAAAGAAGAATTTAAACAATTGATTAAGCTGCTGGAAGGTGCGAGAAATATCAAATGGTCAGATATAGAAACGATAAATAATGAAGAACAGTTTTACAATCTAACTTGTCTAGGCATAGCACATTTGATAGATCCACTCAGTAGCAACATACCAGTATATACATTATGTTCTTTGAGTGATCAGAACCAAGATAAATGCACCAATGATGCTTTAAATATAACATTTAATGCATCTTGTCCACAGACAGACAGTGTCTCTGACACACAAAATACAACCATTACATTGCTAGAAGATTCAAAGATGACTATCAGTAACAATACAAAGGAACTGAAGGAAAACACTGAAGGGCTCAACAATGTTAATTGTATACAGGGAAAGTCGAGAAAACGAGGTCTTTCAGATAAGAATTCTATAAATCTGACAAAAGCACCCATAAAACAACTCAAAAGAATATCGCCAAAGCGCAAAGATCTACTGTTTAAGACAGGTATCAATGATAAAGAAAATAATCACATGCAAAAGTCACATACAGGAATGAGTGCAAAAAGTACTGCAATACTAAATAAATTGAAAGCAGATAAAGTTAGACTGAATAATCACGATATGAATGTTATAGATGGAGCATTAAAAGTAGTAAGAGGGAAAGAAAGGTATGGATCGATGACCTCTCATCCATATGAAAAGTCCAATGACAAAAAAAAGTAAGCATGGAAACCACATAGATAAGCAAATAACTTCTTCAGTTTGACAAATCTGATTTTTGTAGTATATGTGCCATAATTTAATGTATTTAAAGTAAGGATGTATATTTTTCCTGAAATGATTGTAAATTGCGTATTGTTTCAGATTCGTTCATACTTCAACTACATCTTCGTCTCGAGTATTATGATAGCATAGTAACAAATAGAATATATGTAAATGTATATATATATGCACATACATTTGTTTATATTCGACTAAATGAGATGTGCTGAGAACTGATTAAGCTAAGCTTTATTATTTGTAATTAAATTAGGTGCAAAAATTTAAACATAGAATGACGTTATTATACATGTATAGAGCCCATGTGAGGATAATGGTAACAGTAGTAATTGCAAAATATTTAATGTAAACTGTATTTTTAAATTAGATTTTAAAAATCTTACTATTTCTTATGTTTTCTAAAATTTGTTGTAAATTCGATATTGTGCACATATTTGAAGCTGTGTTCTATATTTTTTTATAACTTTTAAATAAAGTATTTTATTAATATATTTGTATTATAAATTATGGTTCTACTGTTTGACCATAATTAAAAGCACCCTTTATATTTACACATAAAATTTCGCTTAGTTTTTTATACAAATGGTTTACAATTTAATTAGAGACAATACTGAAAAACTTATAATGTTCTTAATTTCATTTATTGAACATTTTCATTATAATTGAGATTGAGCATATTTTTAACAGCTTGTTTATATTTATTGATCGAAAAACTATCTTCTCCATTATTTATCAAGTCTGAAACTGCATTTTTATATTCAGATGCGTGTGGTATATCTTCATAATTAAAATTGGTTGAGGAATTTGGCCAACAGTACATGGCCACTAAATTCTCTCGACTCTTATTTGTATCCCAGTTGTAATATTCCATATCTACCTCAGACTTTTCAGCTTCCCATGGTTCGATACGCTAAAATTATATGTACTATTATTATATAACATTATAACGAATTATAAATATTTAGCTTATTAACTCTTAATTTACCCAAGATACGTGAAACAAAGCTGTGAGAAGATAATACACATAATCTAAATTTTGTTTTCTTGTTGGACATCTGTCAGCAGTTATTGTTACAAGATCTGTTTCAGGGTTGTATCTATCACCCACTAATCTAAGCATTTTGTCTTTAGCATGAGTATCCAAATCTAAAGAAGATAATTTCACCCTCAGACTTACTATTCTAGCAAGGGGTTCCCTTATTGTGGGAGAGGAATAACAGTAATCAGAAGTAATTATTTCAATAGGAAAGTGTTCTTCGCATGCTTTGTCTGTTTCTAAACCCTCAGGCCATTTAGTGCAGAATTTCTTTAATGCTTCACAGTGTGCTTTAATTGCAGGTGGCGTAAGATGTAAAAAGTTTGGAATTTTCATGAGTTCTACATTTCCATATTTATCCGGATGTGGATTTTTATTATGTTTATACCCTTGTCGTATAGGCAATGGTACAGTTTCTGGATGAAATGTACGTGCAGTAGGCCAAATAGCTTGCCAATTTTGATCAGTTGGCATAATTTCAGCTTTGGCTTTGGAGACTGCGTAAACACGTTTCTGTACTCTTTTCCGTGTATAATCTTTTTTGGGTATTAACTCCAATACTCGAAATTCTATGAATGAAAGCCAACATGAAGATACAATTTCATTGTTACTTCAGAATTAGTAACTTCTAAGTTACTGTGAACATTACCAGGGTCTGTTGCTGTACAAAATGATGACGAAAGTTTTGTTGTAACTTTTAAAGTTGTTTGAATAATGTCGGCATCAAAACGTCGCATTAACCCCATCATTTTAAAAGTCAGTAATTATATAGTTTCAGTAACCTCAAATCACCTCCCTTATGGGTTGTAAACAATTGATCAATTCTGTTCAACGCGTTCCTCTCCGTTACATATATATTTAGGACCACTTACAAATTACGTTAGGTTAAATTCGTCTGATTTGTACTCCCTCCCACTGCCGCCCTGTAAAGTTTTGCCAACTTAAAAAAGTATTTTGAAACTGTACAAAAGAATTTGTTCGAATTCGTAAAATTAACAAAGTTATAAATGTTTGAAGAGAAAAGTGTATAGCTTACAACGTACGACTTGTAATTAATTACAACGTAATGGAAGAACGGTTCGAACACTTTTAATAAAGTATATGCCTTTCAAAAAACTTGAAATATCTTACGAAATATTGATTTTTTAAACACTGTATTCTAATATTTAATAGTAAGTAAAATGAATATAAAGGCAATATTGCTCAATGAAATCATGGGTAACACATAATTATGAAATGCTGTTACCAGGCTTACAAAATGTTTCTAATACTAGATCAGTAGATCGTCGTTTGGTTTGGGGTTTATAAGCACTTACGAACGCGTTAAAATACAAACTAGATAAGGAGAAATAAAAAAAAGATACGATATGTAATTATTCAATATAGCATTTAGTAGATATTTTATTCTTTGCCTCACGGAAGTGAAATTATCCTATTTAAGCAAACAAGCATATTTACAATTTGTATACAATAAGTTTGCGAATTACATAGCATAATATGTGATGTTTTTATCCAAACAATTACATTTTCTAAAATTTATTTAATAAAATAATTACAATTTGTATTATTGTACTATTTTACTTATACATTATAAATTGAACGTACTCTGCGTATCTGCTACTTACTAACCGTAATATAACATTTTTAACAAATATTTTTTGGTACGATTTATAACAAGATAAAATATCTAATGGATAAATTTACAAAACTAAGGTCATTTTATTTTATTTTATCTATAAAAGTGAATTATGAAATACTGATTAAAACAAAAATGACACAAATTTAAAAACTATATGCAGGTACTTCTGCGAACGAAATAAAATGGCGCGTAAATAAAACCACGTGACTGCGATAGAATGTCGTCAGTTCATTGTTTTCGGTAAGCGTACCGATGGCAGATACATAGTGGGTCGAATAAATATATTTTTATTTGTATTACATTATTTGATTTTTTTTGTATACTTTCTCTTATTATTTTTTTCACTGTAGACTTGTGTAATAGTAACTTGTGTAATTCCTAGTGAATCCGTATCTATTTGGAGCAAAGTGCTACACCATTTAGAGATGTAAACTAATTTTGCTCACTGAGCAAAATATAAAAAAAAATTCGAATTCCAAGTTAGCATGAAATAGTAGTCCCACTACATAAAATCAAATCCACTATCATATTTCGCTTTCAAAATTAAACAATTTTTTATATTTACTGCAATTTACACAGTAAGTGTGCACATTCACATATAAAATATTAAATACGTTCCTTGTGGTAAATTGAAAGACTATACATTGAAAATATAAAGAGCAAAAAGATTGATAAGTCAATCCAGTCTTCAAAATAATTTAGACACATAGTACAATAATTAAAACTCAAAGAATTTAATTACACTTTTCAAACTCTACTTCAATAGTATAATTATATCGGATATCTTGAGCCATTAAAACATTGAAACTTTTTAATTACAAATATATAATGCTTTATCAATTCTCTATGCACTTTACACGCACTGATATAAATAATGATATATGTATATTTACATACATTTCATTTGTTATTACACTACCATGGTGCTCGAGACGAAGATGGGGTTGAAACAAATCTGAAAATACATACAAATTTTAATCACTTCAAGGAAAACACATTTTGCTACTATAATTATGTTAAACTATTGAGGATACAAGGTCACTGAAAAGCTTTCTTCCTTGATAATTTTTTGTGGTGCCATACAATCAATCTACCACATTATTAATTATTAATTAATACTATCATTTATACATGCTTCTTTTCTATACTTTCGTACTAATACTGTATATATTTCCACAAAATTAAAATTACTCAAATATCTATGTAGATTCCATACTTACTTCTTGATTCCATTTATCTTCTGGTATGGATGTGTAGTCATTAATCCACGCCTCTCTTTCACTCTTACTACTTTCAATGATCGATCTGTTACATTCATAACATGGCTATTTTTTTTACATTTATCCGCTTTTAATTTATTTAGTATTGCAATACTTTTTGCACTCATTCCTGTATGTGACTTTTGTATGTGATTATTTTCTTTATCATTGATACCTGTCTTAATCAGTGGATCTTTGTTCTTTGGCGATATTCTTTTGAATTGTTTTATGGGTGTTTTTGTCAGATTTATAGAATTCTTATCTGAAAGACATCGTTTTCTCGACTTTCCCTGTATACAATTAACATTGTTGAGCCCTTCAGTGTTTTCCGTCAGTTCCTTTGTTTTGTTACTGATAGTCATTTTTGAATCTTCTAGCAATGTAATGGTTGTATTTTGTGTGTCAGAGACACTGTCTGTCTGTGGACAAGGTGCATTAAATGTTGTATTTAAAGCATCATTGGTGCATTTATCTTGGTTCTGGTCACTCAAAGAACATAATGTATATACTGGTATGTTGCTACTGAGTGGATCTATCAAATGTGCTATGCCTAGACAAGTTAGATTGTAAAACTGTTCTTCATTATTTATCGTTTCTATATCTGACCATTTGATATTTCTCGCACCTTCCAGCAGCTTAATCAATTGTTTAAATTCTTCTTTCATTGTGTCTGTCATTGTTCCATAGCCTCTCATTATGTTATAATAATTTTGTAATGTTGCACTCATCAGTTTAATCATTGAATAGTGGGACTGCATTTCGCATTGTTGTAGATTACTTACTTTTTTTGCATGCTCATACTGCTGCTGTAATCTTGATTGCTCAATTTCACACATTCTCAATGCAATTAAATCTTCTAGCTTCTCTAACTTCTTTAACTTTATTTCTGCACTCAGTTTCTGTAACTCTGTCTCTACCGAACACAATTCTTCCCATGCTGTCTTCATTTGTACTTTCAAGGAATTTCTCTGTCTTTCAAAGTAATGCATGGATTTATTAACACGGGACTTGCCACTAGCATTTTGCTCTTCGGTAGTTAAGACATCAACAGCTGCAGTTAAATCGTGTAATCTTTCATCTGCTGCTTTTTTATATTGAATTCTAAAACAGAATATTTTGTAAGCACTTTCCAAAGAGAGGATTTTTTCATTTAGAACCTTCTTCTTTTGAAGTAGTTCAATCATTGTGTTTTTAATTGTTAATGTACACTTGTCCTCCTCTTCGTTCGTCTTTGTACATTTATTAAGTTCTGGTGATGCATGCGTCAACCTACTTTCTACAGTCAACAACTTCTGCTTCAGATAGTCTATTTCTTTCTTTTGTTCTTCCACCATTTTTATATATGCTGTTACATGCATTTCGCAAGACATAATGTTCTTCTTTATGCAAGTCTTAATTTTCTTTGCTCTGTTTGCATATCTTAAGGTATTGTAGGTATCTTCGTAACTTAAACTAGTGGGTGCAATATTAGCTATCATAACAGTTTGACAATTTCCACCCAATGAATCTTTCAATAATCGAGTTAATTTTGAATCCCTATAAGTTATATGTTTTGCGCCATCTGCCAAATTATTAATGCAGTTTCCAAGAGCCAATAAGGACTTATTAATATTTGCACCTTCTTTGAATCTGTCTCCTTTAGATCCTGTGGCAGATGCTCTTTCAGATCCTGCTAAATCGATCATAGATAACTTGACTTGTTTCACTTGACCATCCAATCTATTGGTGATATTAATATACACCTGAAAGACAGCATGACTTCTGCTGCTTTCCTCGTTTGCATCTGTAGGATGTTGCGTACGATTTTTATTACCTTTTGCTAAAAGTGTTAATAATTCCTCTGCACTGTGAATTGTAATTATTTTAAGACCAGCAACAATTACTCCACATCTACCATCGTCTCTTAAATGCAAAGGTCCACACTTATGTAAAAGATCTTGTACATTCTCATTATAAATTTCTAGATAAGTTACACCTAAATTAAATTCACGTTGTTCCCCTTGTTTTTCTATTTGTAAAAATAATTCTGCTACTGTTCTGTACGTTATACCAGGATCTTCTGTACTACCGAGCATTGTATGAGTTTTTCCAGCACCGGTTGCCCCGTATGCAAATACAGAACAATTATAACCATCCAAGAGGCTAGTGATCAAATCTTTAGTACTTCCTTCAAACAGATCACTATTACTGGATGATATATTAAAGACTTTGTCAAAAATGAATTGTAACTCTTTATTTTGTTTTTTAAGTAAATCTCGACCTTTTTGAGCAATTCCACGGTAAAAGAAAGGATTTTCCTCTTCCTTTGGATCGAAGATTAGCATTTTGTCATCGACAACCTTTATGGCAGTTCTAGAGCAACCCAAAAGCTCGCGTTGATTTTGTGGTCGAATCCTTACTATTACTTTAATACTCGTCTGCGAACCAATTTCTGTTTGCACGGTTGAAGCTGTGCTTCCACTTGTACTCGGTTTCGTTTCATTAGGAGGAAATCGTGATTTCGTAAATTTTTTAACTTTATTCGGCGAAAATGCCTTCGCTAAATCTCTCTTAAAAACCATAACAACTTTTATCAGTTTTCACTCATACATTCCTAAGAAACCGTTAAGAGTAATGCAATCTTTGAAATTCAAATTTGTATACTGTCAAGTTACCTTTGTCAGCAGTTCTACCAATACTATTTATATTTGATTAACCAAAATCCCTATACTATTATGAGTTAGGGAATATATAGGTGGATAGGGATACTGATACAAGAAAATAACTATATTGTTTTGTGGCTCAAGTACTTATAAATTATACTACTAAATGGAATCCGGTGATATTAATTTCAAAATTAATTTGTAATAACCATAACGTCGACTCTATATTTTTTTATTTTATAGTACGAGGCATGTTGAACGAGAGGCAGTAAAGACGGAGAGTTTGATTTTACACTGGATAGACAGAGATGCACCAATGCTCCATACTCTTTTTATCATGTCCAAAATCAGACTCACGGTTTAACTGTCTCTCGCTCAGTATGCTCATAGGTAGATGCTCTGCTGTGCTATAGATAGAAAATCTTCATCTGAATTGTTCTGTGAGTTCATTGCACGTGTTCTTAGGCTGTGTAACTGTAAGAAATAGAAAAAAATGATAGTTTTTTTTTTATTCATATTTTAATATAGAAAATCTGTAACGTATACTTGTACCCAAAGTGGGTATTAAATACCGCTAAGTTTACGTTGTTACTATCAATTCAATATTTTTGTGAGCTATAAAAGTAATATTATTAAAACATCACGTAACAAAAAAGTATATATATATAACGTTACAGGGACAAAATTATTATTGGACAGATTTATTCTTGAAATGGCGGGTACATAACATAACCTGTAAGGAAGTCAAGATGTGCTATCAGAACGAAAATACGAAAACTTCCTAGCATAACTATACTGCACAAACGCAGAAATAGAATGGTCCTACAAAACGTTAGCTGTAATTTTATTAAATCTCTCAGTAATGCATACATTAGACAAAACGAACGTAATGGCAATAAATGTTCCCGAAGGTTGTACATGGCATTGTCTCTGCTTACCCCGCAAGAGGTGATGAAACTTAAGTAAATTTATTTTTGAAAATATAACGGGGTACATTAAATATTGTATTACAGGTCACTGCAATTCTACAAGCTAACGAGTATACCAAGGAATTCGATGGACAAAGCTCTATAAAATATTACGACTCTAATCAGTTGGCATCTAATAACCCTATAGAAGATAGTAGATCAGAGGCCCAATGCTTACTTACAAAAGGTACAGATATTGTACAAAGTATCAACAAAGATACCTATTTGCAAAATGTTCAGCAGACTTATACTTATTTTCTCAGAGAAATATTTCTAGATCTCGTTACATATACAACAAAAGCGCACATTTATTTTAGGAATTTTATTGGGCGTGTTTGATGGTCATGGAGGTAGCACCTGCGCACAAGTCGTATCAAAGAGACTTTTTCATTATATATCGGCATGTTTGTTACCTAGAAAATTACTGAAACAATACCTGAACACAGTGAATTCAAATAATAAATTAGAACTTCTTCAAGTATTTAGTGATAAAGTGGAGTTTATTTCTGAGATTAAAAATCTTTATCAAACGAGCTTCTTAAATTTTGTCAAGGATTTAGCAGAAGTGGAATGTACAAAAGAGTTTCAAATGGAAACGGCTTTAGAGAATGCGTTCCTCAGGTTAGACAATGATTTGTCGAATGAAGCACTTTTAAACTTAGATAAAAAGGATAGTGCTAAAACCCTTGCTGTTGCAATGTCCGGTGCTGTGGCTGCTGTTGCACACATTGATGGTCCGCACCTTCATGTTGCTGGAGTCGGCGACTGCCAGGCAGTACTTGGTATACTCTCCGGTATGAATCATTTCTAACAAATTTTTGCACTTTTATCAAAGATAAATATAATGTTTGTTTTTGTTATATATTGAATTGTAGAAGATGATGGTTGGTCTGCAAAATTGATGACCGTGGAACATAATGCCAATAATCGTGTAGAAGTTGAAAGAATTTTGTTAGAACATCCAGCAAATGAAAAAACAACCGCAATTAAAATGGAACGACTTCTTGGTCAATTAGCGCCTCTCCGTGCCCTGGGTGATTTTCGGTATAAATGGAGCAAGAAAGTTTTACAGGATGTAGCGGTACCGTATTTTGGTGAAGCCGCGATTCCACCAAGTTATCATACTCCGCCATATTTAACGGCGAAACCAGAAGTTAGATATCACAGGCTAACGCCTAGAGATAAATTTCTTATAATAGCGAGCGACGGCCTGTGGGACTTAATATCACCCTTACAGGCCGTGCGTTTAGTGGGCGAACATATGAGCGGAAAAGTAACACTGAGTCCGTTGAAATTACCTCGCAAATATATGAAACTTTCTGATATAAACAAAATGTTGTTGCAACGTAAAGAGGGCTTAAAAAAGAAACCCCTTGATAATAATGCAGCAACACACTTATTGCGAAACGCACTCGGTGGCACAGAATACGGTATAGAACACACCAAATTATCGCAATTATTGACTTTACCTAGTGAAGTGGTACGAATATTTCGTGATGATATTACGATAACAGTTGTTTATATGGATTCTGAATTTTTAAGACACTGTCCTCCGTGAATCAAGAAAACTTTTCTATTATATTTGTACATTCTTCTATAATTGACATGGTTTTCGAACTCAACCGAAAACCATCGACATATTATCGTGTACAGCTTGTTATTTATTTAGTTAACAATAAAAACAATTTACATGGGAACAGTTTTCTGCTTATTTGCAATACGTACACATTTATCACATACTATGTTTAATCGCGTTATTTGACGAATCATTTAAATCGATTATTCGTTATTTTATTTTTTTCGAACAAAAGAATATAGGTATCGTACACAATCCGTCAGCAATGTCTAAACAGAATCAAAATTATAAAATATACAAATAAATTGCTAACCTATCCTAAAATTGTAAATATCATTCAGAAATGCCTTCCGAGCCTACATATTGTACAGTTAAATTTGTTAGGTACAATTATAGCGATGATTATAATATAGAAACACACAGAGTCATTATACGTGTCATGAGCCACATTTCAATTTCTTCTTTGCATCTCTTAATAAAAAACAGTATCGTCTTTCTGCCGACTGAAATATAACGGTTTTTTCATTTCAAAATATATACTCATTCTGTGCTTTTTATATTTACTTTGATAAATAGTATTTGTGATTAAGCGTCAAGCTTATAATATTGTTGCATATTAAGTGTTAAAAGAGAAAAAAAAAAGAGAGGAAGAGGAAAAGGGAAACAAGAACCTAAGTTCCAATTGTTTTCGTATAAATACTGTATAGAAGTGACGGTAATCAAATAAGATATAAGGCAAGCGCGTGTAACTGAAACATACTTTTGGAAGTGTACATTGATTTACTTCCTTAAAAAAGTCCAAGTATCAACCTTCTTGACCAAAATCTTCTTTGAATTTTTCCAACTTGGTCATGTCTTCCTCATTCACCGTAGGACGCGTGGTTGCCAATGACTTCAACATATCTTTCTAAATATGAAAAATGTTATACCATATGTAATGTGTATTTTAAAATATCTCGACAAATGAACAAATGTTTTCAATATTTACCATAGTTACAGGTGGTTCGTACAATTTGTCACCTTCAACTTCCATCCAATTCATTTCGATGGCAGCTGGGTCTCCGGGTGAACACGGCGTAAGTAAATCGTCCACGATGACGGAAGGATCTTTCGGCGATGGTCCTTTTACGCGTTTAAAATGTGTTGCGGTTTGGACTTGTCTAACTGGCTGCATAAGTGCATCTCGCACAATAATACTTATATCAGCCCCCGAGTATCCATCAGTAGCCGATGCTAATCTCTTGAAATCTTTATCTACTAGACAGTGAGAAGTACTTCCTAAATGAAGTTTGAACATGATAACGCGAGCTTGTTCATCAGGCAGAGGAATGTAAATCCTTTTTTCAAATCTTCTTCTGATAGCAGAATCCAAAACCCATGGTATATTGGTAGCTCCTAGCACTAATATACCATCATTATCTGATCCAACACCTAATGTACAAATTAAACACATATATAGTTATCATATAGAAACATTGATACATTGCAAATATTTTTCATTACCTTGCATTTGAACTAAAAATTCTGTTTTTATTCTTCTTGCAGATTCTGACTCATTGTCAGAACGTGATGAGCACAGCGAATCAACCTCATCGATAAATATAATGCTAGGTTTATGTTGACGAGCTAGTTCGAACAAATTTTTCACAAGCTTCTCAGACTCTCCGAGCCACTTGCTCACCAGGTCAGAGGATGACACGGAGAAGAATGTCGAGTTATTGGCTTCTGTCGCAACAGCCTTTGCTAGATAGGATTTTCCAGTACCCGGTGGCTGAAAATATCTCAAAATTATATATAAAAAAACATTTATACAAAATTGTCAATAATGTTTGTATAAAAAGTTACCCCAAACAGCAAAATACCCTTCCATGGAATTCGTTTTCCGGTAAAGAGGTGAGGGAAACGTATTGGTAAAATAACAGCCTCTTTTAAAGCTTCCTTGGCTCCATCAAGACCAGCAACATCGCTCCATTTGACATCTGGCTTTTCAATAATTATTGCTCCTTCCAATTTGCTTTGAAGTTTTTTCTTTTCAGGATCGCTGTCGGTGTCGCTATCTCCGCTATCACTTTTCTTATCCTCAATTTTAGAATTATCTTCGCCTGCCTTTACAGGTTTCTTTTTACTCTTCTTTAAATAAGCTTTTAGCTTTTCAGCTCTCTCTAAGTATTGTGTACATTTTGCTCTTATGCTTTCTTTGGCTCTGTCTCCTTGTGCTTCGTCTAAAACAACAAATATAATATGAGAATGTTGGATTAATTTCAATCTAAATCTAACTTATTACAAAAGAAACTCTGTAACATCCGTACATTTAATAGAGTGTAGAAAATATTCAACTGCATGCTCGTACAACCTAAGTGCTTCTTCATAATTTTTGTTACGATCTTCTTCCGTTGCTTTGGTAACCAGGTCTATGGCTTTCTATGAAATACCAAATGGATTGCTAAGTATAATCTTCAATTCAATATTCAAACCAATACAGTGAAAATAACGCATTCTGATGGCTCACCTGTAATATTGTGCCTAGAGCCATTGTATTACTATAAATTGCACCTAACCTTTGCTTCGCTCTATAAACTTCGATTATTTACACGAGAACCTATCGTCACGATGAGACGCAACGGCCCAAAAGAATACGGAGAAACGGCGGTCAAACAGCGACCTACCGCATCAATAAATTACACTGCTTCGGTTGATCTCTTTCAGTGTTAAAATTCCCAATTTTTCTATCACCTGATAACCTTCAAAATTTAGTTGTCCCAACGTCACCGCTTGACATATCACATTCCTCACTTATACACTGAAGAAATTGTTAAAGCACTGCATGCACAATGCAGCATTTTCACATATAGCGTCAATAATGTCGAGTCCATAGAATACGTAAATTCAAAATGTTCGCTGTGGACATTTAAATACGAGAAGAATACAAAAACATACGATACTATGCGATAATAAAATCGAAAATATTCACGACCCTTAGAATGCTGTATCGATCAAATTTGTATCGGTGCGTATATAAAACTTCTGGTTTTCTTTAAACAGATGATATATGTATATTAAGATTTCTGGTCTAGATAAATAAACATTTAAGTAATTACCTTTAAAATTAATTGGTCACGAGCTATTTGATGGTATTAACAGTTGCGATCATAAAATAAATAATATATTGTTTCTGTTGATAATCATGGATCATAGGAAATTGATTGTAAAATTACGAGAACTAAATATTTATGTTCACTCTATTATAATCGTTGACAGTGAGTTTCACGGTTTAAAAATTCGAGAAAAATGAAGTGCAGGATAGTTCATAGCAGAAATGTATCCGCACGATAGCGGTGAAAAAATGGACAGTGAATACGCGGCTTACGAACGTGAACGCATGTGCAACAGCTACCTGCTACGAAGCACCGAGTCTGAAGAGATAAAAACCTCGGGGCTACTCAGAGCTACCGATGGATCTTTCTCCGTGTTTATACCTGTTTCTTATTTTTGTTTCAACAATCGTGTTGGCCTAAATCTTCAGTCGGAAAGTTAACATTATTGCATTCTAACCTAGCGAAATATCGACATACGAAAAATGCATACTGCAACCATATGATAGAAACATTAATCGAAATTAAGAAACTTGGATCACCGTCATACAGTAGTTTTACAATAAGGGAGCCACCGAAGAGAATCGTTTAACCTAAGTATGAAACGCCTGTTCGCCCCTACCTATTTACTTTGCTCTTTTGTTCCTCGTGAAAATCTTGTAGAAAATCAGGGGTGTGGCTGACCGGTTTTTCCTTTTATTCTAGGCTATGTCCAAATTCAATTTAATTTAAAAATTTGCCTAAGGTTAGGAATCATGCACACCAAAAGATTATTTTTCTTTTATTGATTGCAGGCTAGTGTCAGCGCGTTTCCAGTGACTATTTTCGAATCGCGTTTTGGTAAATTTTAGTTTTCAAACATTACATAGAAATTTGAAATTAATATTAATACCCCAATAGCTTTTCAATTCGTATAACTTGATACTTATTCTTATCAGATATTTCGTATCATTTAAGCAACAATGTACAGATAGCATGGAATAAAAATCTTTTATTGGAACAATTAATAAACTTATGATTAATTCAGTTATAAGTCAGTGCTTTGTAAATAAATGTATTTCACATGATTCTTTGCGTAGATAGAATTTCATAAATATACTTTAATGCGCCAAAAGACCCTTTTTATGCAGATGACGATAAAATATATTTTATTCTATATTTCGAGCACAATTCGGTTTAAAAAATATTATTGTTTTATGTATTCAGGTCGTACAATACATCAGACATAAGCCAGTAATGTCTGTCCCCTCTTCATCGTCTAATAAAATAACTGACAGTAAACCAGGCGGTACAAGTCCAAGTCCTATAGAAGGTATCGAAGGTGTTCCAGGGCCTAGTTCTTTAGAACCTATGCATTCTGTTTTACCACAAGATGGAGAATCTGAAGATTATGGAGATGATGGTGAAGAAGAAGAGGATGATAGTAGCGAAGAAGAAAGCGAAGTGAGTTTTACTTTTGCGTTATGCTTGTAACGTAAATAAGTAAATCTTACGTTAATAGAAATAAATTAATTTATCGCCGAATGATTTCAGATTAGCGACACTGGAATGTTTTGCGAGGAAGAATGCGAACCTAATCTTGAAAGTAATAATTGTTCATTGTCTACATCACAGTCACAATCTCTTACACAACGAGTGCAGAGTCCTATTTTACACACCTGTGTACCGCTTGATGTTATTCAACCACAAAGAAAGCGTAAAAGTGAAACAGAATCAAATTTACCTTGTAAAAAACTTAATCCCGAAGATAAATCACATTCGATGTAAGTATTATTTAAAACAGATTATTCAGAAGTCACAGGTTTTTAAGAAAGAATCTTTAAACCACTTTATAGGATGTTTCACAAGTTTCTTTTATTTACAGGATTATTAAAACGCTAGATGATAAAAGCAAACATATAAGATGCGTTATTCCGACAAAAGATAATCCTCCGCCTGAAATGAGTAACTGGCTTTTACAGTTTCAGGTATAAAATAATCCAAATTCTTTTCTTTCTGTTAAAAAAAATTAAACTAAATAGAAACTAAAAATATTGATTCTCATTGTAGAGGTGGTCGAATGCGGAAAGAATGTTAGCTATAGGTGAATTAATTGAACGATGTGAACCGACGCAAGTGCGACACATGATGCAGGTGATAGAACCTCAGTTTCAGAGAGATTTTATATCTTTGTTGCCAAAGGAGTTGGCTTTGTCCGTATTAGCTTTCCTAGAACCAAGAGATCTTTTACGGGCCGCGCAGACGTGTCGTAACTGGCGGTTTCTTGCCGACGATAATTTGTTATGGAAAGAAAAATGCAGAGCAGCTGGTATAGAAGATTTAAAAGATTTACCTCCGATAAAACGTAAAAATGGTAGAAATTCTGGTAATTGTTCGTCCCCGTGGAAACAAGCGTATATGAGACAGCACAATATAAAAATGAACTGGAGGACAAAACCGATCCGCACGCCAAAAGTTTTAAAAGGTCATGACGATCATGTGATTACGTGCCTACAGTTTTCTGGTAATCGTATAGTAAGTGGTTCCGATGACAATACTCTCAAAGTGTGGTCCGCTGTTACGGGCAAGGTAAGTTAGAAATCGAAGCCTTAGTATGGAATCATTCGCAACGTATTCTTTTCTAATTCTTTTTCTTCTTTTACATGTTACTTTCTCTGGTAGTGTTTAAGAACATTGGTCGGGCACACTGGTGGTGTATGGTCATCGCAAATGTCTGGTACTACTGTAATCAGTGGCAGTACAGATCGGACCTTAAAAGTGTGGAATGCTGAAACCGGTCAATGCATTCACACGTTATATGGGCATACATCTACCGTGAGGTGTATGCACTTGCATGGTAATAAAGTAGTCAGTGGTAGTAGAGATGCTACGTTAAGGGTATGGCAAGTGGATACCGGCGAATGTTTACACGTGCTAGTGGGCCATATGGCAGCTGTTAGATGTGTGCAATATGATGGAAAATTAGTGGTCAGTGGAGCCTACGACTATATGGTTAAGGTTTGGAATCCCGAACGTGAGGAGTGCCTTCATACTCTACAAGGACATACAAATCGTGTTTATTCCCTCCAAGTAAGTGTTATTCAAATCGAACGCGCGGGAGTAACATAACGTGATATACATATCCATATTTCTTGAAACCTTACTTTCCATTACGATTCATTTATTTTCATTCCATACATCATTTTTTCTTTTTGTGCTAGTTTGATGGTGTACATGTCGTTAGCGGTTCTTTGGATACAAGTATAAGAGTATGGGAAGTTGAAACCGGGGCGTGTAGACATACGTTAATGGGACACCAATCGCTCACTTCGGGAATGGAATTACGTAATAATATTTTGGTGTCTGGAAACGCAGATTCGACTGTTAAAGTATGGGATATCGTTAGCGGTCACTGCCTTCAAACCCTTTCTGGTCCAAATAAACATCAATCCGCGGTCACATGCCTACAGTTCAACAGTCACTTTGTAATTACTTCGTCCGACGATGGCACAGTTAAACTATGGGACGTTAAAACTGGTTCGTTTGTCTGTTATTTTCTAATTTCTAAAATTTCGTCTTATTTTTTAACAATCTTCCTTCACTGAAGTTTTTGTTATGCTTTTAGGTGATTTTATAAGAAACTTGGTCGCTCTGGAAAGCGGCGGAAGTGGTGGTGTTGTGTGGAGGATACGTGCAAGTGATACAAAACTGGTGTGTGCAGTGGGTAGCCGTAATGGCACAGAAGAGACCAAACTTCTCGTCCTCGACTTTGATGTAGAGGTAAAATAGTGTACTTTTTTGCTGCCGAAACTACTCTCCTCTATGACTTCTGTACATACTCTGATTAGGTAGCATAACTAATCTACTGTACAATGATTCATGTATTACGTGGAGTGATTGTGATAAGAATGTATGTTGAAATTCTGAAGGGAGATCACAAAAAGTCAAATGTGGTTTTATAGTTGTTGCAAATGATCTCCGAAGTGGTAGAACGTTCAAACTGAAGGCATTAATTATATTAATTATGGAGTGTATTAATTATGGTGTACAAATATGAGATTTCAAAGACTCGACAAATTACGAAGAATGAGGAGCTTATCAATGTACTATTGTATTATTGCTGTTATGAAACTTGAAGGAAATCGCTAGTAATTTAAATGAAATCAGCCCGCCATAAGCATTATGATTACATAACGATTCATATAGGCGTTTAGGAGAGTATTTTTAAACTACTGAAAGAAAGATTTCTTACCGTCTTTGTCAAGCTTATAGATGAAAATATCGCATAAAGAATCTCAAATTTCAATAAATAAATGAAAGATTCAAATTAAAATGACGAAAAAATGAGAAACAAAAAATTAAAATGAAATAATATATTTGGGTAAAATACAGAATGAAAATGACCAAATTGGTAAAGATACTTCTTGTACAATAAGTTCTTTAACTTCGTTTTATTTCATTTAACTTATTTAAATTCGTCATTTACGTTGATTAAATTAATTACTATGGGAACTGTGCATAATTTATTGGATGATGCAAACACTATTTAATAATTTTTAAATGAAATGTGTACCGCTTTTCATTTAATCTATTTTGTTTCATGAACGTCAATTTGTATTTCATTGTCTACAGTGTTCATGGACAAGTGTTCATACGAAATCATAGAATTAATTAGTAATTATACCTAATTTTTTGGCTTAAAATTATGTCTTTGAAAATCATAACGATGTCCAGCATTTCATCGACACTAACGTTATCTTGCATTGGAACTTATAACTTTGTCTTATGTTGCTCGTTAATCAGAGCATCGGCGAACGTGTTATGGGCAAGAAATTTATGAAATGATTCCACATAAAACAGAAAATTTAACGATTCTGTTAGTATTTCACTATCAAACCCTTATCATGACCATTCAGTTATCATTTAATGTTATTATTATAGCTATTCGCGACTTTAACTTTTTATGATTAATATTCAATCATAACGAGAAGTTTACAAATTGCAGGGTATTAATTAAAAAATTGTGTAAAGTCCGAAATATTCAAACTCTTCGTCTTACATTTTATTTACTTTACATGTTTATTACACGAAAGGAGTAATATATAAAGTGTTTTTTTTACCAAATACTTCAGAAGTATTTGACAGACTTCTTGCATGTAACACGTTCAAGAAGCATTCGCAATTTATTATTTGCTATTTGATCAAACAACCAGAGTTAATCCTTTATCCGTGATAATAATTTAATTCGATTGTCAAGGGCTTAACATTTAAATAAAATGTATTAATTTTGACATTAGTAAGTCTGGTTTTGCCATGGCGCAATAATAAGAGTTGCAGACTTCTCTGTGCAATATGCACAAATTGAGTAAGCGAGACTAAATCGGTTATCATACAAGGATAATTTTAATTAACAAATTTGTTCAAAGTATCTCAGATTTTTATGTCGAATTAATTTTTTTTTTTACAAATTGTATCGTTACAGAAATTATATAACGTTCAGTTTTAACTGACAGTAGAATCTGTAAGTTCTATCTGTAATTCAGAATACGATTCGTGTAAATGCAATTTTTATTATTGAACCTAGGATATTCTAAGAATTGTGTTTTATTTGTATATTGCTCAATAGTTTATATTTGTAATGATGTGTTATCTGTTGTATCATTTTTTATAAGAAATAGAAAATGTTGCTGCATTTTAAATTCTCTTGCATTTTGTCTTGAATTAATTTGTAACAATTTCTGGTATCAAATTTCTTTAATACTTTATATACAGGTGTTATGTTTCAATAACAATGACGAAAGTACATTCCAAACATGGAACATGTATCGACTGATTCTTTTCTCCGAGGTATTCCCTTTGTACATAATATTGACCACCACACCTACATCGATAAATAAATGCATCTTCATTATCATTTATTGTTTCCAGTTCATTAGCAGATATTCTTGCATATATTAAGACGTTATCCGAATCTAGTTCTACTTGCTTCTGTATGGCATCGTACTCTTCCCTTGATTTAGGATCACGTAAAACATTCCAAGCCTCTACGATACGTTGGAATTTTATACCGTCGAATTCTGATACATTTTTGTCTGGATGAAATTTTAAAGCTAACGCATGATATGCACGCTTTATGTCTTCGGATGTTGATTCCCTAGTGCATCCAAGTACATCATAATAATTCATAGAATTCATAATGTCAATTTTCACTTGTTGCTAAATTGTTGCAATTGTGACATAATTTATATATTTCGTACAATATTATTACTATCTAATGTTCAACACGAAGAGGAAACTAATTAGAATGGGTCCCATAACCTAAGACATAGAGAAAACAACTCTTCATATTACACAAATATTTACAATTTTGTGTGCGTCAATAAATAATAATTTTCATTTGATAATATAGTGGTTGAAATAAGTATTTAGAAAAGAAGTGCATTTTTGCATTTCATTCAAGGCTGTGTAATAATTGCATTTATATCACTTTAATGTTTACCGGACTGACATACCGACCACTGAAAGATCTGCGTAAGGATATCCCGTCTATAAATTCTTTCTTGCAAGTTGCAATCTGTTTTCGATCTATATAAACATAACAGTATTCTCAAATGTAACGCAATTTTCATGTATTAGCGTTGAAAATATCATAATTAATCTGAGCCCTGATCGAGTAAGTAAAAACGCGGTTATCATACCGACTGCCTTCTCCTCTATTACACATATGTTTGTTGAACAAAATTATTATGAAAATTATTGGAAAATGAATCGAAAAAAATTATTCAAAAAGGAGATAAATTTGTTTGTACGTTTTAAAGGAGTTTGATGTCACTACAGTTAGAAAGGTATAAAAAAAAAATAATAAGTCTATTTTCTATTTTATCTGTACCTGCATTTTGTCGGTAATATCATTTCCAGAATCACCGTTTTTTGAACAAAGAGGTCGCTTTAATACCACTAGTTTCTTACTTCAGTTTATATAATACCAACATCAGAAGATGAAATATCTATTTTGTACCACACTGTGTTATTATTGCTCTATGCTATGTCATCAGAGACATTCGATGAGTAATAGTATTTGTTTCTAATAAATGGCCGTGTTCTGCTGTTGAACTTGTTAAAAAGTGTAAATTGTTACTCTATACAGAAGTATGACTTCTATAAGTGAAGTTGATTCAGTACCTAAAACGAAGAAACCGTCGGGTAAGTTCATTATATTATAGCAGGTCAATTTTTGTATAGTTATATTTTATTTGGTACATTTATGAAAACTATACAAAATTTATAAGCTTATTTTTAACTATTATATAGCAGAAAATCTATTAATTGTTTCAGTGATTGTTGAATATTAATTAAATTAATAATTATAAATGTATTTAGCCAATGTTTAGTTTATAAAATATTTAAATCGTATTGTCATATAAATTTTATAGAAACATTTGTAACAAACTGATATGATTGTATCGTTTTTTAAATAAATTATTTTATTTTAACAGATAGTGCATTTAAACAACAACGTTTACCTGCATGGCAACCGATACTTACCGCTGGAACTGTGTTACCAACATTTTTTGTAATAGGAATTGCTTTCATACCAGTTGGAATTGGATTGCTTTATTTCTCTGATCAAGTCAAAGAATATATAATAGATTACACCGATTGTAATTCTACAAATTATTTCCATTCAAATACATTGCCTATCACGTGCGCAGACTTTATAGCAAACAACCCTAATGCTACTCCACCTTGTGCCTGTGAAATAGAATTCAAACTACCTTCTGATTTTAATGGAAAAGTTTACATGTACTATGGTTTGACTAATTTTTATCAAAATCATAGACGATATGTAAAATCACGCGACGATAATCAACTATTAGGACAGTTAAGTGATGTGGTTTCGGTCGACTGTGGACCATTTGCTTTCGACGGAAACAAATCTATTGTACCGTGCGGAGCTATCGCAAATTCATTATTCAGCGATGAATTGAAACTATTTTCTAAGCGACATACAGAATGGGTACCATTACTAAGAACTGGTATTGCTTGGCCTTCCGATAAAAACATTAAATTTAAAAATCCTGATGGCGATTTAAAGGAAGCGTTTAAGAATTATGCAAAGCCAAAGAATTGGAATAAAAATATTTATGACTTAGATCCGGATGATGAGAGTAATAATGGCTTACAAAATGAAGATTTAATTGTTTGGATGAGAACTGCTGCCTTACCCACTTTTAGAAAACTTTATCGTAGGGTGGATCATTCTGTACATGGTTTCACAGGAGGACTATTAACAGGGCAATATGTCCTTCATGTCAATTACTGTAAGTAAAAATTATATCAAAGTAAACAGAAGATTAATGATATTTATAGTATAAATTAATAAATATTTCCTTTAATAGCATATCCTGTGTCTGCTTTTGATGGCAAAAAAAGAATGATTTTAAGTACTACGTCTCTTCTTGGAGGAAAGAATCCTTTTCTTGGTATTGCTTATATAGTTGTAGGATGTCTTTGTTTATTATTAGGTATTACATTACTGATTATTCACATCAAATGCTCTAAAAGGTAAAAATTAATTTTATATACTTAATTATAATTTTTCTGTTTCACTTTACACTAAATGAAGTTATGCTTAAGAGAGGCTTTTAATTGAATCAATTTAGAAAATGCAGTTGCCTTAAAAATCATCATTTCTGTCACCTAAAATGTTACGGGAGATAAATGTCCATTGTGTATCATTTGTGAAAAATTTTTGCACCGAAATATTAGCGAAGCGAAATTTTTAAATAATTGACAGTAAAAAATTAATGTAAGCCTGACAGCAATTGCATTTTATTAAACGTTTTGATATATTTTTGATTCTTCAACAATTCTGGAAATTGTTAATGTCTCTTAATTGAATTATTTACAATTTTGAAGAATGAGAGTATTAAGAATACTTAATGCGAACCAAAGATATTGAAAATATTTCTAAAAACGTTCTGTTTTTATATATTTTACTTTGCCACTCATTGTTTACAAAACCATACATTTTGAATTCAAAATTGACAATAAACTATTATGTAATGTATGTTATACAGCAAACTAATGTAAAGATGACTGCAACAAAGTATGCTTAGGGCACCGTAATTGTTCTTGTAAGTGTTTGTGATACTGTGTTATATCTAATCTGCAAGAATGTTAATAATAACCATTATTTTACATGTGACATGGCTTTATAAATATTTTGTTTGTATCCATTTTTCGTTGACTTGTTAATTGTTCTTATATTTATTTAATAATGCATGTAGTTACTGTTTGTATCTTTTGTCTTCTGTTTATATCTATAGATAACGTTATTCAGTTTATAACAATTAAATGATTCTTTCATATTTACTAAAATTTTCGTAATACTCGTGTTTCACTCTTTTTAGTATACTTTGCATCATAAATAAGCTTTATACATTGCATATCATATTTATTTAACATGGAACATGTAATACGTTAAAACGTAAAGTGTAGAATATTTAATGGCAGATATATTGTTAGAAATTAATTAAAACGTTTTATTTGCATCGAACGAATGAATTTCCTTGATTTTTGTATAGCAAGCTTGCAACTTTATTAACTATTTAATAACGTAATAATAAAAGTGTATCATTAAAATTAATTATTAAAGAAATTTCTGTAATCGTGTTGTATCTTTTTATAGCATAACAGAGATGATCAATGTGAGTCCAACTACACCGTACCAAGAATAATTACACATAATTATTGCAAATTTTAAACAGCATTGCGACCATTCTGCATTTAATTTGTAAGTGTTAATACAAAATAATTCAATTCAAATTTTCTAGAATGTAAATATACGAAGAGTTTTTAACAGAACAGATAGTTAAAAAGAAAGAAACTTTTTTAGACTACTTTTGAGAAATAAATAAAAAAGTATTTCAATAAAATTTCCTCTATATAGAATACAAACATTATTTATGCACAGTATAATATACATGATTAGGTATTGCAGAAGTATAATTAATAGTAAATGGATATTGAATTATTTATATGCACTATGTATTTTTCATCTACATGTATTAAGGTACTCAAAGTAGTAAAGAGTTAAAAGTTTTGATGTATTTAAATTTGATTAAATATAAATATGATCTATTTATATTTTTTATTTTTTGAATACAGAATATTGATTTAGATATATTAAAATTTTTTGATACTTTTTGAGTATCTCGATACATTGCTGAGCTTTACTTAATCTGTAATATTTTTGTAAGTAGTGTACACTAAAATAATTATTCTATGTGAAATATTTTTAGCTTAATTCTAGTCACAAATGAATGTATAAATATATAAATAAAAAAAATTCTTATATTTATTAATATATCTACAGGCATACGAATAGAAATATATTAGAAATAAGTAGCTAAGAACCTATGTTTTATTTTAAAATAATTTATAAATTTATAAACAATTTGTACATTGTCGATATCCTTGTTTTACAAAAGCTACAAAATGTGCATAATTCCTTTCTAATTCTCTAACTCTGTTTTACCCTTTACATAGGCAACCTCATCTTTTCTATTACCCTATTTTTCATATATTCCGTGTCTCGTTCTTTCGAAAGAATTTTATTAGTTCTTGTGTATGTTAAATCAGTCTATAAATATTTATCACATTGTACAACGCCGTTCAATATTCTATTAAAGTAGTATTCAGATTGACTTTATCGTATCAGTCGTGTACTAAGAGGAATACATATATTTATAATGTTGTTTGTATTTTCAACTTTACATTGATATTTTATATCAATGAAACTGTTTGTATCAAAACATACTAATTTTGAAACATTTAAGACCGACAAAGATTTTCCAAAATTTTTTATATCGAACTGTATTAAATAATGTTTGAAGTAAGTTAGTAAGACAAATTTGACGTCATAGATTCATAGGGATTCGATTCGATCGCTACATATGCATTAATTTTACTATACCTAGGATTGCCTTTTTTTATTTTGAATTGTTCTATGGATCAGAGCCTTTTAATCGTAATATTGTATATTTCGTGATAAAAGTAAATAAGCAAATTTTTTGACAAAGGGTTTTTATATATCCGTTTAATAATATTATAAGTTTCAGTATCAAAGTAGCTTCATCCAAATTGAATCATAAGCATATACTTATTTCAGTACACACCTTCTGCAGTCAATTGTTCATAATTGAAAATACTGCTTTATATCATCATATGTTTTCAGTTACACACTACCACGAGTTAGGCACTTGTGAGCTGCTTAAAGCAGTGCCGACTCATCGCCGAAAAGATCTTTACTAAAACGTCTCTTTATCTTTGTTACACAAGATTTTTCAAAGTTTCTTTTGTCAACTGACAACGTACTATCAATTTGTTTATCTATCAACATGATTATAACTCTGAAAAACTTACAACAACAAACGTTTACTGTAGAAATTGATCCATCGAAAACGGTAGGTGAATATAGTGAATGGAAAATGTGTAGCTTTTTTGACGTGTAATATGTACTTTAATGGTATTTTTTGTATAGGTAAGAGATCTGAAACAAAAGATCGAAACCCAGAAAGGTTTTCCCGTTGATCACCAGAAATTAATATATGCTGGTAAGCGATGTTTCTTACATAACCTCATTTTCACTTCATTACAGATATACTCAATCTTTTTATAAACATATAATTTGATCGATCGACTATAAATTTATTTTAATAATTGCTGTTTTAGAGAAATTATCATGGAATATTGTATCGTGTTGGACTTACTTTCACATTTTTGTATATGTTATTGTTTTTAATGAACAATGACTTGTAACTTATAACTGTCTAATTATAATGTTTTTACAGGAAAGATATTAGCAGATGATCAACCACTGACGGAATATAATATAGATGAAAAGAAGTTCGTAGTTGTTATGGTAACAAAGCTTAAAACTGGTAGTAGTTCTGCAGCGACCGAAGATCATGCAGACGGAGACAATAAAGAAGAAAGTAGTACAACCAGGTACTAATTAAAAATATTTCAATGATAAATATTCTGAATATCTTGCGATAATTTAGTTTATTAACAAAGAAGCAATTTTATAATTTTTATTTTAATCTTATTTTTTTAAATATATATATATTAATAATAAGTGTATTTCAATCACATTATGTTAAGCTATTCTTGGTGTTTGCCTTTCGTCGTAGCTCAGTGGCACCGCCTAGTACAAATCCTACTGTTCAAAGCGCAGCGCAACCTGCTAGTAATGTGCAAGAACAATCAGGAGCAAGCACTACTCCTGAATGCGTTGGTGGTCAAGCTGAAAGTGCCTTGCTAATGGGCGAAGACTATAATACTATGGTAAACAACATTATGGACATGGGGTAAATATACATTTAACACAAGAATGTTGCAAATTATTTAATTACAATATTTCTTGGTTTGTGTTTAATTAATATTATTTATATCAGATACGAACGCGATCAGGTTGAACAAGCACTAAGAGCAAGTTTCAACAATCCTGATAGAGCTGTTGAATACCTTTTAACGGGTATACCAGCTCAGCTTTTTGAGGACCCGCCAGAAGATCCACCCGAGGCTCAAGAACAACCTCAAGATCAAGGCCAACATCCGTTAGCTTTCTTGAGAAGGCAACCTCAATTTCAACAAATGCGTCAGGTCATTCAACAAAATCCACAATTACTGAATGCTGTACTTCAACAAATTGGTCAAACCAATCCCGCATTATTGCACTTAATTTCGCAAAATCAAGAAGCCTTTGTGCGCATGCTCAATGAACCTGGTTAGTTTTATTTGCTTGTTAAAATATAAATAATGTATTCGATCATTGGATTCTCGTGTACAAACGTTTTATGTTTTATTCCCGAATAGAGGAAACAACTGGTGGGACAGGTGCAAGAGCCGTACCTGTGATTGGTCTCCAAATTCAGGTATCACCACAAGATAAGGAAGCTATTGAAAGGCTGAAGGCATTAGGATTTCCAGAACATTTAGTTATACAAGCATACTTTGCATGTGACAAAAATGAGAATCTTGCTGCTAATTTTCTATTATCACAAAGTCTCGATGACTGAAGTGTCGCACTTGATTGATTTCATAATATGGAGTTAAAGGACTGATATAGGGTGGGTAATTACACAGGCGCCACATTACTTTCAACTGGTCACCTTTACTTTGTATGTATAAATATGCACACATATTTATATTATTTTATTAATCCTCTAGTTAAATATTGGTATGTTTTATAAATCATACAAATTTACTGGTATTGTATATTCGACTATTCGACATATCAAATTATTTGCAGTTTAAAATCGTTTCATTTCAAAATATATACTTTATCTGTTCCATATATTTTGAGATCGAAATTTAATGCATTGCATCAGTGTTATAATCCATCCTTGCAGTCTGAAAAATGCTCCTCAACAAAAATTTTTGTTCTTTGAATATATGGAGCAGTGTAATTACATTTTTATGTAAGAAAGCCTGCTTGTTTAATAAATTAATAATATACAAAAGTATAAATACTTTATGGTATTTATATGTTGAAGTTATTATACAATTACATGTACATGCAAATTTGTATACAAGGGTGGAGAGACATGTGTATTCAAACCGCATATATGTACATGACAAGTATACTTTGTACATTTAATAGGCTTTCTAATATAAAAATTATGTGAGTGCATCCGTATATGTATAATTGCATATGTATATATGTGTGTACTTGCATATAACTTGCGCCTATGTATGTATGTATAAAAAAAGTCTTGTATTTTTTAAACAAAAGTGAAGAAGATAGTTATTCATTAATAAAACATCACAAATCATTTCATTTGTCACAAATTAACAAAATGTATGAAATACTTAAATGAAAGAAAAAATGAAAATTTAAGTAACATATACATATGTATCGTTTTAAATTTGTTTTGTCCTCAATATCAAACCATTCTTTTCATATGAAAAAGGTTCGTATAATTTATGGCTAGCTATTAGGAGATAATCGTATATATAAAGTATCTTAAACAGATAAACTTGAGAAAACTTATCTGAAATATGAATCTATAAAGAAAATTTGTAATTAACTTTCTATAAAAGTGGAGGCAATGAGATTATTAATATTATGAAAATACATTCAATATATTATAGCCTTAACATATTAATATGTAACTTACTAGAAACCGTTTGAATTTTTAAAATAATAGTAACAATATTCAAATTTTATTAGAAATATAACATATAATGTAAAACAAATAATATTAAAAGATTGCATATTTAATAAATAAAAATAGCATGAGTCTAGGCACAAATGAATACATTCGTTTCCCTGTGTATTCTAAGGTTTCAGAATTTGATCTGTGTTTTTATTTAACGATATTATACATACGTATGTATGTAGAATCATACTCGCACATCCATATAATTGGACTAGATGTATTTAATACTTTGTTGTAAGGTTGAGTCCTCTATTATTAATGCAATAATATTTGGAAACTGTCTCAAGGTTTCCACTATTACAAAGAGTTAACGTACATGATTTCTATGTTATACAAATATCTTTTGACTTAGTTTCCCTTACGCGTCGGATACCAAAAATGATAAAATGCTACAAATAAAAATGTTATAGAACAAGATCATATTCTCTGTTATTTATCAAATTTTATTTGTAGTATAGTAAATAAATGCTTTAAAATTTATATGTAAAAGTAAACGGTCAGTTACCTTTGATTTTCAGTTTTTTATTTATAGTCTCATAAAAGTTTTGTTACAAGTATAAATGAACATTGTAAATGTTTTTATTACGCAATCTCTAATTTTCTTTGTTTCAAACATTTTATAATTTTTATTATTATAAAATAAATTTTTGTACAAATTTAATCTATATACATATTCGAAATATATATATATATATATATATATATATATATATAGGATGTTTATATATAGTAACACATACTTATTATTTAAGTAATGTAAAAATATTTAAGCTGTTTTGTCTTTCAAATCCACACCTTTACTTTGAAGATCTCTCTTAGCTTCTTTTATTTGCTAGAATGGTAAATTAGCGATAACATTAATTGATCATTTATTATATAGTAATTTTAGTATAACGATTTTAATAAAATAATGTTACATTTATTGTCAAACTTACTTGTTGTAGTTCGATAGCTGCATTTTCGCAATTGTTAAATGTGAAAACTCTATATAAGACAATGATAGCTGCATACAAACTAAACAAAAATAAAACAATGAATGGAAGGAAAAGAATAACTTGCTGCAATTCTACAGCCGATGAATTAATGTTTCCTGTGATCATAGCCACCCACACGCCAAAAAATAAAGTGGCAAACAGAAACCATTCCATTAACTTCGTCATCTGAAAATTTGAGACAAATGATAGATTTAACGATTCTTAAACATTAAAATTATATTAAATGACAATGTTTAATGCTCTAAAATCTGTACATCGCTATAAGACTGAACTATATATGAAATACGAAACTTTTACACATATACATATATTTTTTATTATTCTCGTACAATTTGCGAGTGCTTATAGACTTTTATCATAATTTTGTTCTTAAAAACATATGGGGTAAACATCTGTAATTGCAATTACAATCTTACATATGACGTGTATAGATTTAACATGTACGATTCAAACTTTTTGTTTCACTGTATGATAGTGTTGCTTGTAAAATTATTTGTGGTAGCTGAAATTAACTTTGAATCGGGGAAAGAGAAAAAGAAAAACGAATGGCGCTTTGTTTGGAATATGCTATTATATATTGAATTGCAATTAATGGATACCATTGATCTCTATGTACTGCTATATACTAGATGCGATGCGGTAGTACCGCAGCGGTACGAAGTTACCTCGTAACTTACGAGGTGCTTAAAAGTATACGAGGATGTCGAGTCGACATTGTCCACCTAGAAGCTGCCATGTTTGAAAAAACACCATATCCGCTGCCTATGTACGATCTGAAATATTACATTCCTAGGTTCACATGTATGCTCATTTCTCATATATTCCTTTAACCGATTTCTATAGAACCGAACATATGTATGTTTTAATACTTTTAATTGAAGATCCCTGGACGTGGTGACTTTTCCTTCATGTAACATGCGAGTATGTTACCTACGCGAACCTCTTCTTTTTTATTTTGTTTTCTTAATTGGTATATCTTCCGAATAACTATACTGTGTTTAACTGAGTTATGTGTAAACAAATAACTACAAAAGGATTTCATTAGTCCATTGTGGTTTGAACAAGAGGACATCATAAGCATAAGAGTGTACATAGATAGCATCACCGGACAGTGGTTTGAAATATGTAGATTCGATGCATGATTAGAAATTAAATGTTAAAACCTCTAAAAAGAATAAAAAACATTACTATTTGTATTATTATATAAATTTTTTTGTTTTGAAAAGTCGTTCTCGTTTAATACAGCCCTGTTGCAGTCACGTGATTCTATTTACACTTAGTCCTGAATAGAATTAGAATGAATTGTATCAAAATATTATTGTGATTTAAACGGTATTTGAAATGATCAATTCTTATTTGGTTTTTACTATAGATGCGGTATCAATGGTAAATTACATGCGATAGAAAAAGTGAAGAAAGTCACTAGGGATACAGAATCATGTTACGTTGGTTACACTACAGGTTGTTTCGTTGGTTTCGACACAGCTCGCACGGGTACGGGACGGCCAAGAATAGCAAAGAGCACGCGAATCTAGTCGCCCTGTAACCGAGTCTGGCGAAGGCGACCGACCGCTCCCTCCGTAGTCCGTCAGGACGAACAAATTTTAACGTAAAATAATTTTCGACGAGAAACACGCGATCCGTGATCAAAGTTGTATATGGAGGTAAGAAGCGGGAAACGGCTGTTACAGCGTGTCGAATCGCGCGAAGTGAATTGAAAAAGTGAAGTGGCCTCGGCGAAGTGCAGATCTAAAAACGCGAAGAGGAGTGAGCGAGAGGAGGAGAGAAGAAAGAGAAGAAGAGATCCGTGCGAAGTGGTTATAAGGTTCTCGAGTGCGGTCGTGTGTGTTTTCGGGCAATGTCTGTCGAGAGTCGTTCGAGCTCGGCCCTGTTTAAAAGGGCTGAACAGCTCAAACGTTGGGAACAGTCCGAGACGAACCGTGAACCGGCTCAACCACGTCAAGTCGCGCGTAAAATCAAGTTTTCCGCGGATTGCGTGTTCCTGGCAGCGTGCGCGGCAGGCGACAAGGAGGAGGTCGTACGTTTACTCCAAAAGGGGGCGGATATCAACACCGGAAATGTTGACGGTCTCACGGCATTACACCAGGTACGAATCGCTTCTCTCTCTTTCTTTCGTACATTTGTTTATGTGCCGCGATTTCTTTCGATGTACGTACATCTGTATGCGCAACACAACAATCACGACTAAATTTCTTCAGTCTTGGCTTTCTCCCCTACGTTTTTCCTTCTTGACCGTAAATTCTTATCGCAAGATGGCTACTATATTGTACATACTCCAGCTGTCTAATTTAAGTGCGATCGGTAAAATTTTTCTTCCGTACCCGCGATGTCACACATTTAACCTTCGGATGGCGAACCGGCTTACGGCAATACCTAGCTTGCTATTTTCACTCTTACTACATTTTCTTCTTAATATCAGATTTTCAATCAATTACGTATTCAATCATACGAATCTCATTAATGTCATAATAATTTTTTATCGTAATATTTTATTAGTTGTAATATAATTATATCAATTATCTGTTCGATTCCTAAAGATATAAATTTTGTTTATTGGCCTTTCATTTCTTTCAGGTATCGTGAGATATGTTTTTAACAAGGTTTATAGAAATTATGAATGTAATTACACCTATTCTTCTAAGTAATGTACTAAATATTGTCGGAAAATGATTCCTTTCTCCTTGATAAAGAAAGAATTAAGCACTACTATGCAACAGTTCTGTCAAAAAGCATATGCTTCTAATGCCCCTCATAATTCAACCAATACGATTGATAACTTTCAATAAAATCGTACTTTTTAAAAGTTTAACTTTAGTTTATATATATTATGATTTATTGTACTAATTATTTAGTCGAATATAGATTTAACGACTCAAGAATCAATTTTAAAATCTGTAAACAATGTAATTCTTTGCTTCGTTTATCTTATTTTGATTTTCTGTCCCTACAAAAATACTATAATTTAAATTAAATCATTTGCATTTGTAATAAGTGTATATTATCTTTTGAAATTATATGTTTCTAATGTTAAATTGTTTTATATATTATATTAATATTTTATATATTATATTTTGAAGCTAATGGTTTATCTATTTATGTTGTATATACCACACGTTATTTTTAGTCGATGTAAACATGTATAGTATATAAATTAATTTATATTTTGAATATAATAATTTCCCTTAAAATGTTTAATATGTCATTGTTCTTATAAATGATATATGTTTTGGCATAATACCGAAACTATTGAGACTGCTAAAATAGGTTGAAGTTAGGATAAGGTTAAAAATAACCCTGCAAAAGATGTCTGTTTTGGTAGTGGCTCAAAGCATAAAAATGTTTGAGCTTCTACAAAGAATAATAGAAAGAATTAGTTTAGGATATTAAGCTAAAACATTTATTAAACAATTACGCTAGCTGTGTTCATAAATAAGAAACAAAAGTAAAACTATAAAACGTAACATTTTCAAGTAATACGTTAGATAAAAAATGCATTTTTAGATCGATTGTTAATTAATAGTCGTATTAATAATGAATTAAAAAATTATTCACTTATTATGTTCGATAAATGCATTCTTCCATAGTTATGTAATTCCAAAACAAGGTTCAAATCATTTGTAAAAAACATACAACCTATGTGTAAAAGAATTTATTTAAAAAATGTATGGACATGGAATCTTATATAGAGTGTATATCATATTTGTTACTGTTATTTAAGCAAAGAGGAAGTTTAGGCATTTCATGGATTTGCGAAAATAGAATGTGAAAATACATCAGGCATCAAATGCTATTTATAGTTCTCTGTTAGAAGTCAGAGGCTGTGGTATCTGTATTCTATGTCCTCTATCTTAAAATGTTATTATATGTAATGGTTTGTTTTAGTTTAGATTAGACGTACTTTTAATTTTTGAATATCATTCGTATAAATTTATATTTGTATATCAAAACGTATTATACAAGTAAATGACATATTATTTGCAATGAACACAGCCGTGTATATAAAAATATTTGAATTTCGTGTATCTTTTAAGCGTATAACAGCATTTTTTTTTATATAGTATATTAATCTTGAATCCTATACATTTAATAATGTTTCTTCATTCTAATATAGCGAAGGTATGAATGAAATTTCATCTCATAACAGTATTTACAAATGTATCTTTACCATGTGGTTTTCGTCATGAACTTATAAGCAAAGTTGGACAAAATGTAATTTGATTACATTTGTCCAACTTAGTTTATAACAACACTTTAGTTAATACATAGATTTTACATTTTAAAGTATTTCACCCATTATATAATTATATTTTATAATTAAAATGTGTTGTGATATTTAAATTGCAGGCATGCATCAATGATGATCTGGATATGGTCGAATTTTTAGTAGAAAAAGGTGCTGATATCAACTCTGGCGATAATGAAGGATGGACACCACTACATGCAACTGCGTCTTGTGGGTTTATATCTATTGCTAAGTTAGTAATATTTTTATTTTGTTACTCTACACATTTAGTAAACGTTATTTTTGCATATTAACAATCATAATACAATATTGAACTTCAGAAATTTTTTTTAAACAAAAGAATACATTTTATAGATATTTAATAGAAAAAGGATGTAATTTGGCAGCAGTTAACAACGATGGTGAATTGGCTCTTGATATTGCAGAAAGTAATGAGATGGAAGATATGCTACAACAACACATAAGTAAAGCAGGTTTGTATTTATAATTATTTCATACACAATGAAGTAAAGAGTATATTCGTGTAATTAAAATATTTTCCATAGGCATAGACTGTGATCAAGCCAGAAGCGAAGAAGAGAGGACAATGTTAAGTCATGCCAGGTCATGGCGATCAGGAGCAGCTGGCAAAGACACGATTCATCCCAAATCAGGGGCTACTGCGTTACATGTTGCAGCAGCTAAAGGCTATATTAAAGTTATGAAGTAAGATCTTTTAAGCTTTATTAATATAAATCAAAAAGATTATTAAATAGATATATTAAGTGAAAGTTTTGGTCTATTATTTACTACATCTGAGTTTTGTATATTTCAGCATCTTACTACAAGCTAGATGCGATGTTAATGCTCAGGATTTTGATGGTTGGACACCTTTGCATGCTGCTGCACATTGGGGTCAATTGCAGGCTTGTGAACTTTTAGTGGAAAATTTCTGTAATATGGACATTAAGAACTATGCTGTAAGATTAAAATTATTTTACACTTTAAACAAAAAAAAAATTGTCTCTCACAATTTTCTATTGATAGGATCAAACTGCATTTGATATTGCTGACGCGGAAATATTGCCAGCTTTGGAGGAATTAAAAGAAAAACAACAACTTTTAATGAAAGATTATCCGCAAATTATTAACAAAAAGCAGCCAACTGTACCAAAGAAACGGTTCGTAAAAAATAAACAGTCCATGATCTTTTGTAAGAAACGTATTTTATTTATTCTGTTGATTATTATACCGCAGCGTATCGACAAGTAATGAAAATACTATAACTATGCAAGAATCTGTGGAAACATTTGAAGAAGAAACGCCAAATAAAGTTAAAAAAGTTGAATTAGAGATTCAGTCTGATAAAGAAGACTCTAGTACGGGAACAAATAGTGATGTTGGTATGTTCTTAATTTACCTTGTTCATTAACGCGTTTGCTAATTTGCATGTCCATATTTAAACATTTTTATGAATTATTCGATATTA